ATCAAAAGCAGTAAAGCTGTATGGTGAAGATAAATTATTTCATCTTTCTAACCATTACTTAATTTTTTATGCAATATTTTCCTTTTCTCTGCATTGCAACACAGACATAATTATGTGATGAAGGATAATTATATGGATATGAATGAAGAAATTGTGATGCTGATCAAAAATCGATGCTTAATCTTTTTTTTTTAATGTATCTTTTATGTGTAAACACACATCTGTGAACTGATACTTTGCTATATTACACCAATACAAATGGAAAAAAAAAGTCAGTGGATTTTTTGGCTCAGAGTTAGAGCTTCCATTAGAGTTTGTCTGTTATGTAATGTTTGATGTTTTATCCACCCAAATTAATTTCGGGAGAGAGAGATAAGTCAGAGTAAGGCTTCTGATGAGGAATCTGCAGCTGTCTGGTGTGCTTGTTTTATTACCAACAGGTAGTGGCCAGGTTTTACAGAGGTGTAAACATTACAGGTAAATCGTCCTCCACATACTCGACAGGGTAGAGTTTTTGGTTTTGTCATCAGATAGGCAGTTTGTTTGAAATATTCTCTGGTGAATCTATTTCCCTGTAATTATTTTTGGTACATAAACACCTGTTGTATGTTGTTGTATGCTGTCGTAATGTGATATCTATATTTGTGGATGTAGCACGAGGTTTCCCATGAAGTTCTCATAAGAGGTAAGGTCTTAGGTACTGCGTTTGTAACATCTAACTGTATGGTATATTCTTCAGTATTACTAATTAAAGTCTTAGTCAATCTTGTCTTAATGAAAGTAATTCAATTCTCCTATAAGAATTGAGAGTTTGAGATCAGAGGATCTTTTGAGTCTGTATTAGGGACAAAAAGCTTTATGAAAACAGAATACTCAAAAATAATACTTTCTTTTCTTGTTTTTACAAATACTCAATCCTATTTTTTTTTAAATTAGCTCTTCAAATAGATTCATGTCTCCGTTATTTATAAAAAGCAGAATAAGGATTTGTATCTATTTTCAAATGGGTGGTCAGAGAGTTCAAAATGGAAGAAGATATTTTATTAAAGTGCCAGAAGTCTGTGAGAGTGAATTTCTGGAAGGAACTATTGATGGCATTGAACTGATTTTTCCTCTGCAATGCTCTTCAGATCTCTTGGGAAAAAATTTACAAAGTATATTTTCTATTGGTGTCTGCTAATTATCACTTTATATGCCTCCACTTCAGTTTTAATGTGTCCCACCCTAAACCTCTCAGACACAGGGTGAAACTTTGTCCAATTTTGTTTAAAACAAGACACAGTTCAAGAGACGATTGTACAAGACACAAGTGGTTGAAGCTCACTCTGACCTAGTTACAAATTTTGACAGATGACACGAAACACTTTAAAAGGAAATTTAGATGGTCATTATTTTTGTTGCAGTCAAATAACACCACTGACTGTCAAAAACGAATAAATACATCATCCCCAGGACATGAAAAGTTTAGAACTGGACTCTTGTGACAAGTAGTAACTGCTATAAAAGCAAGATTATCACCTATTCTGGACTTCATTTAGTAAATGCACCTGCAGTTTGGCACAGCTGTTTGCATAAAGTGGAAATAGCCCAATAAAACTTAAGGATTTGAATTTCAACAAAGGGCATGTTTAGGTTGAAATTTCAAAGAGATGTTTTACTAAGTTCCACTTGTTTGAAATTATGTTTTTCCAGGAATTAATTAATTCTTCAAAAAATGATTTCTGCATTTGTAGATTTAAAGTTTAATAGCCAAGAGAAAAAAGATTTCTGTATTTATAGATAAAAAGTTTAGTAATAGCAGAGAGATATGATCAGTTCTGTAATACTCTTTACCAGCTGCAGATTCAGTCAGAATTTTAGATTTTTTGTTTTATAGCTATTGAGCAATGCCTCTTCGATTGTTAAACAATCCTTGGAATACCTGTGTATCTGTCTTTCATACATCTTTGTCCAAATTTTGTCAAGCTTTTGTATTTATCTCTATTTAAAAACTTATAACGATCAATTCTAACTTCTCATAATGGTAAACCTTCAAAGTTGATGACATTTCCTTGACATTTGACCTTGACTTTAGAAATCAGCAGTGTTCTCAATGCTGCATGTGAAGTCGTCCTCCTCCTCTGGACTGGAAGAGCTGTTATAACCTTTTAATATCACGTAAATCTTGACAAAATAATAAGCAGTACAATCTTCTTAGTTGATATCTTGACATTTAACCTTGAGATTATCGAACAATACACAGTTAGTTTGGTTATGGTTTAGTATATGCTTGCATTAAATCTTTACTGTGTTCTTGTATAAGGAAGACATAATACCATACATGTAGTTAATATCACATATATGTGAAACCTGTCTTTGACTTTTAATGTATTATGGTTTGGTGTTCATGTCCATCCATCTGTCTAGCTGTCCGTCTGCTAGCTTTTTTGCTCATATCTTAAGAACTATGAGCTCTAGAAGAATCAAACTTTGTCAGCTAGTACATCTTACTAGGTAGAAGGTGTGGCGCACATTAAAAGTAGGTCGCTTTGATCTCAAGAGGATATGGCCAAATATGGCAAAATCCTGTCTGACTCATATCTGGAAAACTGTTAGACCTAGAATCATCAGAATTGGTCACTAATTGCATCTAAGGTAGAAGGTGTGTCATATCACGGTGACCTTTAAATTAAAGTGAAATTTGAAAGAAATGTTTTTAAGTTAACAATCTCAATTAGGTGTAAAGCTATTGCAGTAACCTTATTTAAAGTTGTTAAATCAAGAAATACACATTTTCATTAGCTCACCTGAGCTGAAAGCTCAAGTGAGCTTTTCTGATCACCCATTGTCCGTCGTGCCTCCATCTATCTGTCCATCCATCCGTCCATCCATCTCCATCTGTTTATCTGTAAACTTTTCACATTTTCAACTTCTTCTAAAGAACCACAGGGCAAATTTTAACCAAAGTTTGCACAAAGCATCCTTGGGTGAAGGGGATTTTAATTTATTAAAATGAAGGGCCTAGCCCCCTTACAAGGGGAGATAATCAAGAAAAGACAAAAATAGGGTGGGGTGAATTAAAAAATCTTCTTCTCAAGAACCACTGGGCCAGAAAAGCTGAAACTTATATGGAAGGCTTGGAAGCATCCTGTGGTAGTTTAGATTCTAAATTATTAAAATCATGACCCCCAGGGGTAGTGTGGGACCACAATAAGGAATCCTTTACATTGAAATACATAGGAAAATTCTTTTAAAAAATCTTCCTTCTCAAGGGCCACTGGGCCAGAAAAGCTGAAACTTATGTGAAAGTATCCTGGGGTAGTGTAGATTCTAAATTGTTTAAATCATTACCTCCGGAAGTAGAATGGGGCCACAATAGGGAATCTAAGTTTTACATTGAAATGTATAGAGAAAAAATCTTTAAAAATCTTCTAAAGAACCACTGGGCCAGAAAAGCTGAAACTTATGTGGAAGCATCCTTGGATGGTGTAGATTCTAAAATGTTCAAATTGTGATCCCAGGGGGTAGGGTGGGGCCACAAAAAGGAATCCAAGGTTTACATTAAAATGTATAGAAAAAAATCTTTAAAAATCTTCTTCTCAAGAACCACTGGGCCAGAAAAGCTGAAACTTATGTGGAAGCTTTCTGAGGTAGTGTAGATTCTAAATTGTTCAAATCATGACCCCTGGGTTATGGTGGGGCCACAATAGGTATTTCAAGGGGGAAAATCTGTTGAAGAACTGCAGAGCCAAAGTTACTCAGGTGAGTGTTTTGGCCCATGGGCCTCTTGTTGTTTAATTCATACAGCAATATGTAAGAAATCTAGTTCTTCTTTTGTGTCAATAGCAAGAGAAATTCCATTTGTATGATGGATCAATTTACAGTGGTGTTTCAAGGAGCATTTTTAAAGCATATGTCGAATTAGAGATTAATTGTTAAGTCTAGTGTAAGAAGATTTCTGGTAGAGCATCTCTATATCTCTTTGGAACTGAGCAGAGAAATCTAAATTGCAATTGATAGCATTACTGTCAAATTAAAATAATTCTTATCAGTTTTAGCTAGCCATTACTTTCAAAATTAATTTGGTATTAAGTTATTATAATTTATTATTAGTTTAATATTGTGTAATATAATATTTTAATTCTACTTCTTATATCTCAACATCAAATTGCAGAGTGTCATGTCTGACTAAGATTGACAGTTTTTCAGCCTAAGAATAAAAGAAATGATTAGCGTTTTGATGTTTTATTAGGCTGTAACATTGTTCATTATTCATAAAAAATACAATTAACAAAACTAAAGATGGGCATTTGTAAAACTCTAACACAACTATTTGAGAAATATATATTGTTCTAATGAATTACTACACCTTAGAAGAGGCACTTTCAAACATAGGATGGAAAAATCATTGAAATCTTTGTACTAAGTTGACATGATTTTCTTCATTCCAATCTAATCTGATTATGATAATTAAACAATATTTGATGAGTGTATCTTGTGTGTCTTGTGGTGATGCACATTATTTCATCCCCTAGCCTAATGGCAAGGGGATAAGGCCAGAGTTTTTTTATTTTCTGTTTAACGGGAATTTTTAAGAAAAAGTCGGGTCGAGGGGACGAAATAAAATAAAAATAAAAAGTTCAAAATTTGTCGAGTCGAGACCATATAAAAAATAAAACCCAAAAATGGTATGAATTTTTTTTTTTTTATAGAATGTTGAAAAATGAAAGAAAACACAATAAAATTTTGTTTATCATTTATTTGGATTTCAAATATGGATAAAAAGATACAACTCCTTACTATATGTATGTGTCATCCTACTGTGGTTAATTACATTTGTAAATTCTAGTATGAAAGCAAAACAATAAAATTTACAGTTTAAATTATTATATAGCAACAATAATGTTGGATACAGAAAAATCCACACTGCTTAAAAATTTATAGATGTCTTCGTTTGGTCATCTCCTACTGTATAAAATTTATAAAAGTAATGATAAAAAAATGTTTTAAGCTACATATATTATGATTAAACATAAGTTTGGAGAAAGATATGGGGTTGATAGCTAACTTGACAATGCATTCCTAGTATAGGACTAACACATTCTTGAGGTTCAGAATGGAAATTTGTCAGCTGAAATTATTTGACGAACAACAGCAGTCATCTTGGAAGTCTTCTGAACTCTTCACAAATGGTTGGGTCTCCACCAAGAAATCAAACTGCACAAAAAATGCATTGTTCCTTTAAGATACTTTATTAATATAACCAAATACATGTAGTAGTTAGAAAGTAGAAGATAAAAAACAGTATTTACATGAGATTATTTTCTTTTCTAAATGAAGATACAAAACATTTTTTAAGAGTTTTTGATAATAACACATTTCTTATATTATAAATATAATAATTTTGGTCTTTGTTCAATTTGCATTTAAAATATTAAATTGGACAATTTGCTGACTTAATTCTTTCTATCTCTACCTTTCCACAGGATAATGTGTGCAATTCCAATTAGGTGTGCAATTCCAATTAGCTGTCACTTGTCACTGTTAGTTTTAAATATTCTTTTCCAATCGTAATTTTGTTGGAATCCTGACCTCATTTAATTCAACCAAGCAGACATGGACTTGTATCTAAAATATAATCGTAATTTTATGTCCCTGATATACATTTGTAGTTAAACATAATTCATTGTAAAACTAAATTTTACCGCGAATTTTACCTCAATTTGTAATGTGATCAAATTAAATATACAATGTAAACATCTTTAAAAGAAACAAAAAATGTTAACCATCGAACAATTTTAACAGAAAGTTTATTAAGACGTCAAAAAACTTACCCCCAACTCTTTAGACACAAGATGGTTCAGTGTGCATCTAGTGTATATAGGTTGTTGATGCCTTCATTCCGATTTCAGAATCTTTTTTCTCTTTATCGTCAATGGATTTAATATTACTATCTCGTCATTTTTATCTATAAATGTCTCGAAATGGCATTTTTGCTTGTTGATCTGTTGATAGAACCCGCGAAAAGTGCGATAAACTAGTTCTTTAAACTGGTTACGATATCATAATCAGCAAGACGCTCGTACAAGAATTTGATTAACGTAAGCTATGTCAAACGTTTACATGATTTATTAAAATTATGGTGTACAACAAACCCGATTTTATTTCAAACCGTCAATAAATGACACAGTCGGCGGGTATTTTAAAAATAAAAGTGAGATGGACCTCTTTTATTTTTTTTCGGTATTTTGAAAAAATTGGGTCGGCGCTTCCCGTTAAACAGAAAATAAAAAAACTCTAGCCTAAAAAACACACTGTGGATAGTGCCTTGTTCAAGATTTTCTGTCAGCTTCATGTTGGATACAGTAATTTGTAGCAAACACAAGACTTCTTGAAATCAATTTAAGTTCATGTTAAAGTAGTGGAAATGTAATTGAATTAAATTATGAATGTGGGTATTATTTAGAAAGTGAAGAACTTGATTGCAGCAAATGGAATCCAATTGTGAACTCAATAAGAAGTTTCGTATTGTACTTTTTTGGTCTAAGATGTTCCTTTATCTTGAAGCTGCTGAAGTTTTGTTAGCTGAAAAATCATTTCCATTTTTTTTACCACAAAATATTGTCAACAAAAGGTTTAGAAGTATTCCAGTCTTGAACACTGATATGATTCATGTTTTCACTATGAAAATTAACAAAATGCAGTGTCTTATCCACACAGACATAGGAGGGGTCTGTTACACTTACATGACAGTCTGCAAACTAAATAATATCAGAGCCACTCCTGTAAATATTGACATGCAATACTGCAACTTGTGATTTGATGAAATTTAAAATGATGTCAATTAAGCGGTTTCCCGTTTACAAGTGAGTTAGTGAAAAGAAATGAATAGAGTTAAGTGTCACCTGTAAATATGTAGATTTACCAGGATTCTTTGGTATATTTGAAGTTGTTTTAAAGGTACAACCATAGATTAAATATAAATAAATATGCAATAACATGAGCAAATCTTCCTTCTCTATGGTCCATTTGACACACATTATGTATGCATTCATTTATTGATTTTCTTTTTTATGGTCTGCATTACTAAAGGCGCAAGATCAAGACAGAGGTATCATATTAAAAAATGAGCACTATTGCAATGTTGACTTGAGAGTGTCTGTACAGATATACAGAATATTACATTGACCTAAATTTGTGCCCCAGCCTCAGTCTGTACATGTGTATACTTATAAATTCCAAAGTACCTTAAAAGCACCCCTAAATTCTTCAAATCAGACTAAAATCTTTAATCTGCCATTTTTTTTAACATTAATACCTTCCATGTTAATATTTTAGAAAGCAGAATAAACAGGTTTATGAGCTGTGAGAACCAGGCACTGATCTATTTATTGCTGAACTTTACAATGTGTATTTCAGCACTATCTTGCTAATCAAAGTACTGAAAGTACTACTACGAGTTGATGGTATTGATTATATAATGTTTAAATGAGTTGAGGTCTCTAGTCCATATATGGATTATGTGATATTATGTGCATTGATGAAAACTATCACTTTAAAATCCTTTCTCTTTGTTTTCTTTGATTGATTGACTGATTGTATGTTGTTTTACGTCCCATTAGAGAATTTTTCACTCATATAGAGACGTCACCATATACTGGTGAAGGGTTTCAAATGTTGACCTTTACTCGGCACTCGGGGCCATTGAGTAGTGAGGGATCTTTATCGTGCCAACGCCCACCTTGACACAGGGCCTCGGTTTTTAAGGTCTCATCCGAAGGACTACAACTTTCACTTCAAAGTGCCGAGCGCATGGCGAAGGAACAGTTGCTACGCATTTTTTATCAACTTAGGTCAGTCGCGGCCGAGATTCGAACTCACGACCTCCCGATCACGAAGCGTTGTTTTCTTTGAGAAATAAAATTATATCATTTTATTTATATCTTTTCCATCATGTATTTTTAATAGGGATTGCAATTTGTAACCGGTTAACCGATTACTCGGTCGGAACGATGGCAATCGATTAGAAAATCTGTAATCGGTTAATCGGAAAAAATAAAATATTTGTTAAATTGAACACATTTTTAAAAAATTTATTTTAATAAAAGAAATCTCTGCACAAAGGATGATCATTTAGGATTTAAAGGATATAATTTGGACGTACATGTAATTATGAATCTCCAGATTGAGACCGTTGAGTAATTGGTCAGTTTACGTAGTGTTAATTAAGTACTGTGAAAACACTATGTCGTTACCCCGACTGTCCTGTAATTCTTTAATGACAATAATTGAATCATTGAGCAGTGTGAATTGGTGTGTTTGTCGTTTTCAGTTTTCCATCCAATTTACTTGTAATTTTTAAACAAACATTGTAAATTAAGGGCTATATAGAGTTCGCATGTAGTTTTGGTTATCATAGTAAAAATGCAGAAAGAACTTTTATGACATCTGCTCTGGAAAATTATCAAAGATTTTTTAGGGTTTTTTTTTCCATGGTTTTCTCAATTTTTATTGTCGACTGAAATTGAAATAAAAAATATGTACCGTATTTTTCTGATCCAGAATCAAGACTTATGGAATGTTTTAACTTCTATCGTCTTATTTGGGTCTATTTGTGTATATGGACAGAGCTATACTTGAAAAGCAATTGTCAAGAAAACGTGAATTTTGATACGATTAACCGGTTAATCGGTCGGAACTTCTTGCGGTTAACCGGTTAGCAATTCTGTAATCGATTGCCATCCCTAATTTTTAACATGTATATATTTTTTTTAATATCTACTGGAATGTATAATAATTTATCACAAATCGAACCTTTAAACATACAAAACAAATAATACTAAGTTAGTTTTTGGATTTTCCGTAAAATGACAATGTAGCTTGCATTTAAATAATTTGTATTTTTACAAAATATTAAAGGATACCACCATCGAAATGGTCACAGAGCACAGACTATCATCATTAAAACTACCGAGAACAGTTTTTGGCACTCGATATCATTTGACAGAAATATCATATATCAAGTGACTTGAAATTTCAAATAAAGACAAATGGCACAACTCTTGTAAAATCATATTTCAGAATTAAAACAACTAAGTAGACAAAAAAAAAAAAACAAACAAACAAACAAAAAAAAAAAAAAAAACAAAAAAAACAAGAAAAAGTTTTAAACACATATCTCAAACTAATAGGCCAAACCTACAATAGTATTACAAGTAGGGAATTATTATTTACAAATAGCGCAAATTGAATTATTTCATCAACATGCTCATTGAATATTTTTATTGCTTTCTTAAATTGACAAACAATTTAACATTTTTAATGCACATCAATATGTTCCAATTCTCGTGATTAAGCCAGTCTTAAAATTCATATCTTTTACTTTCATTTATATGTATATTACATAATTCAATTTTCTTGATTTAGTTACTATTGAAATTCAACTCCTTGTCTTTCAAAATTTACATGCATATTTGATATTTCAATTCTCTTGATTTAGCCACTCATTTATATGTATATTACATAATTCAATTTTCTTGATTTAGTTACTATTGAAATTCAACCCTCTGTCTTTTATGATCATTGATATGCACAATAAATATTTTAATTCTCTTGATTACGCTATACTCTTGAAATTGAACTTCTTTACATTTAACCGAAATGGTCATTTTATATGTCATTTCGTTTGGTTTAGTCACTCTTGAAATATAACTACTTGACTTTAATTGATATGCACATTTTATATATCATTTCTCTCGGTTTAGCCTTCTTGAAATTCAACTACTTGACTTTCACTGATACAAGTATGCACGTTAAAAAATTTCAATTCTTTCAGCTTTTCAACTGAAGACTTTAAATTTATCACAATGGCATGATATTGACTATTTACATGATCTATCTACTGTTGAATTAATTTGATTTCTTGATCTTTTCACATTTATAAATATGCATTTCACATTTAATTGATCATTAACACCCACTTAATTTTTTTTTGTTTTGTTTTGTTTTTCTTTTTATTTATTGCCTTCAGTACTATTAATTCACTCTATAACATGGCCAGCATCTGATAGCAAAACACAGCTGGACATATTAAAGAAAACACTTTCCAGTGTTGTGCCGACAATTAATGAGATAAGAATCACAGGCGTACGTGTTAAGTGACCATTACTGTATTTAAAGCTTGCTGTGAAACAGATCTAGATTGTAGAAGACAAGGTTTTAAACAGGGAAAAAGAAATTGGAGCACAAAGTTGTCCGCTGCTGAAAAAAATTTCCCTTGAAGCAATTGAAATCTTTTTTTGCTTGCACAAGAAATAAGTACTTTAATTTAAAAATTGTTTTACTGGTACATCTCATTTCTTTGAGATTAGTAGTTGGTTTACTGTGACCTCCTTTACTGCAAACTTCTCGCTTTGTTTACAATCATAGGCAGTGTTCTCTGTGTTGAACGATTCATCACTAGCGCGGGAAACCTGCTCTGTTCACTAGCATAACAGCGCAAGAATTAGTTTATTTATATACCACCGGCACGTCAATCTTTTAAAAATAACCTGGTTTGTACAATGTTCAATTTTGTGAATTTTCTTTAAAAAATTGTTTTCAAAATACTTCTTATTATATAAAACATTTATTGATATATAAATCAAAATTTTGTTTGCAGGATATGTCACTTTTGTTGACCGCATGTCCCTAACACTATTTTCTTTTGCGGATGGACACAAATTCCAATAAAATTGATAATAAATATTTATGTTTATAAACACTTCAAAGCATATCAGGAAACATATTCTTGTTCTGTAGATAATGAAAACTGTAAATAAACCAATATTATACAAGAACCCGAACGCAAAATACTCAAATGAAAAAGTGATTAGTTTCGATACATTGGGGAATCCCTTACAAGTCACATAACATGAGTTGATACCATCAACTCGTAAAAACCCCAATTATCAGAAAAATAGAAATGGTCTGATGTGTGGTGGTTACAGAATGTTCTCTCTAGAATTACTAAGCATAATGTTTTAAGATGAAGAGAGTTTTTAGATTGGAAATATAGGGGTAAGTACTGTAGATATACATGCTACATGTATAACAAAGTTTGTGCTTGAGAGAACCTGTGATATCGCGGAAATAGGAAGTAGCTGTACTATATACACATATAATTATATATATATGCACTTGTTTCATAGGGCATGACTTCGTCAAATGTCATGTAGGTTTCCATATGAGTTCCGGGGAAAGAACTTGGAATTTTGATTGATCAGGAAGAGTTAAGATTTTTCTAATTAATTAGAAGAGTGGGTGAAATTGAAGCTCATGTAGGTCAGAGGATTTTAATTGTGTGTGTTAATGTAAAAAATGCTATATATTATGATACTGTGTATACATAATATTGGAATGTTCGTTCTTATTAGTTTTGTTTCTGTATTACCAATATAAACATTTGACTCTGCCTTTTAATGTTTTTATGTATGTTTTCATGAAGTAGGTGTTTACGAATATTAAATTATACAAAATAATTACCACAATGTATTAATTACAGCACATGTGGAAAATGTTTCCTTTTTTTATTACAGATGACGTAAATAACATTTCTGGATGACTGTATCTATACAACTTAAGACCATGGAAGTTCGAACAGGAATGAGACAAGAAATGAATATTATTTTAAAGATATTTTCCATGTTATTCATTTTTCAAGTGGGAAAGGCTCAGAATTCCAATCGATTTTTAGAAAAAGGTAAGAATTTCAATAGTATACATGTGTCACTGAAAGATGAGTTTCTTCATACTTTGGGAACATGTAAACAACAGTTGTGACATGTTGTAATCTAGGGTTGATAATAAATTTGAATGCTAAGATCATTACTACCCATGGGTATTTTTACTCTCTCAGAAACTAGCTGTTATAATCAGTGGAGGACTGAATTCCTGTATAAATGGGTGTGAGGGTGGGAAAGGGGTGTGTTTCACAGATATTTAGAGCTTCCGACATGACCTTTTTTTTTTATCCATGGTGATTGGGAAGGATTTTCATTTCCTTATAAAGCCTAGTTTTTGGAAGATTATACTGATATGAATAGGGGGCACTCTGCATTATATAAAAAAAAATGTAGATTTTAATCATATTCAGTTTTGCTCATGAACATCATCAAATTGTATTGTTTTGATCAAGAGTTACTCCTCTAATCTCAAAAGTAGGTCTGTCAAACAAGCACCTTAATTGGTACCTTGTGTAAAATTAGAAAATTCAAATTGATCTCTCAATGTCTTGAAATAATTTTTTTTTTATAATTATTTCACATGTGTATTGTTATAATCTTTCTGGACCAAAGATAAAAAGAGGGTTTTGATGTGTCTAACCCGACAAAACATTTGTCCATAATTAATGAAATTAAAGGTCTGTAAGCTGGTTCAATTGTTCATGTGTGGTTCCCATTTTTGGTTTCTTTAATTTCTCCACAATGTTTGATATACCCATACATTGTGTTGTGTCATGTGCTTCTCTCCCATATCTTTTGTATTTATAATTAATTTTTATGTGATGAATATTGTATTATACTGTACAGAGTTGATGTCATGTCAGAGTGTGAAAGGATACCTTGTGGGTCTGGTGGTTCACATCAGAAAAAAATTTCATGTATTTCTCATTAGTTGTTCTAAAATCTTACAGTATTTATACAGTGGTTATTGGTATAGAGTGATAGACATAAAAATTAATGCAAACAGCATGCTGTAGAGTTTACTAACACTTAAAGGCTGCTGTATGTTTTCAAGTCAAAATTGCGGGGGTGCTCAAAAATTCAAAATTTGTTGCAGTTATGATTTATATGAGAATATCAGTTGGAATTCATATTAAGTGAGTAAAATCTCATGACTCTTTTGATTTTTTTCTTGGTGTTTTTGTCTTGTTACTGGGGTATCAGTGAAGGGAATCGTATGAGAACATATTTAGAGTTCACAAGGTTAGACTACTTCCCCATTGTGAGATTGTCAACAAAGATAGAAGCCATACAGTGTAGCAGGCATGAGATTACATACAGACTTCTGTTCTAAATCTGGTTTATGTTTTACAGTTAACATGTTAAGATTGGAGATGGTATTCTCTAGTGGCAGACATTTATTGATGCTTTCTCAGAGTTGTCGAAATTTTTAGATGACTGACAGACAGTCTGACTTATTAAGATTTTGTTGGTCAGAACAAAGAGCTAGTATTCCAGATCCTTCATTTTGAATATGTTTCAAGTTTACTAGTCATCTTGACTGACCTGTCAAAAAAAATTCCTTCCAACAGTCCCCAGTGAGTCTTGCCAACAGAACAGATGTTTTTTTTGACAACATCATGCTCTCCTTATCATTTTTTTCTGCTTTAGACAGAAATATTTGGCTTATCTGTTGAAAATCTGTCTGCATCTTCAGTTTGTTTTAGAATTAGAATCCTAAAAGGAAGATGATATTCCATGTAGTAACATGTTAAGCATGATGCCATGTAGTAACATGTTAAGCATGATGCCATTTAGTAACATGTCAAGCTACCTTAAAAAAACAGAAAGAGGAGTGAAAGATGTGCAGGTATATCCAGACTGGGTTTACAGGAGAGGGCATGGTCCTGAGTTCACAATAATAGGGGAAGAAAGAGATAACTTTATAAATAGTGTTTCTTAGCAAATTCATATACTTCCTTGAATTCTTATTCACACATGATAGTTAAAGGCACACTGATGTAACAATAACTAGCTTCCCCCCCCCTCCCCAATTCTGAAGTGTTGTGGATGCTTGCTGGGATAAATACAATACACAGATTATATGATTCTAATCTCTGAAATTCTACATTTGATCCTACCTTAAAGCCTGTATATGTTTTCAACAAGCTAGCTCTTGAATGTTCTAAACTACAGTTAAGGTCATGTTGATACATAAATGATTATCAGATCATCCCAATAAATTATCACATGTCTCATGTAATAATATAGTAGGAATGGTGAAAATGTTGTTTTTAGGAAGCATTGTCTTGCAAAATTGTTACCTCTAATACATGTACTTGATTTGGATATAGAGTAGCTAGGTGAAGGTTGTGGGTCACGGGTCTCTTAGAGTGGGTACACACAGTAAGGCTTGTCATATTGAACTTAAGTTCTAGCCTGTCCTGTACACCCTTAATATATGGGTTTTTTTAAGTCTTACAAGTCTGACCTACAAATAGAGCACTGCTGTATTTCTTAATACAAGACTTCAATAAGCTGACCTTTTCTTCTTTGCCAATGAAAGCCATTTTCTCGAGTGTCGATCTCACTCAGTTTTTAATCAAACCTTACAAGTGGGTAGATTGAAATGAACACAAAGTATTTTGGAATGAGATAATGTATCCACTTCTGTTCAACCTTTTCCTTTTTTTTTTTAAGCTCTACTGGTCAGAGACCAGAAGAGCTTATGCTTAGTAAGGTGTCCGTTGTCTGTCTGTAAACAATTTTTCAAAAATGCTACTCCTCCTACATTCTAAGAGTCTATATTCTATTTATTGCTGTTGCAAAGTTTCAAGTGCTTCTTTTCTCTTTCTTTGTCATAAGTAAAAACCAGTAGAGCTACAGTCTCATCAGAGACTTCTGGTTCAGAAATGTGAATGCAATACAACACCCTAGTAATACTGTCTTCTGTTTTAATGACTGAATGCACTGTTTTGGACTGAAAAAAACATGGAATTTATGGAAATGTGTATAATCTTGCCTTGGGGTGTGCACATGAAAGCCATACACCCTGCAAAAATGTAAGGGTTTAGACTGATAAGGCAAGCCTTACGGTGTGTACCGGCCCTTAGGTATTTTGCTGATGGTTGAACTGAAATGCCTGCTACACAAACTGCTAAAGCAAATATCTTACAATTTTACTTGATTTAGTTGAGATGATTCTGATTTATCCTCCTAAGTAAATGAAATGTTCCTTGTGACTGATCGGAAAAGTGTTGTACGAGGGTGCTGGATTAATCAATAGAATTAGGCGTTCCTCATCACTAATTAGCTAATTGATTGTGTCTAATCTTAGCAACAAGCCTTTCATTCTTGATTTTAAAAGTTCACAACATCTTTGTACATGAACTATTGTATCTTTATATGTAATTTAGTATATAAATGTTTCTGCATGTGTACTGTATGGTATATTTTTATTTCTGTAAACATGGTGACAAATTATTTGTACTACAAAACTCCACGAATCAATGTACATGTAGTATTTTGAAGTAGGTTGACCTTAAATACACCAATAAGAATGTTGTCCTGTAGATTCTGTCAGAGAAAGAAAATGTATGAGACTTCATCTCATAGAGACAGAATTTTTATTTTGTGCATTCATGAATGATGATGTAAGACTTACCAAAGACAGGGAGAAGAGGGATGCATTCCCAGACTACAATTCATTACACAGTCATGTTCGTATCTTTGTAAGAATAGTACCAAAGCTTGTAAACGTCAAGAAATTTGACAGCTAGTAATATAAGAAACCCAATTATGTCAACATTAGTTTAGAACAATGTTCTCAGAGCTTCAACGAATACAGAATCATCAGGGATGTAATGGAGTAGCGGCACAACAATAGGGCTCAATGTGTGGCTATACCATACAAATTACTTTATGCATTCAGGAATTGCAGATGCAAAATGATATTTATCATAAACATAACCAAGTTAATTATAAACTAAAAAAATTCTCATTCAAGTAACCAGTTAGCTTTACATTTTCCATGTCTGATGAAAACAAATCAAATAGTTTTAGGTTTATTTTAAATGACTGCATGCAAAGATGTCAAAATGGAAAGTACTTAGGTGTGTTTACTGTATATACTCGCCTATAAGTCGGTTTTTTTGGGAGTTAAATTTTCGTCCAAAACTCTATGTCTGACTTATAGGCGAGTCATAAAAAGATTAGTATTTTAATGGACGGCGAAATATAGTATTTTATAAACATTTCCCATGATTATCTTTGAACAAAGTCTGGATATATTATATCAATTATGTATTCTAAGATTATACATAAAGTATAAGTATTTACTTAATTTAATAACTTTATTTTTATGTGAAGTGTGCATTATGTATTTTTCTTAATGATTTAAAATTAAATATCGGCATCATTTCTAAAAATATAATTAATCAAAACCAGGTTAAAACATTAGAGCATTGATTTGAAATTGTCAACTGATTCTGGCAAAAAGTTGTCCCGACTTATTAGCGGGTCAATGGCAAATCCCTCCAAAATAACCTTAAAAAAATACAACTGACTTATAGGCGGACCGACTTATAGGTGAGTATATACGGTAAATGTAAGTCATTGGGAAACATTTTATCCAGTGATTTGCATATTGGGATATATATACAGTTTATCAAGATACATGTATGTATCATATCATGGGGTTTGTATAGAGTCACAACTTCAAAAATCATTGCTATATTGCTAGCCTTGGAAAAACTTTAATGAAAAGAACATGACCCACCAAGACCACCATCGAGTTGCAAGATTACCTTCTTAGTTTTGTAGTTAACACATTGCATGGCTTCTTACTAACTTTATCCTTTGCACTGGCATACTAGAGGTTCTGGGTCCAATCCCAAGCAGAAGCATAAATGTGTCTCTATTAGGATATTACATACAGACATACTGGCAACATGTGTAGAGAGTATATGGGTACAGACGTCTTTCTTATCACATTTGGTGATAGCTGTAAGTGCAATCAGTCTTACAGCCATTCAATTTCAAATATCTGAAATCTAACTATGTTCTTGTTAGGCTTTATTTGACGTAAAGATTAAACATCCAGAACATTGCATTCAGTTCTTGGCAAGGGAGACAAATGATGTCCAGAAATCAAGCTGATCAGGTTAAATGCAGCGTGACAATCAAATAACACCCAAACCAATAGACAAGTTAGCTGTTTAATGAAATTCAGTTCCACAACATTTCCAGACACTCTCAAACTAAATACAATGTTCAAGGAAGCTTGCAGATACAAATGTTTGGATGGGTTTGTTAATAAATAATGCACTATTTCCCTATTTATATATAGTAACCTGTTACAGGTTGTATGCTCTGTAGGGACAGAACCAGACAGGGGAGGTTACAAGAGATTGCTGAAGTAATGAACTATAGGATTGATTTTATTAAATTATACTAAGTCTTCATAAGATTCATATACACTAGCATGATTTAGAATAAATTGCATCAAGTAGTGATTTTAATTTTTTTTTCCATGATCTTGGTGCATTACCCAAACCCATCCAATATGCACCATTTAATGATCATGAAACACCTTGCTTTATAGCAAGACAATGTTTAATTTTCAATGTACAGTACTATATTCTCTTTGTAATGATGAAATTATATACCTGATAAAATATTCTGGAGTGAAAAATTTGTCTGCATTTTAACATTGTTATTTAGTCATCATAAAAGATCAACATTATTTTGAAATCATTTTGGGGTCCAGTTAATAAATGTCATTTTACTTATATGCCAGTAATCAGATAATTTTCTAATAAAAATATTTCAGAGATCAGGACAGAATAGATCTCCCTGTAATTTAGAGATTTGTGAGGAGGAAAATTCAGTGTTTGAAGTATACTGTCATTTTATAGATTAAAATTATCTAACAGCATCTATACATGTAGTAGAATTTTGAAAGCTGAAAGCAGATTTTTTTCCTTACATATAGGCATCCAGCCAGATATCATGTCGACAAGTAATTTTAAATGACAGATTCAGTGAATTTTTTTTGTAAAGATCAATACATGGAATACTTATAATTAAAAATATATATAAATTATGCACTAGTTCATTGTTTACTGTATAAACATTTTTTTTTATAGAATTTTAGTAGATATTACCTAAATTTTATGAGATAATCTTTAAATTTTTAGATTATTAAAAAAAAAAAGCTGTAGACACGAGCTTAAAACATGAGTAATGTGGCCATGTGGAGAACTTTGCATATAGATCTTTAACATAATAAATAAACATTCAAACAGGATTTAAGAACTTCACATAAATATACAGTGTACTTCCTAAAAAAAGTGTTAATGCTTTGTGCTTCTGTACTAGATGAAAGATACATGATCAGTTGTTGTACTTGAAAATTTTATTTATGAACAGATGTTTTGATATGAATCTATCTGTTCCATCCAAAATTTCAGGAAGATCCTCAGACTACAATCAGTTAGCTGTGACTTGTAATTAAAATATTGAGATTTTAGGAGGACTATTCTTAGTTTAGTATAAGTTTAAAGTGGACCTGTGTTAAAAATCAACTATAGATGGACTATCATTTGTTTTAGATGAACCATATTCTTTTAGTATTGGTTTTAAATAGACCATTCTTTGTTTAGTATTGTTATTTTAGATCGACCATTCTTTGTTTAGTATTGATTTTAGGTTGGTCATTCTTTGTTTAGTATTGGTTCTTTGTTTAGTATTGATTTTAGGTGGGTCATTCTTTGTTTAGTATTGGTTCTTTGTTTAGTATTGGTTTTAGGTGGGTCATTCTTTGTTTAGTATTGGTTCTTTGTTTAGTATTGGTTTTAGGTGGGCCATTCTTTGTTTAGTATTGGTTTTAGGTGGGCCATTCTTTGTTTAATATCACTTTATGTGGACCAGTCCTTGTTTAGTTTTGGCTTTTGATGGATCATTCCTAACTTAAGGGGGCTGACTGGGGTTTTCATTGCGCAATACTTTGCACAGCACAGTAAAATAAAGCGTATTTGCTCTTTTAAAGCAACTTTTTTTTTTTACATAATTTATAAAAATTAACAAATTTAGGAAATATCAGGTTAAAAATCTAATTACATTTTTGAAAAACTGATTTTTAAACGATTTTTCAAATGATGGGTAGATAGACGTCGTAATAGTGTGTTTTTGACGTTATGAATAACCGAGGTTCTTTAAGTGGGGTCATTAATTATGTCATAAAATAAAAAGTATTAAATAGATGCTCTTGAAATTTTAAACATAGGAAATTGAGAATCTCAAATCATATTTGTTATTTTTTATGTAAATCTGTGGTATCTGACATGTTTTGTTGTACTCCAGAAAAACAGGGAAATATCACGAATTTTTACATTTTGAGACGTCCCCTCTGGAAACCAGACAGTAGAATTTTGTGTTTCTTTCGTAAAATGTACAATATAGTATTACCCATCAAATAATATAATTTGAGCAAAAAGTCTAGAGTAGCTTTTGTATAATTTGCTCCAAAGTGCGAAAAAATGCCATTTTCCTATATAATCTTATAGTAAATGTACCTGTATTTTGAGATGGTCCCTAAAAAAATAACCAGATGGTAGATTTTCACTAAACTTGGCATATACATGTATTCTGAAGTCAATGTAAGGTACATATGGTATAAAATTAAAGAGTTTCTCTATAGTAGTTTTCACACAATAAAACCCCAGTCGGCTCCCTGAAATGTTTCTACAGGAGTTATTAGAAGTACTTCTTATTAACACTCCATATATATACTTACAACCTTGGAAATTCAATGTCAAAATCAAACAAAATTTGAATGAAGTTGGATTGAAAGAAGGCCAGTTGTATAGAGAAGTTTTCATTGTATGCAATATAGAATTACTGCTTTTGAAGGTCCCATTTATAGTGATTATAGACAAAATGGAACCAAATTTGATTGACCTTGGATTTATAGATTATTTACACTTATATACTGGGAAGTCTGCTTTATTAAATGTTATGACAGATCATCTTATTTGGACAATAGAATAAATTGGGCATGTCCTTAAATATTAATTACACCAGCTGCATTATTGAGTGTATTAAATCTAGTAAGTAAAATAATTCTTATCATTGAATGGGAGTGGAACAGATGAAAATTTTTATTTATACCCATCTAATCCAGATTATATTGCTCATAGAAAGATAATTGATCAACTTGAATAAAGCAGATATAACTGTTATCAGTTCCTAGCAGTTGGAGTCATTTTGGAAAAAAAAAGCAATTAAAAAAATTAATTTTAAAGCTTTTTGGGTCTGTTCCAAAGAGTCTGAATCACTAGCTTTGGAAGAAATATTTTTTTACTTTGCATAAGAAAAGGACTTTGTTCTTAAGAGTTTCTCACACATTGCAGTCAACTTGAAAGCTTATTCTGTAACTTAAGATTTGAAAAACACAAGATTTTTATGTTCCATTAATTTCAATTAATTATGAATAAAAACACAATTGTATAAAGGTTATAAATGGTGTGGGTGGTGACATTTTGTTGCAATATCAAGTATCAAAGAGAATTATAGTTTTCACAGAGAGGGGGTGAATTGTGCTGAGGTCCCTCCAAATCAGAGACCCATTAGTAAAGATACACAAACTGTCCAGGAGCCAGAAGCAAATTAGCTAGATCTGTGTTTTCAGAGATAACATTAATTCACTGGATTATCGTATTTCTTTAGGATAAAATAATTGTTACTGTTGGATGCTGGGTTAGATTTAGATGCTGCAGAGTTGTGGGTGGTCAGTTAGTCTACTTGGCTTTAAAAAAAATGGTTTTAAATAAACAGGATAAGAACTTGTGCTTAACTTCTTAATGAGATCCAACCCCATTTTTTACTTTGTTCTATCTGAAAACACGTTTGTAATTAAATAACATTTTTTCAGCTTTTGTCTTGTTAACCATCAGTAGGAATTCTTCAGTGTTAAAGAATCAGGGAGACATATTGTGAAAACTACCGGTATTGCCCTTTAAGTTTTAATTATGCCATGGTACTTGCTTGCAACTCTGACAAATATAATTAAGCCACTGGAGTTTTGGCTAATGTATGAAATAAAAAGGTATTGGATTTACTGTGATCTTTAAAAGTCCATATAATATTAAATTTCTCATATATATCAATATTAAGAATGTATGAATGTATTTTATTACTGAAATGAACTTAATGTATAAGATGATTACTCCTTATAATATTGTAGATTTAGTCATAAAGACATTCCAAAATGACAGCATCAGGGACCACAGTTATTTGTACATAGACAACTCCACTGGGTCACTCTTTGTTGGTGCTAGGTAAGATTATATCTACATGTACATAGACAACTCCACTGGGTCAAAGTTTCTCCAGATTGTTGTTAAAAACCATGTTTACAACTTGCAATCTAGCAATCACTTAGCTATGACGTTCTACAACTGCTCAATTATGATGTCACAACCTACAACACTGTGTTACGAAAAGACAGAGGCAAATCAAAGAAAATGTAATAAACTGAAAATAATTTCACTCATAGACAGGAATTTTTTATATTTTCATTTGTGCTTCACACTCGTGAAAACATAAAAAAAAAATCCATTCCCATTCATGTCCCACTCATGAAATAAATTCCATATCCAACTATAAAACATTGAATATCCTCTATGTATTTATTTAATATTTCCAGTGGGTCACTCTGTGTGTGTACATAAACAGGTCTATTGGGTCACTATTCCAACTTTTTGGGTTTCTTAATTTAACTCATTTATTGGTGTTAATTGAGCTGGACTTTAATTAATAATAAATTACAAATGCAAGAAAATTTCACAAAGACACCTTTTATTGGTGCTTTGCCCAAGTAAAACTATATTTAGAAGGATATTGTTAAATCAACTGGCTCACTATTGGTATGTTTATTAGTCCCCTACCGGTGAAACCGGAGGGGACTATAGGTTTCCTCCGAGTCTTTCCGTCTTTCTGTCCGTCCGTCTGTCTGTCTGTCTGTCCCTCTGTCTGTCTGTCAGTCTGTCCCACTTGGTTTTCCGCACTTTTTTCCTAAACGCTTGCAGATATTGAGCTGATTTTTGGTATGTGAGTGTATCTTGATGAGTTACAGATCAAGTTTGCATTTCGTTCCACTTCATTGATTTTTGACGGAATTACGGCCTTTTCAATTTTTAGGGCTTTTCCGCAATTTTCTTCTAAACGCTTGTAGATATTGAGCTGATATTTGGTATGTGGCTTTACCTTGATTACTTATAGATCAAGTTTGCATTTCGTTCCGCTTCATTAATTTTTGACGGAATTATGGCATTTTCAATTCTTACGGGAACCAGATTACACTTGCCGGTAGGGGACTAGTATTGCTAATGCAATACTCTCAGAATGCTTGTTTATTTTCATTTACATAGACATTTCCATTGGGTCACTTTTTGTTGGTCTGTGGTCACATCTTATTTTTGAGCAATATCTTGTTTGAATTTTTCCACCCGCTGACCATTGTTTCACATCCTTTTTTCTCTCTAGATTCAGATAACATATAAAGATTATCAAATGAGGGAATACATATCTAACTTTATATCTAACTTGTCATTATTTTTCCTTGAATCTGTAAGCGTACTAAAACCACTCTGACATGTAACTAACATTACATTGTGTTACAAAAAACCCAGTCACGACCATGTGACCAAACTACAGTGTAGGCAACACACATGATCTAATGCCAGATCATGTCATCATCAAAATCTATAAATTTATACAGGATAGCTTTTGTTTATTCATAATCCCGCTGAACCACTCTAAAATTAAATGTGATTTGTGAAATGCATGTATTCTGTGAAGGGACATTTTTGCAGAAAAATTTTAGAAATTTTGAAAAGTGTCCAGGACATTTGAGTTTACCACAAGATTTATATATCTATGTATATGTACACACATATCCTCTTTTGCCAAAACTTGCTGATGTTGATTGCTGAAGAATGATACTAGCTTCAGTGTACTTTTAACATAGTCAGAGTACTGTATACAGTTATGAATAATCATTTTCATTTTAAACAAATGATTCCCAGTCTCAAATAGTTTTTATACACCCTTCTATGACGGGATGTTTTATGAGCTCAGATCTGAGCTGAAAGCTTAAGTGAGCTTTTCTGATCACCTGTTGTGTGGCGTCCATCCGTCTTTTCAGATTTTCGACTTCTTGCAAGAACCACTAGGCCAATTTTAACCAAAATTGGTACAAAGCATCCTTGGGTGGAGGGGATTCTAAATTGTTCAAATAAAAGGCCAAGTCCTATTCCAAGGGGAGATTTAAAAAAAGCAAAAATAGGGTGGGGTCAATAAAAAACTTTTTCTCCAGAACCACTGGGCCAGAAGAGATGAAACTAAGTGAAAGCTTCTTGTAGATTCTAAATTGTTCAAATCATGGCCCCCAGAGGTAGGGTGGGGCCACAATAGGGGATCAAAGTTTTACATGGGAAAATCTTAAGCACCACAAGCATGTCACACATATGCAAACATTCCCAAATTGTGTGGATTTTTTTTTTCAAATTATGCACCATGGGTTAGAGTTAGCTAAAATAGGGATCAAAATTTACATGATGCATGTATACAGGTAAAGAAATTGCTTCTCATTGAATAATTGCAAGGTCATGTTAATCATAGTGATATTAAAGAATTCCCATCTTGTTTTAATTGATTCAGAGACCTTTAGAGTGGGGCTATAATACATATGGGGTCACAATTTTTCATGGGAATATAAAAATCTTTTTGGAAATCTGAAGTACAGCAGAGCTTAAGTTACTCAGGTGAGTGTTGTGGCCCATGGACCTCTTGTTCTAGTTTTAATGTAAAATTTCTTAATTTATTTCAGGAATTTTTTAGTACAATTAAAATTAGAAAATATCAGTGATGAAAGTGGACTGGTGAGTACAATAAAATCTTATAGAATAGAAATGATCAATGATGTTGTATATAAATAGATAATAGGAAAACTTTATCCAGCCATCTGAAACCATATACAGTAAAACAAGCTTATAGCTAACATGCTTATAATAAATTGACGCTTACAGCGAAATGATTTTCATTCCTTACGACTTTAAAATATATTGTAAAGTTAACAGATATAAGGAATTACGCATATAACGATGCAAAATAGTCCCCCCAACCCCCCAACCTCACCGGGACTTTGTTATAAACATGTTTTACTGTACTGTATACAGGGAAATTTTTGCCCCTGTTTTATTTTTGCCCTTCGCCCTACTCACAGATGGGCAAATTTAAAATGGGGCGAATTCAAAGAACATGGTATAATTTCTTAAACAGAACTGTGACTGGGCGAATTTAAAATGGGGCAAAATTGCTTGCAAATGTGAAAGGGAAAAAATAACATAGGGCGAAAAATAACCCTGTAAAGAGTACCAACTGGAGACTATGAGTAAAGATCTAGGTGACTGATACTGGTTGAAGGTTAACATGAACCTGGGCAGGGTTTTCAATGTTTGATACCTAATAATAATAATATACAAGTGCAAATTAAAACAAAATTACTCCAAAATATTTTTTACCAAGCTTTTGTTGTATTATTATCCTGAAGTACTATAAAGATAATGCCATAATATAGTAATGAAAGATACTATGTACAAGACATGTGCTATCAATTGTATCATTTCTTTCTGATTTTTTGTGATAGAAAACAAAAAAGGTTGTGGCTTCTGATGAAAATAGAAAGCTGTGTTCTTTTAATGGGAAATCAGTTGTAAGTATTGTACAGGCTTACATGTATGTAGCCTGTTTACATGTATAAACAAAAACCTAGTCCTTGTTTACTTAAATTTTTCACTTCCAATCACAATTATCTGTCATAAATAAGAATCCGGGATGCCTGAATAATTGTTTTTTTTCCTTATTTGTTTCTGTAGGAGTACTGTCAGAATTACATTAAGTATATTGTTCGTGTTGATAACGCCACACTGTATTTTTGTGGAACTGATGCCAATACGCCTTCCGAGTATAAAGTTACGGTGAGTGAAATCACAGTTTCTTATAAAGTAAATTCACTTTTCCCAGTACTCATATGTTTAATATCAAAATATATAAAGGCATTTGCGTAGCTCAGGTATAAATAAATATGCATTAAAAAATTGTCTTTGTTGTATTATTTATACAGTATTACAGTGAATGAATACTTATATATTTCAGATAAATGATAATGAATTAAGCATATTGTCATCTCAAAAAGCCACTGCATGTCCAAGGGACCCCAAGGACAACACAACTGCAGTTTATGTCAGTGAGTATGAAGAATCTGATCTCAATGAAAGGAGAAATCAGCATTGGCAATTGTTTTGTTGTTTTGAACATATTTTATTGGGAGGTCAACATTACCGCTACATTGCGAAAAATTTCAACTCATTACCGCTACATTTCTCAAATTTTCTGGCGATCTTTACCGCTACATTTTATCAAAGGAGCTAATGCCAACAACAACTCATTACCATTACATACCGAATCGGCCAGCAATGGCACGGTATTTGAGTTCCATTCAGTATAATTCACTCACCATGTAGTGAAGTACAATTTGGATCTGAATTCTAATCAAAATGAGTATAGGCCTGTATGAGTCTGTAGTCGATTTAACGTCATAGGAATGTGTGTGTATATATATATATATATACTAGACTTTGACCCGTGCATGCACAGGTTGACATTGTTATGAATGCATCCATGTGCATATCGGACATTTACAAAATAGATACATCGACAAATTCATATCGTAAGGTATTTTTGAAATAAACAATGAATGTGAATATAATTCTGGGTTTTTTTGTGTGTGTTTGTTTTGTTTTATTTTTGTTTTGTTTTTTTTAAATTGTTGCGTAACGGTGTAGCGCAGAATGGGTTTGACCACCAGTTAGCTATAAATCAAGTCTTGAGTTCGAATCACGCTGGAGCTTACATAAATTTCACCTTTCCGAACAAATTTAATGAAAGAAATTATGGATGTTCATTGAAAATATGACAACAGCAAAGAGTTGAGCACACTGCTGATACATATCAAGCAAAGTAATGAAAATGAAGAAATGTACTAAGCTGGTAACAATTTTAACACTGCAGGTCTCAACTTGTTCAAAATATGACCTCAACAATAAAAGAGTTAAGCACTGCTATTACATATACTTTATATCTACACAGGTAATAGACAGGTATATAATCTGTAAAAGACTGTGAGTGTCTGTTTTGATAAAAATTAATGTAATATCCTTGAATTAGTACATAGAAAAAGTAATAAAAATAGAAGCTTAATTGAGAAAAAATAAAAACAAATTGGTAATCTTCAGGTACGAATGATGTTTAAAATATATAAAACAAAAGACAGTATTCTATCGATTTATCGGTATTAAAGGCCAAAAATTCGAGTCTTTTATTATTTTTATAGTAGTTATATATTTCATATAGTAGTTATTGTAACTTTTGGGGGGAAAAAGAATGCCTACTTCACTATAAGATGTGATTCTAATTGGAGTTGTAACACCAGGCCCCCCTTCAGTTCCCCTCAAAAAGGCATAAAAGAAAGGAGGGATAAAATAAATCGGGAGTTACATTAATGTTGCTCCTACGATCATGAGCTTTTTGTCTCCGTTGAGATGGCTAGAGATATAAATAGCATATAATAAATGTGTCTCCGAGATGGCGAATGATTACCCACGTGGCCACAATATCACATTTGTATGGATATAAACTCAGAAACGATTACGATAATACAAACATAGGCGTCAGAAGCAAATTGAAAGCGGGGTGGCTATTTGAAAGTGGGGGGGGGGGGGGGGGGGCTTAACCAACGAAAAAAGGTAAGCCCCAATTTTCAATGCCTATATTATGTCTATCTTTGCAAAAAAAAAGTGGGTGGGGGGCTAAGCCCCCTTAGCCGCCCCCCCCCTCCCCCCCCCCCCCCTCGTTCTAACGCCTATGACAAATACGTGTAAATTTTCATTGGAAATTTGCTATATATTCTGTTCATATATATTAATGATTTCTTATTAGAGAAATTATACAATAACAAATATATATCTACTTTGTATTTACTTTTGTCTTCTCTGATTTGAACATACTCTCGACCAACGGCTCATATTCGTGTATGAGAGAGAAACGAAGGATAACTCTGCAAGGGAGATTGATTTGAACACCGTGATTATTTACCGTGAATGTAATGCGCACGCGCAAGATTGTAAAATCCAAAAAATCCAGATGATTTCCGGAATTTTTTGAGGAATTCTCATTGATTATTAATTAGCGAAGCTTAATTGAGAAAAAATAAAAACAAATTGATAATCTTCAAGTACCAATGATGTTTAAAATGTATCAAACAAAAGACAGTACTCTTCCGATTTATCGGTATTAAAGGCCAAAAAATCGAGTCTATTATTTTAATATAGTAGTATAGATATATATATGTTGTATTGTACACGCATAAGACGCTGGCTAACGAAAGAGGCATTGTAGCGGTAATGTATACTTTTAAATGTAGCAGTAACGTATCCTTTTTTGTAGCGGTAATGTGGATGAAGCGGTAATGAAAATTTTAAAAATGTAGTGGTAATGATACGCACCCATTTTATTGACAATATGTCAAAGGGATTGGACACAAATTCCAAAAACTTAGATAGACCTCTTGGGAATTATGGTTGCATGTACTTTTAAAATTATCAAGAGTAATTTTATTATCATGAAAGCACATTTTCAAGTACAACTGCTGCCAGAAATATAATATATTGAACAAAGGTAGGCTTTGTTTCTATTGAGTCTCTTAGACACTGCAGGATAATGCCTGCAGATGTCAGGTTGAAATAGATCCAAGATATGTGCCTTTTCCAGACAAAGGTCTGTTATTGCTTTTCACTTTGAAGGTTTTGAAGAGACAATAATAAATATTCAAATGCATTGAGAAATTGTATTAATATAAGAAACTTCAGTAAGCCATGAGCTTTTAGTTTTAGATTGAAGGGTTAATTGTTATCCAGAAAATGGAACAAAATGTTATCCTTTATTACATTATATATTATAAATGGTTTTTAAAAAGAGCTGTAATGTGAGATGGTGTTAATCTGATCCAGTCTATTGATTTTTGATAATCTGCAGAAACTAGATCAGGCAATGGGTGACCTAGTTTTGCTTAAATTATACAACACTGCTGGCAGTCTATATAGCAGCATCCAGAATAAACAAACTCTGACTATGGCTCCAGAAACTCTCATAATGTGTAAATCTCTTCACCCTGCAAAATATAGGTTTTGACACTGATGTATTACATAGATTTCTTGCTTATGAGATGTTTACTGGTCTAGAGAAAATTTTTTTTAAAGAATTTGGGAATATTTGATTTCATAAAAATTTCCATATGAAAAGTGTCGAAATTTCTAGGTTTCAGTAAACTTTTAACAAGAACAGAAGATGTGTAACTTGTATTTACAACAATATTGATTTGTATTGTGTCTGTAGCCAGCGGTAACCCTGGTGACGTACCAGCCCTCTACTCAGCAACCATCCTTGACAATGGGAAGGCCACCATATCCAGACCGCAACTTGTAAAAGATGGTGTAAAAATGAGTGAAAAACTGGAGAATGCAGACCCCATCCGCTGGCTAAATGGTAAAAGAATATACTAGATCCTGAGCATTGATAGAAGTCTAGCAGAGTTATCCTTCTTGAAACTTACAAATGACATCAATAAATTTATAAGAAAGTAAATTTTTTTGAGAAGGAGATTATTTTGTTCCAAAATGGTGGTATATAGAAACATAACTGTTGCAGAACCCCAGTTTGTGGCATCTTTTGATGTGGGTGAAGATGTTTACTTTTTCTTCCGGGAAATTGCTCTTGAGTACACAAATTTCATGAAAAAAATGGTCTCCAGAGTTGCAAGGGTTTGTAAGGTAAGGCACACATTCACTCATAATAACCAAGAAAAATAATGAAAATCAAAAGTTACTTTAATTTTTGTGATAATTTTTTACTTTGTAGAAAGATCTTGGAGGAAGTAGCTTACTTGTCAACAAATGGACGACGTATCAGAAGGCCCGACTGAACTGTTCCTTACCTGGGTCGTTCCCATTCTACTTTGATTTAATCCGTAAGTTAGCAGTTATTGTGATTGTCCAGTAATAATCCCTTATGTTGCAAGAGATATACTCAATTCTAGTGAACGTTTTGATGTTTTCATGCATTGATTATAACACACAGATTAAAAGTTGCCAGAGAAAGAAGATAATTCATTTAAAAGTGTAAAAAAAAAATCATTTTTTTTTTGTACATGATGGATTCTGGGACAGAATTCTTTGTTTTGCAATTGCTATTTTCACAGTATTTGTGCTAATTGTGTTGCACTTGGACCAAAAAAAGTCATACAGCACATTATTGACGTTTTCTAGAAAGTACAATACCTCTGCACGCAAGTCCCAAATTTTTTTTATATAAGCATTCTTATGAAAAAAGTCAAATTTTGGGTGAGATTTTGTGTTGTGGACACTACATTACACCTGTTTTATCTAAAATAAAATATTAAAGATATTTATTTATTCCAAACTTCTTGCAGGTTTCGATTATGTATCTGATTGCAGTGAAATAAACGAAAAATGTTATGGTTCTCTTTGAAAACAAAAATTTTATTCATATTAATGACTTGCTAATTTTTTTGCCTAATTTATCTCCCATCCATAAGTTTATCTACCTTTATAATTATACACATAAAACCTATATAATTATCATGTGAAAATTAAATTGAATGATTCTAAATTTCAAATACATTTGTCATAATATCCTGGATATCTTTGTTTGCATCTTGTCTAGCTTTGAAAATGCATGGCATTTTTGTTGCGGACACTACAAGTAACCATAAGAATAATCTTTTGTCATTTTTATAAAAATAATTGTTGATAAATGTTCGTTTCTAGGCTGAATTACATACCACAGGATCAACTCTTGAAAATGGACAATATTAAAAGATGTAGAATGTGGTTTATTGAGATGAAAATAACCACATAACAAGGACTATTAAATATTTCTTGATGTATAATTGTTATGCAGTTTAAAAAAATGTCTATGATTTCACTTACGTTAATACAATTCAAAAAGTTACAACAAACAGTTTTGTAGATAAATTCAATGAATTAAAGAATTTTCTGAGGAATCTATAATTTTTTTTCAGTATTGAAATTGTTGTAGACACTACAATATATTGAAATATTGCTAAATGACACCATATTTGGTTTGAATGGCGTAAACTGAACATCTTAATCTCCAACTAGTTCTATATGTACGGTAAATGGTATTATATTATAGGGAAATAAAAAAGGCTAGTCAAAAATGGTATTTTGGCCTAGAAAATAAAACCCATATATATATATATATATATATATATATATATATATATATATATATATATATATATATATATATATATATATATATACCAGTAAGTTTGAAGTGTTATCTTGTACAAAAATCACCATTTGTTATCTTAATCCAGTTAATAAACTTTATTATAAAAGGAGCTAAATATCGGAGAAGTATTTCATATTTCAGAAATATTTAATGAAATAAAAAGTGAAAATAATACATGAATGTGTTATATAGTTATTAATGTAGTGTCCGCAACACAAATGCATTAGTTAGAGCTAGACTTATTAATTAACAATTAACATATTGATATATTCTTAAGTTTCCTCTTATTCAGTTTTAAATGCCACATGAAAATTGACTTTCAATATATAGCATAAGACTGACAATTGAAAGATTTTGAATAATATGTATTAACAAGTCGTTATGGGGTGTTATTCAGAGTCTGAAGTTATAGTTCCACTAAGTTTTGTAACCTTACATGTTTGTATTGAATATTTGGATAATTATAGTGATGGTCAATTGAAATCATGTTACATTTCCTTGAAAAAAAACTTTGAATTAAAAAAGCTGTTGCAGACTCTACAGCATTGCGGACTCTACAAAACACAATATATCTGCCAGAATTCCAAGCAACACTGAGTTAAAGTCTGATATTTTTTGGTAAATAGATTAGTAGCTGCACTGGCTTCTTACATGTAAAATAAAAGAAATATAATTCATAATGCATTCTAAAATAAGCACATGTTGCGGACACTACAGAATTTTGGGACATTTTTAAGCCAGTAAGAAGAAAATGTGTCATTTTCTAAAGTTTCGAAGAATCCACTCAAACTTTTCTATACTGTTTCATTTATCATTTAACTCTATTTTCAAAAAGAACCTAAAGTAATAGTATTGCATTAACATATTTATTATACCCCCGCTTCGAAGGAGAGGGGGGTATACTGTTTTACCCTTGTGTGTCTGTCTGTCTGTCTGTCTGTCTGTCCGTCCGTCTGTCTGTCCGTAACAAACTTTGGTCGCAGTTTTCTCAGCAACTACTCATCAGAGGTGCTTGAAATTTTAACACACTCTTTGTTTAGGCATGCCATATGGTGGGATTCATTTTTGTACGAATTTGATGTCAACTTCCTGTTTATCCGTGCGTTTGTCCGTACCATACATAAAAAAATTTGGTCGTAGTTTTCTCAGCAACTACTCATCACAGATGCTTGAAATTTTAGCACAATCTTTGTTTAGGCATGCCATATGGTGGGATTCATTTTTGTACGAATCCGATGTCAACTTCCCGTTTATCCGTGCGTCTGTCCGTATCACACATAACAAACTTTGGTCGCAGTTTTCTCAGCAACTACTCATCACAGGTGCTTGAAATTTTAACACACTCTTTGTTTAGGAATGCACTATGTTGGGATTCATTTTTGTACTAATCCGATGTCAACTTCCTGTTTATTCCTGCGTCTGTCCGTACCACAAATAACAAACTTTGGTCGCAGTTTTCTCAGCAACTACTCATCATAGGTGCTTGAAATTTTAACACATTCTTTGTTTAGGCATGCCATATGGTGGAATTCATTTTTGTACGAATCCGATGTCAACTTCCTGTTTATCCGTGCGTCTGTCCGTACCATACATAACAAATTTTGGTCGTATTTTTCTCAGCAACTACTCATTGCAGGTGCTTGAAATTTTAGCACAATCTTTGTTTAGGCATGCCATATAATAGGATTCATTTTTGGAACAAATCTGATGTCAACTTCCTGTTTATTCCTGCGTCTGTCCGTACAATACATAATAAATTTTGGTCGTAGTTTTCTCAGCAACTACTCATCGCAGATGCTTGAAATTTTTTCTTTGTTTAGGCATGCCATATGTTGGGATTCAGTTTTTACAAATCCGATGTCAATTTCCTGATTATCACTGTGTTTGTCCATAACCGAACTTGTGTATTCATATCAGAGCGGGGGTATTATTAGTGAGCATTGGCTCACAGACTTCTTGTTTTTTTATAATTGCAAGTTCAAATAGTAGAATTATATAAAATTTCATAAAGTATCTGCATTTTCACATATTCAAACATTATTTCACTAATATTTTGTTGAATTACATACAGTAAATTGCATATCAAAGAGGGATAATTTCACAATGATTTGGCATCTATCACTAAGAGTTTCTATTGTAAATCTCCTGAAAAAAAAACTGGATAACAAAGCCATTTTTCAGCTGCAACAGCATAACACATATTATTATATAGTCTATAAATAGCCCCTATATAATCTATACAAACGCAAACAGTTCATAACACTACATATTCACCGGATTTGAAGCCGTATTCATCGGAGGGTCTGTGCACGTGCAGTGGCATTGTGACATCACAATCAATACCCCAAACAACGTTGAAAACAATGGTTGCAACAGTCGGAGCTAGCTGAATATATGAGCAGGAAAAATTGTTTCACAGGTCTATCGCAGGATTATTTTCTTAACATTTCGATGTCTTACGCACAGCAAAAGGAAAACACGGAGGTTATAGGTTGTAATCTGGACATTTTTTATTTTTCTACGACAGAAGTTCGTTAATGAAAATGAAATTGTTAGGCGGCCTTCAATGTCTTATTCAGTAAATCCTGACTATATAATAAAACAATTATGGACTCTTTCGATGGTGAATATGGTTTGTTATTCACCAGAAAAATATCAATATTGACCTCGGCTTCGCCTCGGTCAATATTGGTATTTTTCCGGTGAATAACAAACCATATTCACCATCGAAAGAGTCCATAATTGTATAATATACCCCATATTTTCAGTAATAAATCTTCAATATTTTTATTGTATAGAACATGGGAGTATTATATATCATTTAACTTGTTAGGGGTACCATTTGGTCATAATTTGGTCATAATTGTTAAGAGTGTAATCATATATTTTGATGCAGAGTACATTATAACATTAGTGAGTATGAAAAATCACAAATACTGTGAAAATGGTGAGTAAATATATTTCTTTTTAATTGTGCATTATATATGTAAATTCCAATACTGCATGATTGTAGAATAGGAAGCTTATTAATTTGTTAAAGCAGAGAGGACATGGTGATCTTGTTTCATTCTTTGCTTGATGATACAAAAGATGATGTATTTTTTTCTCTAAATTTATACTATCTGATTGTTTCTTGAGAAGTATTAAGTTTAAATTTTCTGTTATCTAGAGGATGTACAGTTGGTGAACAATACCTTCTATGGATTATTTATCTCTACTGTGTAAGTATGGCATTGACTACAACCACACATGTAAGTTATTACTAGACAGTAACAACAGCTACCCAGGCAGTTATTAGTCTATATAGTTTGGGCCGTGGATATCAGGCTGGGTAGCTCAGTTGGTAGAGCACCTGATTCTGCACTAATAATTCAGGGGTCACAGGTTTGATTCCCCGTCCAGCCATACATTTATTCCTTTCCTGTAACATAATTTTACATCATTGACCAATTTAGACTTGCAGATGAAAGTCTTGCTAGGGTCAATAAGAACTTGGGTTGTGTCTTCAAGGTTAAGACAATTTAAGGAGGGAGGAATGTAATGATTTGGGCTGTGGATACTGGTCTTGGTTGCTAAATGGTGAGAGCTTCTAACTAGTAATGCAGGGATTCCAGGTTTTCCTGGTCCAGTCATACAATTTTTCCTTTCCTGTTACAGTAACAATAACTACACATGGTGTTATAAATCTGTAGATGGTAACAACAACTATGCATGCTGATATTAGTCCATAGACAGCAACAACAGCTACGTATGCTGTTATAAGTATTAGACAGTAAACAAAAAATACACATGCTGTTTTAAGCCCATAGAAAGTTTTTAACATTTAACTCTCCAAGGAAATGTTTTAAGAAAATTCAATTTGTACTGTTTCAGTCATTGTCAATGTTTTGAGGTTCAGCTTGTATACATGATCTGTATTGTTTCAGTAATTGTCAATGTTTTGAGGTTCAGCTTAATATCTGTATTGTTTCAGTTATAGTCAATGTTTTGAGGTTCAGCTTTGATATCTGTATTGTTTCAGTAATGGGTCGTCTGGATCTGCCATCTGTGCATTTACAGTGGAATCGGTCAAGGACAGGTTTGCTGACCGGGTTTACAAGTATAGGGAGACTCCTACCTCTATCTGGACCCCCCTCCCTGCAATTAAAATCCCTGATAAAAGTGAGCCAGGAAAGGTTAGTATTAATAACTCAGGCATAATGAAAATTTATATCTCACTGTGAGTATGAGACAATGTACTTGTTCTTCTTCCACTCAATTTGCATAACAAAATTGTAACGTAATCATTATTATACCCCACGCAATAAGTTGCGGGGGGTATAATGTTTTTGACCCGTCCGTCAGTCAGTCAGTCCGTCAGTCCTGTTTTTTTTTTGTCAGCACAACTCCTCATAAACTGCTGCACAGAATTTGGTCAAACTTTGCAGATATTTAGGACACAATGTGTAGATGTGCATATTACCAGGAAATTCCGATTCCTTTATTTTTTCTGGGAATTTCGGCACTTTTCAACTTGGATTTTTGGCCATATCTTGAATATAGAGATGAACAGTTTGTCAGCGCAACTCCTCTTAAACAGCTGCACAGAATTTGGTCAGACTTTGCAGATATTTAGGACACAATGTGTAGATGTGCATATTACCAGGAAATTCCGATTCCTTTATTTTTTCTGGGAATTTCGGCACTTTTCAACTTAGATTTTTGGCCATATCTTGAATATAGAGATGAACAGTTTGTCAGCGCAACTCCTCGTAAACAGCTGCACAGAATTTGGTCAGACTTTGCAGATATTTAGGACACAATGTGTAGATGTGCATAATACCAGGAAATTCTGATTCCGTTATTTTTCTGGGAATTTCGGCACCTTTCAACTTAGATTTTTGGCCATATCTTGAATATAGAGATGAACAGTTTGTCAGCGCAACTCCTCTTAAACCGCTGCACAGAATTTGATTAAACTTTGCAGATATTTAGTACACAGTGTGTAGATGTGCATATTACCAGGAAATTCCAATTCCATTATTTTTCTGGGAATTTCGGCACCTTTCAACTTAGATTTTTGGCCATATCTTGAATATACATGTAGAGATGATCAGTTTGTTATTGCAGCTCCTCTTAAACCGCTGTACAGAATTTGGTCAAACTTTGCAGATATTTAGTACACAGTGTATAGATGTGCAAATTACCAGGAAATTCCGCTTCCATTATTTTTGCCTTAAGAGTTTTGCCTATTGAAGAAACTTTCCAGCTAGGTAATAAGGAAATCCACCGGAATCCGCTTTTGTAATGAAATTCTATGTGAAATATTTTATAACCTTAAAAGAACCCTATTGATTTTGAGATCAAAATATTAATGATTTAACACACACACACAAACACACAAAATCTTAGATAGTTCTCACCCCCCCCCCCCACCCCCCACCCCCCAATTTGGTGCTTTGGCTTAAATAATTTCATAAGTACAGTATATAAACAAATTCATATGACTACATCATAATTTTGTTTCCATCAATTATTTAAATGTGTAAATTGTCATGTGTTGGACATGGACTTACACTCATTAACAATTTAATAACAGTTTGTCAGCATGTAGGTATTTCAGACATAATGTATAGATTTGTATATTACCAAGAAATTTTGATTCCATTATTTATCTAGAAACTTCAGCCCAATTAAATTTGTAACATACAAAGATTTGAATGTCCTTATAGGCAAGAAGTTTTGATGTGATGATTTTTTGCAAGTAATGTCCCTTTTTGAATTATTAGCTCTACTGGTCAGAGACCAGAAGAGCTTATGCGATAGTAAGGTGTCCGTCGTCCGTCCGTCTGTCTGTCAGTCTGTCTGTCCGTCCGTCTGTAAACAATTTTTCAAAACGCTACTTCTCCTACAGTTTTGGTCTGATTTCAATATAACTTGGCACATAAGTAGACTACACTAAGATACATAATTCTGTATATCGGTTTTTTATTTCAATGAACGGTGTTGCCATGGTTACTAAAAATAGAAATTTCTGTGAAAAACTTTCAAAAGGCTACTCCTCCTACAGTTTTGGTCTGATTTCAGTATATCTTGGCACACAAGTAAAATACACTAAGATACATAATTCTGTATATCGGTTTTTGATTTCAGTGAACGGTGTTGCCATGGTTACTAAAAATAGAAATTTCTGTGATAAACTTTCAAAATGCTACACCTCCTACAGTTTTGATCTGATTTCATTATAACTTGGCACACAAATAGACTATACTAAGATACATAATTCTGTATATCGGTTTTTGATTTCAATGAACGGAGTTGCCATGGTTACTAAAAATAGAAATTTCCTTGAAATACATTCAAAATGCTACTCCTCCTACATTTTTGATCTCATTTCATTATAACTTGGCACACAAGTAGACTATACAAAGATACATAATTCTTTGTATCGGTTTTTGATTTCGATGAACGGTGTTGCCATGGTTACTAAAACTAGAAATTTCCTTGAAATACTTTCAAAATGACTACTCCTCCTACAGTTTTGGTCTGATTTTAGTATAACTTGACATACAAGTAGACTACACTAAGATACATAATTCTCTATACCAGTTTTGGATTTTGATGAGAGGTTTTGCCATGGTTACTAATTTAAAAAATAGAAATTTTTTGAAAAACTTTCAAAATGTACTCCTCCTACATGTTTTGTCTGATTTCATTGTAACTTGGCATACAAGTAGACTACACTAAGATACATAATTGTCATTATTGCTTTTTGATTTTGTTGAATGATGTTGCCATGGTTACTTAAATCGGAATTTCTGTAAAATTATTTTAAAAGACTACTCCTCCTACAGTTTTATTCTGATTGCAATAAATCTTGCCACAAAAACAGACTAAACCAAGGATCATTATTCTATTTATTGCTATTGCAAAGTTTCAAGTCCAAGTGCTACTTTTATCTTCCTTTATAAATACAACCAGTAGAGCTACAGTCTCGTCAGAGACTTCTGGTTATACTGTGTATTTAAGATGCACTATGCCATTCATTATGTGTTGCATTGTTGAGTTTTAGGGGAGCGTGGAGTATGTGATCTTGCTCACTTTTTCTTTCATTTACATTTGTCTACAGTGTATCAACAATTCAAAGAGCCTGAAGGATGTCGAGGAGAATTTTATGATGGAGTATCCCCTAAAAGATGCCCCAGTACAACAACAGGGGAACAAGCCCCTGGTCTTTATGGATGGCATCCAGATGCATGTTCTTCAGGTGGACAAGGAAAGAAGTCGTCAGGGGGGATCCCTCATTCTCTATGCTGCCTCTAGTAAGTTTCCTGTAGCAACAGCAAGAGTTTATAGTCAGTATATAGTATCAGATCTTCAGTGTTTTATAGTCAGTATATAGTATCAGATCTTCAGTGTTTTATAGTCAGTATATAGTATCAGATCTTCAGTGTTTTATAGTCAGTGTATAGTATCAGATCTTCAGTGTTTTATAGTCAGTATATAGTATCAGATCTTCAGTGTTTTATAGTCAGTATATAGTATCAGATCTTCAGTGTTTTATAGTCAGTATATAGTATCAGATCTTCAGTGTTTTATAGTCAGTGTATAGTATCAGATCTTCAGTGTTTTATAGTCAGTGTATAGTATCAGATCTTCAGTGTTTTATAGTCAGTGTATAGTATCAGATCTTCAGTGTTTTATAGTCAGTATTGTTATGAACCCATGGTGACAGTAATATTTATTTATTGATTTATTTATTGTTGATATTGTTGGAATATATAATGTTATATTAATAGGAATAATAGTAGTTAATGATTATTCCTGAGATATGAAGAAGTTACAATTGTCATGTGCATTGATGTTTATTTTTGTGTGGTACTGTATCCTCGAGGAACCTATTTCGGTGGTATTAGCAAACTACGTGATAAAATAATCTTAACGAGATCGATTAAAATAAAATAAATGTGACTTACCTCTGAAGGACTCTTTATTTGATCAAATTATATCCATATTATCTAATAAAAAAACTGATTTTTTTTTTTCCTCGCGATTTCTTTATTCCTTGCCGTTTACGTAAGCAGAAATGTTGAGGTACCTAAATCGGTGGTATGGTACTTGTCAAAAGTTTTTACCCTAATAACACCAACCAAAGGCATAAATTTATGTATAACGAATATTAATTTGTATAAATGAACAAAGGGATAAATTACAATTTTATAAAGTTTTATTTATTATTATGGCAGGGACAGATAAATTCGTCACCCCGTCTAATTACTTTAGTTGCGCAGCAAAACTGCAAGTGGGTCCAGTGGTCGCATTTTTCGAAGCTACACTGAGCCCACTTTACAAAAACAACTAAGTCGCAGTCCTTAATCTCCTCTGGCCAAAAGTGTTTACAAACACAGCACTTCTCTTTTTCATCTTCTGTGTCATTGGCATCAGAGGATTCAGGCTGTTCAGACACACCGTGTTTTCTTTTCTTTCTGCATAAATCCTTACATGTAGAAGTCGTTTTTTCTTTTCTTTTTGATGTTTGTTTTGTTGTAGAATAATTTTTTATTTCTTGCAAAACACTGTCCTCTGTAATTGGTTTACCACTTACAACTTTGCTAATGTTTCTTTTTTCAGTTAGAACAGATTTTGTTTTGTTGAAAATTGGGTTTGTATGTAGTTTAAAGAAGGATTTGGGATCAGAGGTGCTTGGAATTGCTTGAGTTGAAGAACTTGCATCTTGGTCTGGACATGATTGTTCTGCTGCGGAAAAAACTATAGAAGGAGCAAAATTGGAAGGGTCCACTGCATTTTTATCGAATGGGAAAATTCCAGCGCGTCGAAATGAGGACTGCAAATTTCCTTGTGAAAGAGCATGTGCATAGGCTTTACAAGCTAAGGAGCAAATATTATATCTTGTAATTTTTGAAGATGGATTCTCACGTAAAAATTTATGGCACTCGGCATTATAGATTTTTTGAAATGGGCCAAAACATCCAAGGTCTAGAGGTTGAAGAACATGGCTTGTATGGGCAGGCAGAACAAATAAAACAATATTATGTTGCTTTGCCCAGTCAACAAGCGTGAGGTTAATGTGTGATTTGTGTCCGTCATAAAGAATTAGGATAGGTTGGTTTTCATTCGGTCTTTGGACATATTTAAGAAAATGTTCAGATAAATAAGTCTGAAAGACTTCAGAGTTCGACCAACCACTGTCTGTTACTGTGCCTTGAGCACCCTCCGATGCACCTTCCATCAATTCCTGTCTCATTCGAGCCCCTTGGAAAACGAAATACGGAGGCATATCTGTGTACCTAACGCATTGCTACAACCTATGACAGTTACTGTAGAAGATCTGGCAGATGTTATAGCAGGTGTTGTTGACATCTTAGAACCCACAATGCAGGGTGGTCTGTGTTCTGTTTGTAACCCCTTTTCATCAATGTTGTATATGCACTGAGGTTTATCGACTAGGTCGTACTTCTTAAGAATGGTGTCTAATTCTCGATAGTAATTTGACACTACTTCTTCAGAGGTTGACTTTGCCCTGGCAGCTGATAATGCGCGAGGCTTTGAAACATTCAGTTCTGGCCACCGCATCATAAAGCCTTTGAACCACTTCATTGAAAATGGATGATTTCTGTCACGTTTCTGCAAACTGCAGGCATATTCTGAGGCCATGTTGACTACTTCTGATCTAGTGTAGCCGTAGCCACAAATAGCCATAACCTTTAAATGGTCAACAAATGCAGCTTCTTCCTCTAGCGAAAGAACAGGAGAAACTCCAGACGTTAGTTTCTCAGAGTCAACTCTCCCCAGTGCTCTTTGTCGAAGTGTGGTTTCCGGAACACAGTAAACCCTAGCTGCTTTCCATACAGACATCCGATGCTCCTTAATAGCATGATAAGCATTTGTCATGGACGTAGGGGAGTATGGTCTGTATTTTCTTGTTATTTTATCTGATTATTTATTATTTATTTATTTACTAGTATTTATTTATTTATTTTATTTATTTTATCTACATGATACTATATACTTTTAATAGTTTTTCTTTATATTTCAGAACTAATTTCTATGTAATTGTTTAATTACTAGCTATTTACCAACAACATAATATAAACCATATCTTTGTCAAAACACTCAAAAACATATAACAGACACTGACTTTTGGACGAACCCTGTATTTCTACTTAATTATGATAACCACATGACAGTCACGTGACTTGAAAGCGCAGACGGTAAGCTGCGTCTAGAGTTCGTATTTTGATAAAATATTTCTTAAAAGTCTATATTTAGAAGGCAATTACATTTGGATATTTTTAGCATTAAGAAAATATGGTATTTTATGTAGATATGACAATAACAGCTATTTACTTACACTTTTCTCTGACATTTCGAGTTTTTTTTTCACTGAGTCATAAGCTTCCGTGTTTACAAACACTACGCAAAAATCGATGACGTCAGATCTCGCACTATAAGAAAACGCGCGTGCCAAACGGGAAATACCACCGATATAGGAACCCCACCAATTTAGGACCCTCGACGATACTACAGTGCATGTAAACAGGGATCGAATAATTCTTGTATCCAGCAAGAAATACAACCCCTAGATGATTCAACAATTAGTTAGAGGTGCAGAGACAACTATTTATCAACTTTGTCTATCAGCAACTTGTGTTATATAGAATTACTACACGTAATTACCCAGCTGACAGCCAGCTATAATTATGTCAACACGTGCTCAGCACATCGTCACCTCGGAAAGATGATTCAGCTTTAAATACCATTTACCATGATTTATAGACATAATAAACAGAATTTACACCTTTTAATTACTCACGTATGAAGGTTAAGACATCGTTAAATACTTTTTATAAGCTGCATCAGTCGTAATCTCTAGGCAGAATTCAGTAGTGTTTTCATTCGCAGACGGCCATGTTCCTTCATGAATAATAATGAAGGGTCACGTGATAAACACTATATAAGGCCAATCCCGACCTGAAATCATCACTTCGGTCATCAAAATGAGTCAGCAGCAACTTTTCCAGCCAGACCATCCGGCTCCGAAGGTGAATATTTTGCACCTTCTCTATTAGATACATAGATTTGAACATACATTCCATTCATGATCTATTGATGTTTAGTAGGAACACCATCACCACCTTCTGTATCATATTCAGCATCCCTACTCACCATCCTTAGAAGGTGCAACTAGAGAGAGTTCAACACCTTCCATCACCTTTTATCAACTTCTACTAGAATTATAACTACAATTATATAGCCTTTATATTATCTACACTATATGTACCTTGGTTAGGTACCATATAGTTAACTACACCTTCAGTTGATAGGTCACCTTCTACACCTTCTCTGTACCAAGTGTACCTTCTAGTTATCAACAGAGATTATCACCTTCTCAGAACTTCTACACCTACTTATGAATAGCCAGGCATCACCCCGAGAAAATATCAACACCTAGAGACCTGAACTACATTAAAGAGCGCGTTTGACTTTGTGCTTTTTAACTTAATAAATTCATAGATATTTTTAATCATCTTGGTCATTACTTGATTTCTGACAGGTACAGGAGGGCTCACAAACTTTGAAACGTCTGCAACCTTTACTCATAAAATAGTGGGTCATTATAATACTACAGGTTTCAGCAGGTGTATGCGTTTCAGTATATAGTATCAGATCTTCAGTGTTTTATAGTCAGTATATAGTATCAGATCTTCAGTGTTTTATAGTCAGTATATATAGTATCAGATCTTCAGTGTTTTATAGTCAGTGTATAGTATCAGATCTTCAGTGATTTATAGTCAATATATATAGTATCAGATCTTCAGTGTTTTATAGTCAGTATATAGTATCAGATCTTCAGTATTTTATAGTCAGTATATAGTATCAGATCTTCAGTGTTTTATAGTCAGTATATAGTATCAGATCTTCAGTGTTTTATAGTCAGTATATATAGTATCAGATCTTCAGTGTTTAATAATCAGTATATAGTATCAGATCTTCAGTGTTGGCACCTGTAACTTTTATTGTTTTGTTTTCTTGTGTTTGAGCTACAGTAAAACATGTTTATAGCAAACACACTTATAACAAATTGACATTTACAGCAAAGTGATTTTCATTCCCTGTGGCTTTTAGATACATGTATATTGTGAGCTTAACAGATATAACAAATTACATTTATAACGAAGCAAAATGGTCTGTCCCAGGCACTTTGTTATTAGCATGTTTTACTGTATTTGTCAATATTCCCTGAAATTCAACTATGTATTCAAACAGAGAAATAATGAGTATGCAGGTAAAAAGTAAATTTACTTTAAATGAAGGATCTTCTTTTGATGAGTCCTAAACAGATCCGATTTTTATGTTTTCTTCTGCTTTCAGATACTGGAGAAGTGTACAAGATTCATTCATGGAATAATGGTAAAAAGCAGGCCATATCTACAGTGTTCTCACCATTACCCAAATCAGAAGTCATCTGGGACATGAAGTTCTATGTAAGGCATGCAACAATTAAGTATATAGTGATGAGAGACTAATGATTGAGGAATATTGGAATATAATGAAGTTCTATGTAAGGCATGCAACAATTAAGTATAGAGTGATGAGAGACTAATGACTGAGAAATATTGGAATATAAGATTGAATATCAGCATCTGTCTTGTTTCCATCATAAATGTTTCACATTATCAGAGAAGTCTACATGGGACTCATTTAGAGATCCCTTTTTCCGTCCATCTGTCTGTCTGTCTGTGTGAGAGGCATCACAGTTTCATACCATCCTTACATCTCCTTCTTGGAGATGTAAATATCTACATAAGATACAGGTGTTAAAATAAGAACTCTAGGTCATGTCCAGTACTGAGGTCATGTAAGGGGACATATTTTCTTTGAAGGTCTTATTAATTCATCAGAACAACTGTATGATCCATTCAGCTACTGTAAGCGATTTGGAGCTGATATGTTGCACCTTCATTGCTATAGAAAAGCTTTGTAACATAGGGTTGCTGGCTTTGTGACTTTTATCAACTTAGCATATTAAATTTAAAAACTTACAGTCGGACTGTTCTTTGTTTAAACTTGAAGTTGGCTTTTTTATTTATTCATTTATATGGGGAGGAGGGGGTTGTTGTGTTGTATAAAACACATTTACATATCAGGGATGGGGTCAATTACTTTAAAAAGTAATTAAGTTACAATTACTTTGACTTTTTCTTCAATTAAATTACAATTAAATTACAGGCTTTCTAAGACATGTAATTAATTAAATTACAATTACTTTGCAAAAGTAATTAATTAAATTACAAATTACATTTTTAATTTTTTTGAAAATTTTTATAATCTTTGTCAATGAATATACAGAACATCATTTATTTGTATGTAAGCTCAGCCTCTGCACAAACAGTACAAGAAATAATATGCTATAGTCATTGTGTACATGTATCATTCTGGTTTAATTTATAACATTTATTTACAAAACAATAAGAATCTCTTAAAGAACTATCCGAGATCAGTTTGATGCAGTTTCCAGCACACAAAACCATACACAAATTGCATGGGTTATGATATTTGATTAAAAGTGAGTATTTTAATAGAGTGAGTTGCAACTGTAACCCCTCAAATTAAATATTTCCTTTGAAGGTAACCTGAACATCCTAAATTGCTATTTATGTTGAACAATTTTACTTCATAAATCAGAATTGTACAGATAGAAAATTCATAAAAATCTGTTTAGATGTTAAAATAATTATCAAATTGAATGTTTTTCTTTTCCAAAACTAGCAGAGCATATTAAATTGAAATAATTATCTCCATTGGCTTTGTCTTCTAAATCATGGAATGAATATCTCTTTAGAGGAGTTGATTTGTTTTGATTGCAATTTAAAGCTGTGATCTGGAGGGCAATTATCTCTTCCCAACAAGAGAGAATTAATGACACACACCTTCTTTTTCTTTATTATTGATCAAACAACAAAGATTGAAATATAATAAATGTGTGTTTCATAGCTGAATAGACCTAAGAAGGATGGTTCGAAATTCATATTTATAAACATAGATCAAAAAATTCAAAATTTACATAATGATTAGAAAGAAACTAGTTTATTATTATCAAGCCAATCATTTAATAATTTTTTTTTTTTTGTTTACAAGCATTAACCTAAGATTTTGTATAATTGAAGGATTGGGATATGTTTAACAATAAAATGAAAACCAGTAAAATGGGGAGGTAGTGGTGACGATACATCATGAATATATCATGAATGTGTATTGTATAAAGTAATTGAATGTAATTGAAAAAGTAATTGAAATTACATGGTATTTTTTCAGTGTAATTAATTAAATTACAATTACAAGTAATTGAAAAAATGTTCAATTACAAATTACTTCCAATTACTTCAAAAAATGTAATTAATTACAGTCAATTACAATTACTTTTTTCAATTACCCCATCCCTGTTACATATTAACAGCAGCTAACAGGGGGGTTATATTTAGCTTACTAATTTTTACAAGACCTTGGTAATCAATGACCACATTGTGATTAGACTTTACTTTTAGAATAAAACCAAGTTCAAAATCTGTTAACATCCCTATGGGTGATAAAATCAAGTCTGAAATGATTGTACCTGAAAACATTCATGTTGCAGGGTGTTCTATGAAACTCTAGTTTTAATTCTATACAAAATCTGTTACTCCTTGAAAAATAAGAAAATTGTGTTTTGATTTTGATAGCAGTGTTAATAATAATTAAGGCACTGTTGGTTTTGACAACATTGTAAAAATACTAAGAACTGAGGACCTATTGAGTTTGACAGCTGATGTACTGTTAAGTTGGACAACATTGTTAACATACTAAGAACTGAGGACCTGTTGAGTTCGACAGCTGATGTACTGTTGAGTTTGACAGCATTGTTAACATACTAAGAATTAAGGCACTGTTGATTTTGACAGCATTGTTAACATACTAAGAACTGAGGACCTGTTGAGTTTGACAGCATTGTTAACATACTAAGAATTGAGGTCCTGTTGAGTTTGACAGCATTGTTAACATACTAAGAATTGAGGTCCTGTTTTTGTTTTACAGAATGATGAGATCTACATTAGTACAGAATCCTTTGTTAAACAGTTTAAAGTCATCATTTGTGACAAGTACAAGAAAATAGATGCTTGTCTTAATGACCCATACTGCAGTTGGAAAGGCAATTTCAGTGGAACTTGCTGTGAAAAGGAAAAATTGTAAGGAATTTAGCCTGCTTGAATAATTTCTTGTTTGTAGAAATATTAATTTAAATGGTTAATCTTTTTATGATGCATGTTTATTCAGAATTCCAGAGAGAATGTGAATGTAATGATTTTGCATAAATTCTATAGAATGGTTTAGACCATTGATAACCACAAAATATAATTAAAATAAAAACAATAAAACTTTAACCTTTTTAAAACAATTATTAACAGAAGTTTCATAATAGTAATAATCATTTGATTTTAAAAACCTATGCATACAAATTTCAGATACGATATTGCGTCTTAAACAAATTTTACACTATGTATAAGTTGCAGATTATTAAAAGACCAATTATTTAAGGAATAACTGTCTAATATTTTGGTTTCATGATGTGATCAATCGATTGGCTTGCGTGATAATTTGCATAAACGCTGAAGGCGTTTATGCATAAAATTATCATGCAAGCCAATCGATTGATCATCATCATGAAACCAAAAAATCTGACAGTTATTCCTGGTATTTACATGCTCTTGATTCTGCAAATTCACGTGCTACAAGCCCCGCTTCTGTCTCTATTTCTCCCGCCCCGCACGTGATTTTTTTTTCACCACGCCTATCGATGAACCAGTAGATTTATGTAGAAATAAAGTATTTTTACTATTTGAAATTTTATCTCGGACAAAGACATGGGAAATGTAAATATTAAAATATAAATATACATGTAAATGACAAAAAAATATTTTGCATCCCATAACATATACCATCTTTAAAACAATTTTACTATGATTTACCCTTATGTAAAGTTAGAATGGAATAGGTCACAACAGTTAAAACAAAGTAATTGATTTGAATGGTTGGTAAAATATGAGGGGCATTCAAAAGTTCTGGCAACTGGTATATAAAATTATAACTACATTACGGATTAAAATGACTCTGATACCACTGTAAAGCTTAGGCAAATATGCATTAGTAGTGACGTCATTTTACATTCAAAATGACATATAGGTCTGCTAAAATGATGTCATAATTAGGTATACTCTGTATACTGGGCATAAAAATGACTGATAATGAGAACAATTTTTTGTTGAGCAAAGAGCGTATTGCAAAATTCGCTCATTGCTTGGCTTTACAGCAACAGAAATAAAAGCCGATTTAGATGTAGTATATAGAGAGCATGCTCTTTCATATCGAGCAATAGCAAGATGGGTAGTTGAATTTAAAGAGGGTAGAAAATCAATTGAAGATGACCCCCGTTCGGGGCGTCCAGTTTGTGCATATGGCGAAAAAGAAATCGTCGCTGTTCAAAATACGATAGCTGATGATGCTAGATATACAGTTGAGGAAATAGCAGACTTAACTAACATTAATTCGTCAGCAGTTTTTCGTATTTTAAAGGAAAACTTAAAGCTTAGGAAAGTATGTGCTAGATGGGTGCCGCATCTTCTCTCGGAAGAGCAAAAGCGCATCCGGGTAGAAATGGCTTCACAGTTACTAACAATTTATGAAGATTGTGACCAAAGGCGAATAAATGAGATTGTAACTGGTGATGAAACATGGATATATTTTTTTGAACCGGAAACTAAGCTCAATAATAAAGTTTGGATCGGTGAAAATGATACAAGGCCTCAAATTGCATGCAGAAACCAGTCTGTCCGGAGAGTAATGTACGCCTTATTTTTTTATTCTAAAGGCCCTGTTGCTCAAGTTCCGGTTCCAAAACACAGCAGTGTTACTGGTCAATTTTATGCAGAGAATGTCTTGTCTCAGGTTGTAGAGTACTTTAAAACGACCCGACCAACAACCAGTACTAGAGGAATAAAGCTCCTCCATGACAACGCACCTGCCCGTAGATCAGAGGTAGTAACCAAATATTAAAAGGAAAATGGTATTGCTGTTTTACCACATCCACCCTACAGTCCTGACCTAGCTCCATGCAATTTTTGGTTGAATGCCGTTATCAAAGAAGCCCTCCGAGGACGGCAATTTGAAAGTCGTCATGCAGTCGGAAGTGCCATTTTACAGTGTATGAAGCGTATACTGAAAGAGGACTATAGGGCAGCATTTTCTACATGGATTTCAAGACTGAAAAAGTGTGTCCAGGTCAACAGAGACTATTTTGAGGGATTGATATAATTTAATTTATGATAATGACGCTCATTAATTTACCGCACACCAGTTGCGAGAACTTTTGAAATGCCCCTCGTAGTATCAGACATTGTGAAGTCTTGGATCTATTTTGCTTTGCATGCCAACCTTAAACTCCTGTGTAAAATCTCTGTTTCCAGCTGGGACCTAAACAAAAAGTACACAAATCTCTAAAAAGATTTTTAGGTGTCAGTAAAAGAAGAGAGAAATAAAAAAAAAACTTTGAGACTTTGGTCCTTTGTGGATATTTGATATATGTATCAAAACTGATACAAATGTCTTCTGCACAAAAGTTCACTTCTCCATCAAGTAAATTCCATTTTTTTTTCAATTTTTTATACTGAAACAAGGGAACCTTGCCATATCGTCTGCTTTGGAAGATCTTTTTGTTAATGGGTGTTACAGTCTTTAATTCTTCTTCTTTTTTGTTTAAAAAAATTGTTTTGATTTTGTATTGTTTATATTTTACTACTTATAGAAGATTGATTTTTTTAAAAGCATGGTGCATGATAAAGATTCTAATAATGGACTCAAATTTATTGGACAAGAGCATGTTTACAGGTACACCCTTTAATGATCCACCATCATCATCATTTGTCATGTACTCAGTTGTATATCTCCATTTAACTTGGAAACAATAACCTTAACTTGCATGATTGGATAAACTCTTATCACCATTTTCTTTCAAACATGATTAAAACTTGTCAAAATATTTGCTTCACTTTTCACTTTAAATTTGTCATAAAAAATAATTTATGCCTAAATCATTTCTTCAAATTCTTTCTTTGACTTAATTGTTGCTTGACTTAATGACCACCTTTATTTGATAGGCATATTATTACCAGGTAATTGGGTCTCTGTTGGAGAACCTATGGTTGACCCTGGTGCATTCCCATCACCTTATTAAGTGGGTTTATTCAGTCAACATTTGCTCCTCTTTTTATGAATCATTGGTAACATCATGAAATGCCAATGTGATTTAGACTAATTAATAATTATATTTGAAAATGTTGTAATTGACAGGTAGAATATATAATGAATAATGATTTATAATATCCATGAAAACAATTGAACGTAGATACAAGACTCAAGAGTGATGGAGAAAAAGCATGCATGGTCAGTCCTGGTTGTCATTACTGCACTACTAAAACATGTTTAATAGCTGGTATACATGGGTGGAAAATGCTTTTCTTATTCAGTCATTAAATATGCTATTGTGTAAGAAGGAATGCTGATTATCCACAATACAGTGGATAAGCTTGGAAGTCTGAGATAACAAGTTTGCTATTACCCTCACTAAATACAACATTTATATTGATGTCTTCACCCTTGACACAATGGCAGAGAACATCTCCCATGTGGCCTGCCAGGCTGTTACTTTTACAGCCCTGGTGGAGTAAATAAAAACTTGACTACAGTATGTTGTTGCCCTTGACTTAAGCTTTATAACAGTCTTAAAGTCACAGCATCAAAATAAGTGACACATGCAATATGTTGAAATCATGCCCTGGCTATCTATCTTCAATTATGTCAAAGCTATGATTTTATAAATCTCTCTGAAAATAATTTAAATTCAAAGTTTCAAGATAAATCTTGTTAGCCATGTGATGTGATGATGTTAGGTACATGCATGCATATGCATTTTAAAGGTCAAGGTCGTTACCTGACAAAGGTATTTTATCCAGGCTCTAACTTGGCAACACGTTACTTGTTTGAATTCAGATTTGAAATTGACACTTATGATCATGATATGATATTAAAATGAGGTTGTGTCACAGAGGTGCTCAGGGACACAGAACAGTTACAGGTGTAACATTGTGTCCAGACTTAGAAATCTTTTCTAAAACAGATTCAAACTTGAGATGTGTCTTGATCTTAACTCAAGGTCATATCTCAAAATTCAAGTCACTTGATGATGAGTTGTGAAAATCATAATACCAAAGTACAATTCATCCATCATGTACTGTTAACTGTAATGCTACATATGTCATGATCAGGGTTCAAAAGACTTGTTTTAATTAAGGTCAGGTCAGCTAATAATAGCCAAAGGAAAAGGAAGAAGATATCCAATACTGTAATGAATATATATATATATATATATATATATATATATATATATATATATATATATATATATATATATATATTATACACCTATTTACTGGCTATGAGGACAATAGCAAGTTTATCATCCCCCAAGACGGCGACTATTTCCCAAGGCGCAGCGGAGGGAAATAGTTGCTGTCGAGGGAAACGATAAACTTGCTATTGTCCTCATAGCCAGTAAATAGGTGTTTTATTATACCTAAGCCAACTTTACCTTTGTTATGTCACAAACCAGATACGTTACAATACAACAACTCATATAGTTTTGAGATGAAAAACAAGGGAAATGGAATGCTTCTGTGAATGGTTTGATGACTATTTCACCATGGGCAAATAGCACAAAAACTATTCTACCGTAGGGGCTGTTTAGAAAAAATAGATTTATTTATCATACTTTTATGTAGAAAAAATTCACAGAGGTATAATAGATATATATATATATATATATATATATATATATATATATATATATATATATATATATATATATATATATATATATATATATATATATATATATATATATATATATAACATTTTTGAATAAGTTTTCCTATTATATCACAAATGTAATAAGTTTCACTATAAACCCTGAAGAATGCTGAATCACACCGGAAACAGTTATGTCACACGCCGGAAACAGTTATATCACCCGACGGAAACAGTTATAACACCCTCTCGATCACTTTCACATGTCTTTATTTTACGCATTTGTAGCTCGGGTTCGAGATTTAATGACGTCGGTTGCTAAGCAAACGTAAACAACGGAGTGCAATTCTTAACGTCATGAAAGCATTTTTGGATTATTTGCCTCAACTTAAACAATTCCAGACGATTTTTTAATTTAAAAATGTTATATAACATATACCACATGACTTCTCGGGTGACTATACCAGAATGTTTGCCCCTCGGTGACAGGAAAGTCCTGGAGTGTTATGTCACCCCCTGCCTTCGGCATCGGGTGACATAACACTCCAGGACTTTCCTGTCACCTTGGGGCAAACATTCTGGTATGTCACCCTCGAAGCTATGTGATATATGTATAATATATCATTTGTAACTAGATTTCAAATTTGATGACTTGTTTGACATAATTGTTAATCTAATTAATTGTTTCCTGTAGATTTAGTGGACTTTCTCATGAGAACATTACAGATCTCGAAGAAAAGTACAGTAAAGCAGAGAGCAGTAAGACCAACAGAACCGGTTAGTATTTCAAATTGATACTCTGTAATAAGTATAGAAAGGGTGAATATTTCACATTGAAACTTTGTTATAAGTATAGAAAGGGTGAATATTTCACATTGAAACTTTGTTATAAGTATAGAAAGAGTGAATATTTCACATTGAAACTTTGTTGTAAATATAGAAAGGGTGAATATTTCACTTTGATACTCTGTTATAAGTATAGAAAGGGTGAATATTTCACATTGAAACTTTGTTGTATGTATAGAAAGGGTGAATATTTCACATTGATACTCTGTAATAAGTATAGAAAGTGTGAATATTTCACATTGACACTTTACTATGCAATAAGTAGAGAAAGGGTGAATATTTCACATTGATACTTTGTTGTAAGTATAGAAAGGGTGAATATTCCACATTAATACTTTGTTGTAAGTATAGAAAGGGTGAATATTTCACATTGATACTTTACTATGCAATAAGTAGAGAAAGGGTGAATATTTCACTTTGATAGCCTGCAATAAGTACGGAAAGGGTGAGTATTTCACATTGATACTTTGTTATAAGTATAGAAAGGGTGAATATTTCACATTGATACTCTGTTATAAGCAGAGCTCCAGATAATTTTTTACCCCAAAGTGTATTTACTCCCTGATTTTCAAATCAATGCAGATTTTGATTTTCAGCAAAATGACCATGATTTAAGAGTATTTTGTTAATATATAATGTTTTTGACATCTATTTTGATTTTGAGTTTGTTATCGAAATATAAGTGTTTTAGAAGAGGAAAGGAAAAAAAAACTACATAGGACAGTTCCTGCATTCATTTAAATAAATTTTAAAAATACCCATTAGACTTTTTGCTAAAACTGAGAAATGTTCTTTTTTGAGAAGGAAGATCATACAGTAGGTAGTTACCATACGCACATAAAACTTTTCCTTTATTTAAGATGATATCGTAACAAATCTTCATTAATATGGCAAGTTGAGAGAAATCAGATGAACCCATCATAAAAAACATTGTGTACAAACCATGTGTAACCCTCCTACTAAACAGAAAACTCTAGAGAATCTAAGGGAACTCTTGATCGGTAAATTCAAACCATGTTATGCGTAATGTCCCTCTACAGCAATTTATTTATTTATTAAATTGGTCTTGAAATTAAACAGAGCTCGTTTTTTTTCGATATGGTTTTAATATGGTCTTCACTGGGTTTTTATTCCCCTTACACATCATGTCCTCTTTGATAACATTGCAGTACAAACTTTTTTTCTCCAGCTAAGACTTTTTTCCTCCAACTATCGTTTGTTTTCTAGGTAACATTGTTTTCTTTACATATATATATGTATTACACTTGTTACAATATCATCTTACATAGATGACACAAGCTTTTGTGTGCATGCTTAAAAGTACATGTAACTATGCTTAGTGCATAATCTTTCTATTTAAAGAAATTGATTTTAATGTAAATCTTTGATTCTTTCTCCATAAATGGAAATCGTTGTTGCCATTACTTGAATATTCCTGGTTAATAAAACACTTTTAAATCAGTATTTCGTTTTGAGAAAAATCAAACACTGAGTTAACCTCAATTCATACTGTTAGCTAAGTCGTACTTTAATTATTCAAACCATCGCACACAGTACTTTCGTGGTGTAATGCTTATCTATGATTGCTAATGTGTAACTACGCCCAGTTTTAATTTTCAATGCGTATTTTGTAAAATTCAATGCGCATTTTTGCAAATACGCACCTTATCTGGAGCTCTGTATAAGTATAGAAAGGGTGAATATTTCACTTTGATAGCCTGCAATAAGTACAGAAAGGGTGAGTATTTCACTTTGATAGCCTGCAATAAGTAGAGAAAGGGTGAATATTTCCCATTGATACTTTACTATGCAATAAGTAGAGAAAGAGTGAATATTTCACTTTGATAGCCTGCAATAAGTACGGAAAGGGTGAGTATTTCACATTGATACTTTGTTATAAGTATAGAAAGGGTGATTATTTCACATTGATACTCTGTAATAAGTATAGAAAGGGTGAATATTTCACATTGATAGCCTGCAATAAGTAGAGAAAGGGTGAATATTTCACATTGATACTTTACTCTGCAATAAGTAGAGAAAGGGTGAATATTTCACATTGATACTTTGTTATAAGTATAGAAAGGGTGAATATTTCACATTGATACTTTGTTATAAGTATAGAAAGGGTGAATATTTCACATTGATACTCTGTAATAAGTATAGAAAGGGTGAATATTTCACATTGATACTTTACTATGCAATAAGTAGAGAAAGGGTGAGTATTTCACATTGATACTTTGTTATAAGTATAGAAAGGGTGAATATTTCACATTGATACTTTGTTATAAATATAGAAAGGGTGAATATTTCACATTGATACTGTTGTAAGTATAGAAAGGGTGAATACATGTATTTCACTTTGATAGCCTGCAATAAGTACGGAAAGGGTGAGTATTTCACATTGATACTTTGTTGTAAGTATAGAAAGGGTGAGTTTTTCACATTGATACTTTGTTGTAAGTATAGAAAGGGTGAATATTTCACATTGATACTCTGTAATAAGTAGAGAAAGGGTGAATATTTCACTGTGATAGCCTGCAATAAGTACAGAAAGGGTAAGTATTTCACATTGATACTCTGTAATAAGTACAGAAGGGGTGAGTATTTCACATTGCACATTTACTCTGCAATAAAAAAGATTTTGTTTATGTCAGATACAAGGCTGAGGCCATGATTTGGATCATATGGTTAACATAGTAATATGCTATAAATAATTTTTTCAACTTAAATGGTACATTAATTAAGTGGTAAGAGCTGAAAGCTCAAATGAACTTTTCTGATCACATTTTATCTGTAGTCCATCTGTGTAGTTGTCCGTCCGTATGTAAATTTTTTCACATTTTCAACTTCTATTCCAGAACCACTATGCCAATTTCAACCAAACTTGCTACAAAGCATCCTTGGTGAAGGGGAAATGAAGGGCCATGCCCTAATTCAAGGGGAGATACGTAAAACAAGAAAATTTGGCGCATACGTATTTTAGCACAAATGCAAATGGGAATGCATTGGCGCAAATAAATTTTTGATTAGCGCTTGTGTTTGTCATTAAAATATATAAATGTGATAGTTTTTTTTCTTTGATCCACGCCCGTATTTGATTTTGTGGTCACACAAACACAATAACATTGATTTCTAACTGGCGTACACAGGTAAACATGCGTACACTTTTCATATTAAAACCAGGCATGCATGGAAGGAAAGTTACTTGGATAACTGGTAAACATAATCAGGTATTGTCTGCAAGGTTGATCGCCATGCTTGATTTCATTGTTCACCTTGAGGTGATAGATGATTGACGCAGCCAGAAGCCCAACTTTGAAGGTGCTAATGAAAAGCGCCTGGTAACAACTAACAATACAGTAGTTTAATTAATTCATGGCAGAACTTTCTTGATCGATCCTACAGTTTACCAGTGCGAGTGTGTATACAAAAATACGTGACCTTACACCATTATGTAATCACATGTTCCGGTTTACATGTACTTAAATAAGTGAATGCTTAGAACACAAAAAATTTAAAACATAGAAATTCATTAGCGCATTATAAATTTTAGTGTTCAGGGATGCTTGCTCCAAAGGCACTAAAATAGTAGTGGTTCCCGTTTCATCCAATAGTCAAGTTGTCAGTATAATTTTATCCGAATAGCCGATTATTAGAATAGCCGGTTGCTCCATACCGAGTCCAAAGATAGATGTATAGAGCTACATGTATTGATAATACATCGTAGCAAATTTCAAACTTGCACTTTCGTTTTCGTTTGATTAGTTTACTAGTGAATTTCCTAAACTAAATTATTTCACTTACTTATGAATTTAATATGATAACATTTTTCAAATAAATTGAAGCATAAAATATATTCTTTGATAGTTATTGCCATCTTAATTCAGCACATGTTTACATTCCTTCTTCGATGGTCGCCATTTTAGAAACGGAAGTAGACTAAATGCTTGACTAATAACCGTAAATTATTTTTCCCTGAATAGATTGTAAATTAAAAATCAACAAAAATATAAAATATTTTTTTTATTAATGTAACTTCTTTGTTTTTATTTGTTTCTTTAATATGGTTACGTATTTTATCCTGTTTGTGACAATTCTCTGGTCAATGAGTTTACCAGTCTCATGCATACTTGTCTGCCTTGTGGAGAAAGATGGTATGGATTTTGAGACGAATATTTATAGTTGGGCCGTTTGTGATTTTAACTATTCACTTCAAAGTGAACAAATATTAAGCCAAATGACCAAGTTAAACGACTGAATAGGCTTATTTCATTATCCAAGCAAATTGTCATACACAAGCTAATCAGTTCAATAATTAAAATTTCAAGCCGAAAAAATTGTAAATAATTGTCATAATTAACAAGTGCATCATTGAACCCAAGCTGATCACCACAACTGTAATCAAAACATATCTATCTACTATGTCCACTATTGACACAGGTAAGGTGCCTGTGTGCGTCCAGTCGTAACTAATCCCCTCATTGTCGTACTCAAGCCAGTCAAGGTAATTGGTGTCAAACTGTGTAAACAAAGGTTTCACATACGAAGTTGGAGGTGTGAACAAGGTGCTGATTATCAACAAACACTATGATAGTCCAAATTTTTGTATCAGATAAAACGAAATTCCAATATTTTCTCATCAGAATATCAGGTGAAATTATTAATAAATATATACGAAATGGTTTTGTGCTCTGATATTATATTAAAATAGCCGAAATATTCGTTAAACCGCTATCCGATAAAATGGAAGCCACTGAAGTTCACCATATTTTTTCATTTTACAGTAATTAGGAAATAGTGAAAATCCTTTGGTGGCATGTTTTAAAAATCTTCTCAAGAACCACTGGGCCAAAAAAGTTGACACTTATAGGAAACCTTGTTAACATAATGTTGAATCAAGTTGTTCAATTGATGACCCCTGGGGTAGGGTGGGGTTACAATGGGGGATCAAAGTTTTACATATGAATATATAGGAAAATAATTTAAAAATTTTCTCAACAGTAGAAAAGCCATATTTAGTCATATTGATATGGAAGCATTCTCAGGTAGTGTTTATTCAATTTTGTTCAAATGACAACCCTTGGGGGTAGGGTGGGGCCACAACATGTTTTATCAGGTAGTGTAGATTCAAGTTTGTTCTAATCATGACCCACGGGGGTAGGGTAGGGCCACAATGGGGGATTTTTCATTTGAATATATAGGAAAAATCTATTAAAGAACCAAAAAGCTTTGTTTTTTACTCATATTGATATGGAAGCATCCTCAGGTAGTGTAGATTCAAGTTTGTTCAAATCATTACTTTAGGGGGTAGAGTGTGGCCACAATGGGGGGTGATATTTTTACAAAGGAATATATTGGAAAAAATCTCAAAAAAATCTGCTCAAGAAAAGCAAAGCCATTTGTTTTATTGAAATGGAAGCATCCTCAGACGGTTTAAAATCAAGCCCCCCCCCCCCCCCCCATCTCCCCTATTTAGTCTTTTCAATACTGAACTGATTTGTTCTTTTTCCTAGCCAATGTGTCCAGGTGAGCCATGTGGCCCATGGGTCTCTTGTTAAGCTTTACTGTCTGCAAGATGTGTAGTATTATAACAACCTATTTTCTCTACAGTGGGAGTTGGTCAATCAGTAACCTTACCACATTATTACCCCTTTACACTGGATGGCAAGAAGGTAACATGGTACAAGATAACAACAAATGGTGAAAAGTCCCCAGTTGTGCTTGATAACAATAATATGATGAACAGTAACCAGGATTTGATTTTGTCTCGAGCCAAAGAAACTGAAAAAGGAACCTATGAAGCTTTCATAGATAACAAGAAGTTAAACACAGTAGAAGTGACTCTGATGACAAGTGAGTAAAACACACATACATTTTTTTAAAGCTGCATTTTTTATTCATATACATTACATGGGACCAGCAGCTTGAATTTTACTGAAATAGGTGATATGTCATGATCTGCATTACCGGGACCTACTTCAAAAATTTATCTTTTCTTATAACTTTTTATTGAGAAAAGATGGGGCTTTCATATTTGACATGTGCATTACCTGTGACAAGATTTTTCCAAACATAAAATGATTTTAAACCTTTTGGCCTTGACTTTGTTTGATCTAATTTTCAAAAATTTTAAATTTGGTGATTACTTTTGAATGACATAGGAAAGGGTGTTGATATTTGACAAGTGCATTACCTGTATCAAAATGCTTCTGATTGTGATATTTGACCTCGTGACCTTGACCTTCAAGATTGACTTGATTTTCAAACAGAAAATTAAAAACTTATGTGACAGCATCCTGGGGTAGTGTAGATTATATATTGTTGAAATTATGACCCTTAGGGGTAGGATGGGGCCACAATATGGAATCCAAGTCTTACATTTGAACTTTGGAATCTCGACACCGATATCTCGAATACCATGGATATGTCGAAATGATTTTGAAGTCCCAACCTCTTAATCTTTAAGTATTTTACCCTCGATATCTCAAATCCTTGGATATCTTGAAGTTTTTTCTTGGTCCCATCAAGTTCAAGATAACCAGGTTTGACTGTGTATAGGAAAAATCTTCTCAAAAAAAAAAACACTGGGCCAAAAAGGCTGAAACTTATATGTAAGCATGCCAGGATAGTGTAGATTCTAAATTATTTTAATCATGGCTTCATTCCTCAAACATTATTGATGCACAGATTTGAAACTGAATGTATTTATAGCTAACCAAGATATGGAGAACGCATGGAAGGCCAGGTTCACAGAATGGTGTGAGGAATTTGACCGTATCAAGAAATATCGTTGCTCTCAATGCTCTCAATGCTGACACAGGTCAGTATTTTTGTCACATTGTCAAGGGGGGTTTATACTGGAATCATCTTGTCTGTTTAGGTATCCATCTCTCCATAGACATTTTTAGCTCACCTCAAGGAAGTCAGGGGAGCTATGTAATATCCTCAGTGTCAACATCTCAGGTTAATGTTTTTAGAGTAGATTTCTTTTCAAGTACATGTACTTCTATGCTCTATAGAGATCTGAGATGCATATAAGATGCTTTTAGTATGTTTCATTGTATCAGTCCAGGTTTCAGATGCTGCATTTTCAGTCAAAGAATGTCCAAGTTATGTTTTTAGCTCTACTGGTCAGAGACCAGAAGAGCTTATACGATAGTAAGGTGTCCGTCGTCCGTCTGTCTGTCTGTCCGTCTGTAAACAATTTTTCAAAATGCTACTCCTCCTACAGTTTTGGTCTGATTTCAGTATAACTTGGCACACAAGTAGACTACACTAAGATACATAATTCTGTGTATCGGTTTTTGATTTCGATGAACGGTGTTGCCATGGTTACTAAAAATAGAAATTTCTGTGAAAAACATTCAAAATGCTACTCCTCCTACAGTTTTGGTCTGATTTCAGTATAACTTGGCACACAAGTAGACTACACTAAGATACATAATTCTGTGTATCGGTTTTTGATTTCGATGAACGGTGTTGCCATGGTTACTAAAAATAGAAATTTCTGTGAAAAACATTCAAAATGCTACTCCTCCTACAGTTTTGATCTGATTTCAATATAACTTGGCACACAAGTAGACTATACTAAGATACATAATTCTGTGTATCGGTTTTTGATTTCGATGAACGGTGTTGCCATGGTTACTAAAAATAGAAATTTCTGTGAATAACATTCAAAATGCTACTCCTCCTACAGTTTTGATCTGATTTCAATATAACTTGGCACACAAGTAGACTATACTAAGATACATATTTCTTTATATCGGTTTTTGATTTCGATGAACGGTGTTGCCATGGTTACTAAAAATAGAAATTTCTGTGAAATACTTTCAAAATGCTACTCCTCCTACAGTTTTGATCTGATTTCAATATAACTTGGCACACAAGTAGACTATACTAAGATGCATAATTCTGTGTATCGGTTTTTGATTTCGATGAACGATGTTGCTATCGTTACTAAAAATAGAAATTTCTGTGAAATACTTTCAAAATGCTACTCCTCCTACAGTTTTGATCTGATTTCAGTATAACTTGGCAAACAAGTAGACTACACTAAGATACATAATTCTTTATATTGATTTTCTGATTTCGATGAACATTGTTGCCATGGTTACTAAAAATAGAAATTTCCTTGAAATACCTTCAAAATGCTACCCCTACAGTTCTGGTCTGATTTTAGTAATACTAATTAGCACACAAGTAGACTACACTGAGATACATAATTCTCTGTACCAGTTTCGGATTTCGATGAACAGTGTTGCCATGGTTACTAAAAATAGAAATTTTCTTGAAATACTTTCAAAACGCTACTCCTCCTACACTTTTTGTCTGATTTCAGTATAATGTGGCATACAAGTAGACTACAGAGATACATAATTGGTGTTATTGTTTTTTGATTTTGTTGAATGATGTTGCCATGGTAACTTAAATCAAAATTTCTGTAAAATTGTTTTAAAAGGCTACTCCTCCTACAGTTTTAGTCTGATATTATAATAAATCTTGCCACAAAAGAGACTAAACCAGGGATCATTATTCTGTTTATTGCTGTTGCAAAGTTTCAAGTCCAAGTGCTACTTTTATCTTCCTTTATAAATACAACCAGTAGAGCTACAGTCTCGTCAGAGACTTCTGGTTGGAGCAGGTTAAAGTATTTGTATCAGGTCTCATTTCAAAGTAATTATAAGCCATATACTGACCAAACTTGCATGAATGATGCTTCTAAGGATTCACACTACCAGACTTGCTTCAGATGCTGGATCTGACCTGCATTTTCTGGATGAGTGACCAAGTTTTTACAGCAGGTTTATTCCAGTGTAAAGTCAAGACCTACCTGGACCAAACTTTGATGGATGAATCATCTAGCAATGCACACTACCAGACATGCTTTGATTGCTGGATTTGACCTATATTTCTGGATGAATGATCTCCCTCCTGCAGGAAGGGGGTTATTTGTCACTTATATATATTTAATCTTTTCAGTAATAACTGATTTCTGCTTCTTCCTGGTCAATGTACTCAAGTGAGTGATGTGGCCCATGAGCCTCTTGTTAGTTCACCTGAGCCTTTACCTGAGCCAAAGTCTCAAGTTAGCTTTTTCTGATCAAAATATGTCTATTTTCTTCATCGTTGTTGTAAACTTTTCACATTTTCATGTTCTTCTCCAGAACCATTTGGCCAATTTCAATGAAACTTGGCATGGAGTATCCTTAGGTAAAGGGAATATAAGTTTATTCAAATGAAAGGCCACACCTTCTTCCAATGGGAGATAATTAAGAAATAGTGAAAATTGGGTGTTGTCATTTAAAAGAACCACTGAGACAGAAAAGATGAAACTTATGTGAAAACTTCCTTACATAGCATAGATTGAAGTTTGTCAAATCATGACTCCCAGGGTAGGGTGGGGCCACTATGGGCAATCAAAAGTCATGAAAAATCTTCTCAAGAACAGCAAGCCATGATCAGTCATATTTATATGGAAGCATCCTCAGGTAGTGTAGATTGAAGTTTGTTCAAATCCTGTCCCTAGGGGTAGGGTAGGTCAAAATGGGGGATCAAAGTTTTGCATAGGATTATATAGGAGAAATCTATAAAAATCTTTTCCCAGGAACACCAAAGCCATGATTAGTCATATCAATACAAAGCATCTTCAGTTAGTATAGATTCAATTTTGTTTAAATCTTGTCCCTCAGAGGTAGGGTGGGGCCACAATGGCTATAGGAAACAAAATTTGTAAAGGCGATTCCTATGCAGTGTAAATTCAAGTTTATTCAAATAATTCTGTCAACACTTTGCATATCTAAAGAATCTCCCAACACTATGTATAACTAAGGCTTCTGACTCAGAAAAAAAATATGAAATTCTTTTAGTTACATGTATGACTTACAAAGAGACAAGGAAGCTTATTGTTCACCATTCTAATGCACATTTTGATTTCAGGGTAAAGAAGATATGGACTTCATCTTAACACATTGGACAACAGCGGCTATGAAAACCTGCAGATTTTTTTAATATGGAAACTGAATACATCCATTAGATATTCTATGTGAATTTTTGCAGAATTTCCAAATGCAAGTTTGATTTTCCTGAAGAGTTCCATTCTGATATTGACATGGAGTGACATGAAATCATCCTATAGATATTGCAAAACTTCATTTTTACATCCATTTTATTTATTTATTTCCATATCTATGTTGAGACTTCTCACCGTTGGAACATGACAAGTGTTTGTCATGTGAAAACAGAGGGATGCCCTCTCCACTATGCAAATCATTGTGAGATGAGGGATGAATCATTTTATGATCCCAAGTGAATTAAATTTTCTTAAAAAGAGGTCAAATGTTTGATTCAGCACTTGGATCAGTGAGATGTCTACAGTATATATACTGATAAGCTGTATCAGTGAGATGTCTACAGTATATATACTGATAAGCTGTATCAATGAGATGTCCACAGTATATATACTGATAAGCTGTATCAGTGAGATGTCTACAGTATATATACTGATAAGCTGTATCAGTGAGATGTCTACAGTATATATACTGATAAGCTGTACCAAGTGTCAGATATTTTTAATGGTGTTATTGAACCTCAGTCATACATAACAAAATGCTGAATTACAGAACTTCTCATATCCAAGAGTACTCTAGTCAGAAATGTAGATCTGTAGAGAAAAGAGATCTGAATGGAAAAAAAAACTATGGATGAAATTTCAGAGGCAGGAGTTTAAGGTGAGAGGGACTACAAAGTGAGATGACTCATCTGTGATAAGGGTAGTGTGGTAGATCAGACTTTAATCAAAATCTAGCTAGAACTATTTTAATGGTATTTTAGTTTGATTTGATTTTCTTTCTTTTCAAAGTATTTTTAGTACACTAAATATTTTATTCGTGCTTGTGTGATACATGTACCATGTATACTAAAATAAGAGTTGAAAATCCTGCACAAATTTTGGACTATTGTAATATTTGAGTTTGAAGTCTCACTTTGATGTTGTATTGATGTAAAATAGGACTAAACATGTAATAAAGTACCAGAAACTTAACTAGAATTCAGGGTTTGTTTTAGATTAATATGCGACTCAGAATTAGATTATATATATAAGGATGTTTGGAAATTACTGATACATTGTATTAATTCTCTTTTCTTATGAACATCTTTTGGTGAAATTTTGCATATATGTTTAACAAACACAAACAATGTTTGCTTCTATATTTTGGTGACATTGTATTTAATGGCAGCAGCAATGTTACTCCAGTTATCTGAATTGTTGTGCTGTAGAGGCAGTCTGATCCATACAGCTTCATTACAGTTACTTTAGTTATCTGAATTGCTGTGCTGTAGAGGCAGTCTGATTCATACAGCTTCATTACAGTTACTCCATACAGTTAAGCTAGTTATCTGAATTGCTGTAGAGGCATTCTGATCCATACAGCTTCATTACAGTTACTCTAGTTATCCGAGTTGCTGTGCTGTAGAGGCAGTCTGATTCATACAGCTTCATAACAGTTACTCCAGTTATCTGAATTGCTGTGCTGTAGAGGCAGTCTGATCCATACAGCTTCATTACAGTTACTCCATACAATTTCACAACAGTTAAGCTAGTTATCTGAATAGTCTGATCCATACAGCTTCATTAGGCCATCCTTAAAAAATTGTTTTTTTGCGGTAACGCGTCCGACTCATCAAAATCCGCCCGACTCAAATTTTTTTTCAACCTATTCAAAGTATGATTTTTTTTTTTACATGCGTGTCTACTTTCCGTTTTTATCCGACCATTTTTTTTCTTGATGTCTGAATTATAGAGACGCTTGATTTCCTCAATCTGCAACTATTAAAAGCATTTTGATGATCACGACAAACCGATGTTTAAAAATGGCGACGACAAGTCCGCGGGAAACACATCTATGATCATTGTCATTGACACGCGCGTTTACTATGAAGCTAGAGGGAATTTGGGTCGAAAAAGTCGCCTTAGGCTTAAAACTTTGCCAGGTTTCCAAAAGATTGAGATATTAGTCGTCTTACATTTTTTTATCACTATCTTAAACACGTTAAAATCGACATTGAAGGGAAACGTTTTATATTTTCCATCCGATGTAGTTTTTCACTGCGATAGTTCTAAAAGTCTAGTAGGAAACAACATCGGGTCGTATTTTCCAGTTATAAACGTAAGTAATGCAATACATTCGGTAAATGACTACAGATGCTTTGTACTGGATACGTTATTTTCTCGTCTTTTAACTGTTCAACATGAAGACCTATATATACAAAACGTATTATGTAAATGCCATACTGAACAGTTCTAGTAAATAAATATATCACGTTGAAAATGATGTTCAAAGGTAAAACAAAAAAATCTTACTTTTTTCAGTGTTTTTTAATTGTCAGAAACACAAATTAATGATTTGTTGTCATTATAAATTATCACTCCTTTTATTAGTGTTAATTTGAGAGAGAAAAGGGGGGGGGGGGAATCGATCCACTTAATGAATTTTAAAAATCAATCGGAAATGTATTAAAAATAAATGTTCAAACCCTTTGATCAAAAAAGAAATCTTTGATATGCAGCACATTTATTTTTTAATGGGAATTTTATTCCATATTTTATATCAATTCACGTCAAAATAGTTTTTAAAAGTATGTCAAATATGGAATCGGAGAAAAATGGATAGAGAGAGAGAAGAGGCCACGAAATATTATATGCAGCAGGATGAATTGAAGAATGTAAATACACCTATGGTTTCAGTAATTATAAAATTTAATTTTAAAAACTGGTTATCTGATCTTTAGATCAAAGTTAAAAACAAATGAGAGATTAGGTTAAGGTGGACTCCTGAGGATTGCAGAGACAGGTCATATTAAGCATTTAACCATCAAGATGTGCTTTAAAACCGACAAAATTTTCTTGATAACTTGCAGTGTGCCAGGAATTATCCGAATGATTCAATAAAAATATGTGATTCTTATACTTTTAAGAATCTGGGTGCATCAAATGCTGGTGTTAAAATTACAACACCTAAACTTAAATAATTCCCGACATTCGTCTACCAAAAAAAAAAAATTACCTACCTACCTACTCGCATCTAAAATGATGAGTTGCGTTACCGCAAAAAAACAATTTTTTAAGGATGGCCTTACAGTTACTCCATACAATTTCACAACAGTTAAGCTAGTTATCTGAATTGTTGTGCTGTAGAGGCAGTCTGATCCATACAGCTTCATTACAGTTACTTTAGTTATCTGAATTGCTGTGCTGTAGAGGCAGTCTGATCCGTACAGCTTCATTACAGTTACTCCATACAATTTCACAACAGTTAAGCTAGTTATCTGAATTGTGCTATAGAGGCAGTCTGATCCATACAGCTTCATTACAGTTACTCCATACAATTTCACAACAGTTAAGCTAGTTATCTGAATTGTTGTGCTATAGAGGCTGTCTGATCCATACAGCTTCATGACACTTTTATTGTTGTGACATTATATAGGAAGGACAGTATGTATTGATTAGAAGTGTTCCAGCTATCCATTGCTGTGCACACATTCTTCATCAATGGATATAGGGTTTTTCTTTTTTTTTTTTTTTTTTTGGTTCTTGGCAGTGAAGGCATCTGATTTCTACATAGTTGGTGCTTATGAAGTTACAAATTGTATATATCCCATCACTGAGTGATGTTACCAGTGCAATCCCACATACATGTCTTTATTGCATCAAAATTGACTTCACTTTGTGTCAGTGCTTATCTTGAATTTATTTCTGATGAATAAAATATTTATTTTAATGTCATAATTTTTATTTTAATTTGATTGTGGAGTGAACCATCTTTTATGCACCCTTTTTGTGCAGTTTTTAATGCAAATGACATTTTAACCTGTTCATATTTCTTTGAACATTAAATTAAATATGCAGGATATTGAGCAGTGTTTGTAACATAGACTTGCTGTTACAGTTAAACAAAATCATCTCCAATTATAGGTGCTTTAATCTGAATCATTAATTGTCTTAAAAAATAAATATACATGTTGTATTTGTCATGTTGTAATGTTGGGCAGAACTTTGTCCTTCACTTCAATCTGAATATTATTTTATCTTGTTGCATGGTTCTATGCTACAGACCACTTAATTGCCCATGGTAACACTGATACCTACATAGGTCTTTTTGAATGGGATTCTAAATAACTAATCATTGTATGAATCAACATATAATAGGTAACTCTTCACCTAATTACAGACCCTAGCTGTCCTACATGAAAAATTTTATTCATTCAGTCAAAAAACAAAGAACCATGCAACAAACGGGTTGCTACACACTTGACTTGGGCACGCAAAACACACCCTCATCAGGTTGGGTAACAACTGTTATATAAGTACATAGAAAATATAAGTATAGAAAGAATTCATACGATCCTAAAAAGAATTTTTTCAGTTAGATCTCAAATTTTTAACCCTGTTGAATGACCATGAATTTATAAGTTATTTACATGCATAATATTTTATGACTTAATTTTTGAAGCAAAATTTCAGAGTTGATTATGGGATTTTAAATCTGCATGCTAAATTTTAGTAACTTGTATCATATTATGATTATCTAACTCTTTGTTTACAGTATTAACTAAACAGATTTGAAATAATTTAAACATTATTAATTATTTATCCTTGAAATGTTTAATGTGTTTGGGCCAGTTTTCATATTAATTGATGTGATCTGTACTTATGTTTGTTTTATTTTATTCATTAAAATAAATGCTATTTAAATTCACTTTTTCTTTTCCGTTTTTTTATTTCTGTAAAAGATAAGCTAAAAAAAAATTGATGAATGTCCTTCACTGTATCACCTTGAGATGTTGTCTGTGTCGTTACTGCATTTGTAGTTTTGAAGTAAGTAAGTAAGTTATTTATTTATCGATATTGACATGGACATGTATACATTATTCCTTATAGCCGAGTTTTACTGTAGACGGTGATGTACACATCATGTACTTAGATTACATGTTTGTTTACAAGCAGTTTAAAAATAATTCAACAACCGGCCCATCGGTCCTTTATGCCACTTTGAACACAATATTGAAATGCAATACATAAAGAGAAAATAAAGATGAGCACAATGGAGATGAAGAAAAAAGTACATGAAAATATACATAATATTGAAATACATACATTTTATAAGTTTACATCTGTGTGCTAATATTTGCAGTAGTATGTTATGTTATTGCAACCCATTGCATAAGAAATTATTTGCACAGACATTAAAAATAAACAAAAAAAAACATAAGTTGATGTACTTATATTTCAGGGTCTGTTGTGTTCATGGCTAAGCCACAGAGTGGAATATCCATTCTCTCTGACTCGTAATGCATTTAGCTGTTGGGTTTTGCTCATTTAAAATGAAATTAACATGCTTCAGATGTTGTATATGACGTACATTTTCCAGATGAATAATCAGGTTAAAGTTTTTTTGAGCAAATCCCTGTCAAAAACTCTATGTTTCTAGGGAAACACATTACCAGAATGCTTTCAATGCTGCATGTAAATATTATTTTTCTTCAGATAAGTGACAAGGTTAAAGTTTTTTTGGTTTTGTTTTGGGTTTTTTTAATGAGCAGGGGCCTGTTTTACAAAAGAACTTATGACTAAGACCAAAAACTTTCGTTGATTGTAAAATTTTGCAAAATTAATGATTCTGTTCAAAATTGCTATTATAATAATAAAAATTAATATCTTACAACATTCCTTTTAAAAATAATACCATTTAAAATTTAATGTAAATTAGAAAGTTATAAGCAGAATTAAATTTTGGTCTTAGTCGTAAGTTCTTTTGTAAAACAGGCCCCAGATCCATTCTCAAGTAACTAGAAGGTACCCCGAGAACATCTGAATGGATGATGCATCGAGAGATATAGATTACCAAACTTTGAATGCTGCATACAACTAATATGTTTCAAATAAGAGATCAGGTTAAAGTTTTTGGAGCAGGTCCATTCAAAAATATATGCACTGACCAATCATGCATGGATTGTGTATCTGAAGATGCACTGTACCAGACTAGCTGCATATGACTCTAATGCTTCCGAGGAGTAACAAGGTTAATAATGTCCATTATTATAAGTCCTACCTTAACCAAACTTGCAATGATGTATCTAGGATTGCATGCATACTTCCAGAAATGCCTCAGATGCAGCATGAACCTAGCATCTACCTTCCATTTTCCAGATGAAAGACCAAGCAAAACATTTAAAGCAGGTTTGTTATCTAGTTATTTTAAGACTTTTTCTTGACTTACCTTGCTTATCATGGATGATTAAACTAAGAACACATTATCAGGTTTTCTTCTGATGCTGAATCTGACCTACATTTGTATATGTTCAGCATGAGTAACCAGATTCAGGTATTAAAACAGATCTACTACCAAGTCAATATAAGCCCAACCTCTTTCAAATAAGCATTCAATTTGATGTTGCATAAAGGGATGCACACTCATTGTATCAACACATATTGCAGGGGAGTAGCTAAAAAGTATGGGAGAGACATTTTTAATGTTTGGGGGAGGACATTCACTGCTTCAGATACAGAAGGAATGTAGGTTACATCTTTTTATGGTATTTGTAACTTATTCACAAAAAATGAATACTGCATGGAAGACAGCGATAGTTAAGCACTGGTCCAGCTACCATATCTGTCTAATATTCTCAAACACTTTTTTTTAAAAGTTTTTGCTAGCTCTGTATATAGATGCTCAACCCTTACACTGATGACATATCAAGTGCAAAAATACATAAATGGTGTCAGCACCCTAAAGGAAGAAGAAGCTCTTGGTATATTTGATAATATAACATACCTGTATATGACCTGATTGAATTCCTCTTATGTATACAAACAGTGTTGCTCTCTGAAGTCAACTTTACCCACAAAAAATTGAGATACAATGTATCTTGTAAAAAGAATAATTCTTTAATACCAGTTATCTTTTAACTCCATAGATTTAAATACCAGTTATCTTTTAACTCCATAGATTTAAATTCTTCATATCAATTTTTCATTATTCTTTTATCATATGAATGCTAGATTACTTGTAAGAAACAAAGTTATTCAACAATATAGTAAATACAAAATAAAGATGAAATTGACCAACGGACTTTCATCATACTTAAAACAGTCAGATTAGTATATGTAACAATTATTTCAGATGTTATTTGTAATTACATGTAATATTATTATATAGGTATATACATGTAGAATATTTTTGCTATTAATCTTATGCCACAGGTTGATTTTATCAAATTAATATACCAAAAATTATAAGGCACATATTACATATGTATAATTAATAAACTAGGAAGGATCACTTCTACCAGCAGCAGTATCACAAAGTCTACAAGAACATAAGTACAGTTTAATGTAAAAATATCCTGCAGTTCAGCATAATTATTTCTAAACCAGAGTAACAGAGAAGGACAAATAATGCTGGATAATTTCAACATTCACTCATCAAAAATTCACAGTTGTCACATTCATACACAACATTCCACTTCCATCTTCCAGCTGAGAAGTTCATATCCTTTGTTTGAAGAAAGTTTTACCCTGCAGACTGAGTTCTTGTTCATACATGTCCATTTCTTTCTGGATCAGCTGTTGCAGGGCTTTTCGTCGGACCTACCAAATTTGGATATTGTTGTTAAACAATTGGTCAGTTTTCAACAATACCAGAACGTAATTTTGACTAAATGAGATGAAAGTGTATTTAATACAATTTCATTAAAATCTGTTTGTTTAGATTTGAGGATAGCAAGTACAGTGTAGTATGGTACAAAGAACAGGGTTGTCCCTAAGATCTGGGGACCAGGGAATTTCCCCACCTATAATTGATGTAATCCTCCTAAATGGTACATATTCCCCCTAAACTCCCCATTAGGGTAGGAACCCCAGATCCCCTTCTACTTTTTTAATGTCTCCTTCTAATTCAATCGTTAGGAACAACCCTGAAGTAGAAGGGGCTAAGTAAATAAATGATTTAAATCAGAATGGATATACAGTGTACAAGTACTTACTTCATAAAGACCTGGGATAAACTAGGACTACAATTTTCTGACTTGTAAGGAATACAAGTACATGTAAATATGTTCATACTAAAAATGTTAGAAGTTCCTCTGTTTCAAGGATCATTAATAGTAAGTAAATGTCAGGGACAAAAAAAGAACAATCCCAGGACATTAATCTAGACCTTGAATTTGTCTACTGGTTATCTAAAATAAGTACAGTAAACAAGAGGTCCAGGGGCCACATCACTCACCTGAGCACTTTGGCTAGGAAAAGGCAGAAATCAGTTCAGTCTTGAAAAGTTTAAATATAAAAGGGGGGGTGGGGGGTTATGATTTGAACTTACTTGAATCTACACTTACTAAGGATGCTTTTGAATAAATATGACACAAAATGGCGGTTGCTGATTTTTCCTATTATACTCAATAATTTTATAATACATTTTACAACTACAGGGAATATGAAAATCATTTTGCTGTGAGCATGAATTCATTATATGAATGTTCATTGTAGCTGTGTTTTACTATACTAATTTTTCGTATTTGACTAGAGCTTCTTTCCAGAATTATAATTATCACTCACTGCTATGGCTGCTTTAGCAGCAAGTCTAACTTCATCTTGGATTCTTTTATTTTCATCTTGTATTCTTTTATTCCAAGATACTTTTTCCAAGTTTTCATTCCACTCTGCCCTTAAATTTGTATTTTTTTCTCTGAAAAAGATAAGAAAAATCGAATTGCCAAACCTACCAAAAACTTTTTTAAAGTTCATCTGCACAAATATTCTTTAAGCTGTTTTCAAAATATGTAGCTTACAGTCTTACGTGTAACTTATAGTCTTACGTGTAACTTACAGTCTTACAATATTTTCTCTCCCAGCCATCATTTCATCTTTCTGCAATGAAAATGTAACAATTGACTTGAGATGATTGGAATGCTATACAACCATCACAACACATTTACAAAGTTTCAGCTATAGTGGTTTTAAAAGAGAAATCTTTTCATTAAAATTATTTTAAGGCATTTTGAGTTTTTTTCTCTATGAAGCATCTGTGTATCATTCAAAATGCAACCCACATATTAACAAAAAGAACATACAAGCTAATTTTGTAAAAATCATAGCCCCATAAGATATATCTAATGTAAAAACAAACTAGTGGATGCTTAGTATATACCTCTACTGTTAAATTACAAAATTCTCAACAAATGTAGAATGAACTATAGATTCTCATTGAGAGCAATGAGTAGGTCTTGCATCCGATTCTGCTGAAATTAGATCTGAATGGTATAGTTTGATTGGTTAAAGAGGAGGGAATAACTAAAGATGAAAGGAAAAGCACCTAATTCTCCTAAATGTATTAAGAAATACATAAGAGATGAGATCTACCAATTTTCAACAACTGCTGGTCCTTTTTTATTCACTTCCAGAAAGACAAGACGTGCTTAAGGACATATGCAACATAGTTTGAACTTTACTGTCTTTTCCCCTGGAGTTGAAGAGTTCCAATACTTAAAGGAACTGTGTGCTACATTTTTAAAATGTCTATATATGCTGTTGTACACTTCTTCTAAAACAAGTTTGGATAAACAAAACATCTAGAATATATATGTTTAGTAAGTTTTGTATATTTTTTTTTACTTATACAAGAATTCATTAATTGATATCTTTTTAAAACCCCTGGTAATGCATGCTGATTTTTTGTCTACGAACATCTGATGGCACTAAAATCTTAAATTAAGAATATCTTGAAAAATTATCAGTAGGTCAGGTATGTTGCATATGTCCTTAAATGACTGAAAATTCCCATTGAGTGTGTAGGAATCATCCCTGAATGTTTTGATGAAAAATACTCATTTTTGGACTACTTCCAGTTTGGAAGAACCAACTTCTGGTGGAAATTGTATGACTTGAAACACTCTATTAGCTTTATAATAAACACAAAGAAATGAAAAAAAAAAATAAAAAGCACAAAAAACAAGCCCCAGATTCATAAGCCCATGGCAGTACACTGATCCTGAACTAAGAGAACAATCAAACATCATTTGAGAAAAAACAGAAGTTTATCACAGTCAAGTGATGTTCCAATTGCATACAGAAATGCCTTTAATTATCATTTTTTGTGGTTAATGTACTTAATACTGTTATGAGATTATAAACATTGTTATAAAAGCTAGTCATCAAGGCCCTTATTTTCTAAATTCTTAAGACATAAGTTAACTTAATGGAGTAATCTTGAAAAATAGAGCAAAGGTTAAGGTCAAGTGGACTGTAACACTGATATTTTTCAACATGTCTTTAGAAAAGCAGTGCACTTGCCAAATAGCACAAACTTACCACTTAAAGGTCATAGAATATGTGAATGTCAGCACCATGGTGTATTTTGAAAAGTAGGTCAAAGGTCAAGTTCAGAGGTAATGAGGTCAGTAGCCCTGGTATTTTACAAAAGCCAATTTTCCAAGTAATACTTGAGCAAAATATCTATAATCCTGATCTCTAACAGTTTTCAGGATATAAGGTGTGACAGATGGAGGGACAGCTAGAAAGACAATGGACAGACAGATAGACTCTGGGCAAAGTGATCCCTAAGTGTCGCTTTGATCTACAGGCAACACAAAAATATTTTGAAATGGCCTCACAGTCATTTTTCTAGTTCCCTGAATAGCTCTTCAGTTACAATTTCTAATTGTATGATAAATATACAGCCTATTCATGTGAAAATGCAGATAATAGTTTTTGTCTCCCACACTTACAGGAGAAAATAACAAGAAGCCCATGGGTCACAGTTCTCACCTGCTCACAGTGGCCCTGATGTTCTTATATTTAAAAGATTTTTCCCCTCTTTATTTCCATGAAATTTTCCCCCCATTAATTATGGATTAAACCTAACTCCAAGGACTAATGATTACACAGAAATTCACAACACTGGGATGCTTCAAAAACAATATGACTTACATGGCCCTGCTGCTCTGGAGAAATCTTTGATCCCTTTCTGTAGCCCCACCCTAGCCCCCCCTGAGAATGCATGCATATTAATATGACTAGATATGGTTCTGCTGTTTCTGAGAGGTAAAATGGTTTTGCCCCTATTACATGTTCGCGTTGAGTGGTTTTGCCTTGAGTGGTTTCACCCCAATTATACCTCTTTCCTGTAATTAAAGAAGTCAAAGTTTTGCACGTGTGGAGTTTGGCAGTTTGCTATGACAAATCGCCAATGTGGTTTTTCATGGGCTCTCTGGGAGAGGTTTTATTTTTAATTAGATCTCTATTTATTTAAAGCTATCTACACAGTTTAATAAAGCAAATCTTCATTCAAAATTTCATAAAAAGATTGAGATGTTGGAATAAAATTAGAACAATTAAACAAAACTTATTTATTTTACAATATAAATATAGATGAAGTTGGTATTTTCCCATGTTCATGATTTTTGAAAGGAAATTTTCTATCATCTATTTTTAATACTTGAATTAATTATTGATCGGCAACTTAAAAATTAATTGAATTTAATTTAAGTGCTCATCAATTATGTTAATTTAAACACCCACTGATCAAACCACTTCAACATCAAATATAAACTTTAGTTTGAAGAAAATTGTGTGAGGCGAATTCACTCAGGCGAACAGGTAATCAGGGGGAACCATCCACATTCTTCTTATACATTCCCATCATGGCAAGTAAAAGTTTATCCCTTATTGTGGCAGGGATCAACATTAACGGTTGTCTGATTGCCTGGGGCAAGTAAATTCTCAGTTCAGGCAAGTGAAACTGCTGATGTACATGTCCGATTAGGCAAGTGAATATTTCTGATAGATTTTTTAAAATCTTACATAAGTTTATAAACAAAACAATAATTTGAACACTTGATTTCTACCAGGAATATTCTTTTTGCAATCTGAAAATTCCTTGGTAGAGCCTTTTATTCAAAAATCGGGTTCGTTATTCAGTTTTTCTTTCGTGACAAAACTGACAACTTTATTTACATTCTTATTATGAAATAAGATATTATAAAATAGCTCATTTAATTACTCATAAAATATAAAGAACACTAGTTATTCTTGGGGCACAATGTATTCTGATCAGGATATATGTTTCAAAACATGGCCACTGTTTTCTTTTAGCCTGGCTTCAGTTTTTCAGGGGGGGGGGGGGGGATCAAAATCAAAATTCACAAAAAGGTTGTAATGAAAATAATTTTATTTAAAAGGAAATACTGCTACATGGCAGTATGAGTTTACAAGTATTTAAAATGTAGCATCACCGGCACATCAAGATATTTTTCTGGCAAATAACTTGCCAAATAAAAATAATATCTTACTTTATTTACAATAATAAGTTATCGGTTTCTCTTCTTTCTAAATTTTGGGCAACCAAATTTTGCATTCGAACAAGTCAAAGTTTGAGTTCACTTGCCCGAAGAGCAAGTGAATCTGAAAGTTAATGTCTATCCCTGTGTGGCCCATCCTTACCAAAAGGCTCATGATTTAAACAAACTTGAACTTAATCATTTGAATCGGTGGTTCTTGTGAAGATTAAAATATCTGATGACTAGAGCATAGAATTAGATTTTAGAATGAATTCTGAATAAGACTGCAAGAAAGAAAAAATTGCTTTCAACTCTGGCATATTGAGGAAATTCGAGATGTGTTTGCAACCGAACATGTTTTTTTTTTTTAAATATACCTGAATTCTTTCTTGTTGTTTGAGAAAAGCCTCTTTCATGTTGTTACCAGTGTTCAATTCGAACCTTAGAGTCGTTGACATACTCATTTTGATGCCTTTGTTTTAAATAATTTTAGTGAAAACAGTATTCTTTCTTAGTTTTTGGTTGCTATCGGTCGAATTACTCAGTATACGTAAACAAATGGCGCTAAAATAGTAACAAGAGATAACTATTCATCTTTTGTTATTGATTTTTATTTTAATGAATAACACATTTTTCAATTGTCATTAATCTAATTATTATTATAATAATTATTACTTATTATCATTTGAAAACATTTTACTATTGATTATTAACATGCGTATGAATATCCAATGATCATTAGTTAATTGGCTCTTTGTATTATTCGTGAATACGTGAAACTACTGAAGGTAACATAAAAAAAAAAAGGAAATCTGTTCCATTTCTAACTTATGTGATCTGGGCTACTCTTGTTGGTCGATTTGTATTTGGCAATTTATGTGTCAGTATGTATATATAGTCTATACCTAACTCGTAACTATTTTGATCCTATGATATTCATTTAGTCAGGGACCTATATACTAACTTAGTATATCATGTATATAGGTCCCTGATTTAGTATATTTAAAAATTGTATATATACATAATTATATTTATTCGCAACAACAACAGAACTCGATGTTACAGTTACTGTAATATCGGGCCGTACGTAAGTTTGCTTCTCTGCGATCTTAGTTGGGTAACTTGTACACTCGGAAGCAGCAAACGTTATTAATATAAGTTACATAAATTATATGCATGTTAAACTTACATGATTTCATATAATGAATTTAGTCATATTCTGAAATTCCGAAGCCGGCATAAATTCGGTTTAATTTTGTATTCGTTAAAAAAAAAAAAATTCTGAAAGCCTAGAAAATAACCCATTATATATTCCAAAAGATTGTTTGAATACTGCGTTAAATGTAAGAAGAGTTTCAGGTTCATGGTTTTTGAAGTAAAATGCCCCCCCCCCAAGAGCCGTCGCCAGGTTTCTGAAAAAAGGGCCGGTTCGGGGAGAGGACTCCCACGGGGTACTCACTTCTTGAGCCAGATTTTTTTTTTTTATTAATGAGTATTATTTTGGTGCATTGCTGAAATAATTTTTCATTAAATAATCGGAATTTAGCAGCATTACTGTAAAACATGAATAATGAATTTCTCGTGTTTCAAAGGTGATGTCTTTAAGGGGGTACGATCGCATCCAACGCACTCCCGTTCCAACGGCCTTGCCTCCCGGATGAAAATGAAAATTCCAAAACCTACTGCACATCAACAAGAACACCACTAATCATATTCAAAAAACAGGGGAACTGGAAACTGAGTAAAATGTAAGAGAGAGTTGCATCTTCACTAGCCATTGGATTTCTGTCCACTTTGCTCCACATAAACATTTGATTTGCGGTCCACTTTTAGGTTTTATATACACTGTATGTTGAGCAGGGCGGACTGAAAACTCTCGGCTAGCGAAGATGGAGGAAATGAGGGAGTAGATCTATAGTTTTGAATCTCCATATTGACCTGGATGACTATATTATGCCAAAAACTCTCTTCAGAAAGTGAGGGTATAAAAAAGGAAAATTAAGAAATTTTGTAAGTTTGTCACTTGTCCTTTTAATACAATGTTGCAAAAAACCTAATCTCCTTGATTATATATACCTGTATATTATTGTCAGTATATGACGTATATTTATAAGAAATATTTCCATGGTATAAAGTAGTTTTAATGTATTTATAAGAGATGTGTCTATGGTATACAGTGACATGTGCATACTGAATTATGATGTATGTTTATGGTATACAGTGGAACATGCCACTGGCGGATTTAGAGGGGGAGGGGGCACGCCCCCTAAAACTCCCCCCCCCCAAAAAAAAAGTTTGCATGAGTATAAAACTGTCTCGACATTAAAATGAGTATATATTAATTTATGCTGAAAATTGAAATAAATGAATAAATGAATATAAAACACAACAATTAGGCAATCTTCACTGCAAAAGCAATATTACGTGGATTTTACTTTTCAAGCGACTAATACATGTATCATGGGAGGAATGATTTCCTCAATCAATTATTTCCATAATACAGATATGCCATCAGTTTTTGATACCAACACATTCTTAAGACTATAACCTACTTAAGATGTCGATTAACTTGTATCAGAAATTTTTTTTCACCTATAAGAAAGTGAAGAAGAATGAATTTATTTATACGTGAAAATGGCGATCGTGGATCGGCGAGAAATGTCGAGAAATAAAGGCACCTGATAAAGGCAATTTGAAGAATTTCTTCGAAAAATTAAGTGACATCAGTAGTGAAATGTCTTAAGAATTTTTGGCATAATGTCATTGAATTTCGTAAATAGTAAATGGTAGTAAATACAAAAAATACAATATGGCAAACATTAAATTTTCGTATTTACTACCATCCGTTAAATTCAAAAATTACAATACGACAATAAAATACTCTGAGATAGGCCATTTAGGAATAAAGTCCAAAAGTGGAGCACATACTGCATGTGTAGCCTGTAATTTGCCGTGTGTGTGTGGGTGTGTGTGTGAGGGGGTGTGTGTGCAGCTAATTGTAAACGTATATAAAAAAGCAGTTTAGTTTGAATTATTTTATATTTATAAGATATAATTAAGATGAAAATAAGTGTTAAAAAGCCGCCTAAATGATACTCATTATACTTTATTTTTTTTTCATATTCTAAAGTTTCACAATTACATGAAATTTAGAGGTACTGAAAATAATTTACATGACTGTATTTTTGTCTTGCCTTCGTTGTTTGCACAGGAAAGTCATATTGACTCAAAAATCGTGATTATAAAAAATTTGATTATTGAACTAAAATGCGTTTGTAGGAAAAGCTGTAACTACACCTGTGAAGGCTAATTATAAGGCGGCCCAAGCCCCTTGCCTTTAAAAAAAGAATTTACACCCCCCCCCAACTCAAATTCCTGAATCCGCCCCTGTATGTAAACTGTTGGAATTTGCAATGTTGACATTGTTATGAATGTCAGTGCCGAGCTTGGTGCACAACAGGGGTCCTGAGACCACTGGTATCCGCCAGTGGACTCAGGACTCCAGACGGTGTGAGGATGGGTCCCAGTCATTGAAGGAGAAAAGGGCTCGAATAGCCGCTAGTTATCTTGGACGTCATATCGCTTACAAGTACCAAAGCAGTGGAGATTGAAAAAAATAATTCATGGAATCAAGTTCTTATTATCTACTCTCAATTATTTTTTGAAATAAATAGTGGGGTCCACGTTTTATAGGGGGATCCAGTCATTTTTTATTTGCTTCAGTATTTACTTTTAATAACTCCGAATTTTAATAGCAAATAGTGGGGGGGGGGGGCTGTTCCCCCCACCCTTTAGATTCGCGCATGTTAAGATGCTTAAACAAAATTATACACTAATCACTGAGAATAATTTGTGAAATTACCAGGCAAATTTCTAATCTCAAATTACCGACCGTGATTTCTGAATCAGTTAGAATCGTGTCATTTTGATTTGGCATTTGATGTGTGATGTCATGGCAATATCTACAGATAAAAAATTTTTGAAAGTGTGTGAAGAAACTGCAAGAAATTTTGCATTTATCAGTGTTTATGATGCTATGAATGGTAACATATACTAGGCCTACTATACTAGTATGTAGGTCCCTGGTTATATAAAATGGGCCACAAATTACATTGCAATAATTTTTTTAAAAGGGCATTTTCCTCTGAAATATGTAATGAAAAAATAAAGATATGACTCAATTATTATGGCCAGATACTGTATGACACTCAACTATATTTAAATATAAGTATATTGACAGTCAAAATTACTCTATTAAACATGAAGTGTTTAGATGTGTGGATTTAAATATTGAGAAATGAACATTTTACATGTACATGTATTTTCTTTAAATAAACTGCTTATTAAATGTAAAGAGGGTGTTGCAGTTCTTTTGTTATTTTCCTTAAAGCTGTAGCAGTATAAAAGAAAAATTTTTAGTAACAGAAAACGGTCTTAAATTTTTTTTCAGATACAACGGTATATACAGCACAATATAGAATAATATTTAGAAACTGCATATCGACTTCCAATTTACCATTAAATGAAGTGTACATGTAAATTAGTCACATAGCAAAATAAGTCAAGTTTTCTGTTTTTCAAATAGGGAATCTCCATTTTTCTGAAAAATTGCCTCCTTGAAACAGAATGAATTTTATATACGCATAGAGAGACAGGCTTTTTTCTTCAAAACTGCCATTTCCGATTTTTGTTTCAAAGAGGCATATTTTTGAAAATCACAAAAATCGAATAAAAATTATTTTCCATCCGAAATGCAAAATGTTCACATAAAATAGCATAAGATACTTCAGTGTCGGAGCTGGTCTAGTTGTAAAGTAACAAAAGATTTCTAACAAAAGATTCTTTTACCTGAGAATGGGTTCGAATCCTGGAATGGCTGGTATATATATTTTTTTCATATATAATGGAAGTACAATGAGAGAGGGAGAGAATGTCATAATGGGTAATATTAATAATAATAATGGGTTATATTTTAAATGCATGCAGAATTAAATTGTTTTCCTTGATATTGAGATCTAAAACCAATAAGACATACATTTAATGTTACTATTTAGTGGCGATGTCTTAAAAAATAAAGTACCATCATTTTAAATAATTTAATCTTTTCATACGCATTTTGTTTCATAATTGTTCTGTTAATTAGTGGCTCAGATTTGACTTGAAACAACTAAATTGAAATGACTCAATGGAATTTCTTGGATATTGCATCAACAGCGTGATTATTGGACACATTTTTATATATTGAAAAATAATTAACGCACGCTGTCTACAGTACATCTTTCAAAATGATGTGCGAAGTGCACTTGCCATTAATTGTGCTTCTTATCGTTCTAACTTTTCTCCTGCCATATGGCGACAGTGACCATAGATGTGAAAAAAAGTTTACTTACAGGTCGCCAGTCTATGTTAGGAAAAAACTATGTTTGAAATAAACGTAAAATGTGAAATGTTTTGTTATAACAAGCTGAACATACCCGCCGTATAAATAAAGTCATCTACGTAGCATTATCTATATTTAGAGATAACCCTTCAAGCGTCGTGGGTATTTATTTGTCCTTCTCGATTTAGGGAATAATTGTGAGTTTCTGCAACACCCTCTTTTGATCTTAATATAATTTTAAGAAAATTAAATTGAAACCGCTATTTCGTGGACAAGGCCTAACGTTACTGTCATGACCTCATGCATACTCGGAACACTACAACGGCATCTGGTGACAATCTGTGATAACAACAGAAGTTCTCCGAAAGTGAATACGATTACTTCCTGTTGAGCTCGCACCGGTTTATAGCAGAAAAGATGGAGTCTGAGCACGGTTCAGGCGCGAATATAGGGAGTGACAGCAATGGTCCCGGGGGTAAGGGAGCGGCTGTGTTGCTTGTGATTGGGGAACCGAATACGGAGGATCATAAAACTCTTATTTTAGGAGAAATCACGAAAGGTACGTGCTTTAAATACTGATTTATTTGACTTGCTGATTACCAGGTAAAAACTGCTCTTTTTAATCCAAAATTATTTCTAAAGATTGCATTGTCGATTAATTGTTATTGAATTTGGATGGAAAAATGTTCTTCTTTTATAGATTTAGTAAGTTTTTTGTCTGTCTTTGATTTTGCCGTTGCGTGTAGCAGGCCATGAGTCACTTCTTCGTAAGCTTGACATAGATTATGATAATTGAGTAGTGAAAACAGAAAAAAAGCTCAGGCGACTGTTATTGTACGCTGGTGTATGTGTAAACAAGCTCAGCAAACACGGAATATACGTTTATACCCGCACTTGATTTAGTTTATTTTTATCCTCACATACAAATCTCTTGGGCTGTCAGAATAATCAATTAATTGAAAGAGACTTCATGTTCAGATGAATCATGTCGTTAAAAAATAGGAATTGATGACCGACATAAAATGCTGTCTCCATTATTTTTACTATTTGTGAGGTTTTCAGAGTACTTTCATTTTGATGATTTACATGCGGACAAAACTTGCCCCTCCCCTTTTTGTGCACACCAACCTTTATTGTGTAAGGCATGATTTTTTTTTTTGTTTTCTTTTTCCATCAATATATACTAAATATCTCAAGGAAAGATCTTGGGATGCTATCAGCCCACCATGACTTATTTTTTTTAATGATAGCTTGGTAAGTTTTGTGTGGTTTTAAGAGCATTAGCTTTATCTGCCTCCCAGAAGTCTTCTCTAATTGTAATGATAGCAGCTGAATGGTTTAGCACGTTAGAGGTTGTATTTTGTTTTACCTTTCCTGTTTGATTCATGTGCAAGGTAGACAGATAAAGTTATCAGTGAAGCAAAGAGGAGGATTTTGTAATCAAAGCTCACTCACTGAAGGATGGAGACACAACACAATTTAAATCATTAACAACCTAAACATCTAGAGAAAATAAAATTGCACACACTTTCTAATTAGTGCATATTAATTGGCCCACTTACATATGGTCTGGATAGCCAGTGTTTAAGGTTACAGTGAAACTATTAAGAAAAATGTTTCTTATAAAACACATCCAGATCCTAAACAATAAAATAACATTAATCATTAATTAGAAACAACTGACTTTTACATTTCTGCACATTCAGTCCATGAATGAAGCTCATACCATGCTGTTTTTATAATTTTGGCTTAACCACATAATTTTGTATATATAACTCATAATTTTAATGTTCTCACACGGTTTTTATGTGAAGACATATAATGCATATTACATGTGTTGTACAGTGCAAGATTAACAGCTAAATGGATAATGTTTGTAATGTAGCTTCTAGCACTTGGGATTCAGTGTAGATTTATAACCAGATCAAAGTAACAAGTTAAAGAAGTGCAAGTAACAACACAACTCTGAATAGCATAAAATAACTAATAATGGCTATAGTTGCTACATACACTATTACAAAAAGAGATGCCTGTTTAATACATTTGTCAGTACATGTTAGTGTGTAAGTTACCATTCAGTAGCTGTGTTTGTTCTCATTACCATAGCTGATGAGATTTCTGTTTGGCCTTACTGACCTATAAGTGGATCTCTGGATTTAATGGGAAAGGGGGGGGGGGGGTTGGGGTTGGAGGGAGGGGGCTATCAAGATTAGATCAGTATTGATGAAATCAGGAAAATGCTGAAGCTTCCAATGAAGTGTGATGTATATCAAGAGGAAGCTGATGCTGTCTTGTAAAAGTATACAAACAAACAAAGTAAATAGATGGGAGAAACAGATGGTAGTATTGCTAAATTGCATCAAAGCAGCAGAATTTATTCTATTTTACCAGATCAACCATACTGAGAGAACCAATGAGATTGCCTGGAAGTCGAGTGAAAGTCATTGCTTTGAGGCTTTTTTGTTTGGATGAAAATTCAATCCAGCTGTGATATCATACAACTTGAGACTGACTGCTCTTTGACCAAACTAAGGAATGGGGGACCAAACATTTTGGGACATTTAGATGATGGTAGTTTTCCTGTGGGGCCCTTTGACTGGCACCTATGAAAGGTTCTCTAAGGAATGAATGATTTGTTAGCCAGAGTGTAAAACTAAAGGATTCAGAGATCTGTTACATGGAGATAGGTATTTTACAGTAGAAGAATCAGTCACCTCCTACATGGTTCATAGAATTCTACAATTATCAAAGTGCCAGAGCAGTTGTTTCATGGAATGCTCCTCCATGCCTCAATGATGCTATTTATTAGTAGATGTACTAACATCCCAGTTACAGTGTTGAAAGATCTATGACAATTGTGAACAGCAATTTAAAGCCCTAATTGAAAAGAAGATTGAGGGAACAGTAAGGCAGTAAAATATGAGAGTAGGATTAAGCCATATGTTTTAGTTCTGTACACTTCACAGGCATTTTGGAGTCTCCATTACAAAATTCAATACGGTTTACTAAAGTTACAATGGTCAAATGACAAATTTCAGTGAATGCTCAGCTAGAGTTAGGGTATTGATCTATGTATCTGAGTATAGGCCTAACAATAGGATTCAATATTTATCAAGCCAGAAATCTGAACCTCCTGGTCAATTACTGCCAGTGGAAATATGAACAAAATAAAATTCAAGTTATATAATAGTCACCTGTAATGGCCAAAATAACAGTATAGAATTTAGGGAACATGACCAAATATTTCTTGAATGATCAGTACATGTTATAATAATGTATAAATAATATTACATGTATAATGTATGAGAGATTTATAAAAAAAGATTCATGTTTCCCCTGGACAAAAATTCTATACAAAGATTCAATAGTAAATTGGTGAGAATCTGAGAGAGAAGTGCGTTCATAAGGAGAGGGCAAGGTCATTAAAGAAGAGTGTTTTCCAGACTGGTTTATGATGGTTAGACATCATAACCAGCACCAATTACTCCTCTCTATCATTGGCCATTAAGATGTCTGCCAGATGGTGCTCCTCTGTGTAGAAAGCCACAGGGATTTATGTTCAACATCTTGATTGCTCTGTGCAGATGTTGTGGACTGTGACCTCTGGCTGTGACCTTGTGACTCCTGTATCAAGGATCAGTGACTTCATCTGAATATATATCTGACAGCTGAACTAGTGATAGCTTCACTGTATAAAATAAAATGTGGACTGCTTTTACATGAACCAGATTGTGTGATTGAAAATATAGGGGGAATGCCCACATGAACTAGTAAGCTGCAATGCTGAATGGAATAAGGTTTCCTGTATGTTTACACAGTCAGAAATGGACAGTCTGCCTTGTTTCATCAAAACAAACATTTTTACAGCTTTCTTGGAGTCGGTAGTTATACTGAGCAGATTAGTTGAGAATTAACTCATAACACCTACATTGTAATAATCAATTTATTGAGACTATATTCTCCCTTCCTTAGTTTTCTCTGTTTTGAGATCCTCCCTTGCTGAAGGCCTTGCATTCCTGAGACTTATTTGAATGACTGCTTTCTTCTGCCTGCAGCAGCTCAGCACAGATGCAGATAGTGAAATGACAGATATACATGTTTACACCAACACTGATAATCATTCTATTCAATCTGTAAATGACAAGAAACAACCCAAGAAAAATCTTAGGCAATTCTGTAATAAGTCTTATAAAAGAGTATCGTAATTAGAATTAAAAGAGAAACAATAGGAAAAGATTTATTGACCAGTTTTGACTTAATACTGGGCATTGTTCCAACATTTTTGTGTCCTGAGTGGTTTACATATATGTTGATGTAGATCAATTAGAAACTTTTGGATCATTATAGACATGAACCATTCCACTCAAAAGAGAGAGCAATTTGGCAACCCAGCCACTCCTATGTAGAAAACATATAAGCACTATTACTGAATAATGTGCAAACTTGAAGAGCAACTCAAAAGAAGTCTTGGACAAAACACGCAGAAATTAATTACATCATAAGGGAAAAATTTTTAACATTTGGGCTCTTAAGCTCAATGTAGCACAATTATTAATAGCCACAAACATTTGTATTGAATTTCCTGTTGCCATAGTCAATTCTCTGATTCTCGTACATGAATATTTTGTGAGGGATTTCTGACTTTATCCTCGAGCGTCTACTGTAGGAAACTAGCCATTCCTTGGTATATTTCTGGTGTTACATTTACACGGTACCGGTACAGTGCTATGCAGAATTCTCTATCAAGTCTTCATCAATTAACAATACATTACCTTGCATATCATATCTTACCACCCAATTCTCTGCTGAGGCTGTTCATAATTTTTACTCCATGCAGGTGTAAAATTTGCATTTATTGGTGCGTATCCCCCATTATACCAGTATACATACCCCATAAATGCAATTTGTTTTGGTGTAAAAACTTCATATTCTGATATAACAAAGGGTTTGAATAATCTTGGAAAAATAAGTGTAAATAGAATCTTATGATGGATAAATTGAGAGAATTATCACAAGGATCAATCATTTACTGTTTATCAAAATGGAGGATGAAATTTGATGATCACTCAAAAATTGACATGTGTCCTCTAAAAGGTTCACAGATTGCTGACCACTGTGTCAGTGTTGTGAGGTAGGGTTAGAGTGAGGTCACAACTGACCACAAAGTAGTGGGTTACACATAGAGAAGAACATGCTGGCTTGATTGCCTTTAATTATTCTGAATGATGTTAACTAGACCTTAGTAATCATTAATCAATGTACAGTTGGGGGGGGGGGGGGGGGGGGGAGATAGAATAAAGTCAATCCATCTCTTATAACAGCTTGAGTGTTCAAAAAATGGTTTATTCTTTCCAGTTACGTAGCTAAATAATGACAGGCTTTTTGTACATACCTACTGTACCAAACACTTGTACAGATCTTCAACATGGTTTGTTTTGTCTCCCAATTCTCAAACTTGATAAATTAATTTCATTGAGGAATTCTTAACCCAGCTACACAGGGTAGCAGAGTCAGGACGGGAGTAGAGACACCTGTCATTTATAGGAGGATGTACAGGTGACACAGGAACCCATTAAGTGTCAGGTATCTCTCTGAACCTGATGAAGAAAACAAAAATTTCCTTACCATCCTTAGCTTCCTCACTCTATCCTCCATCGTTTGTCTCAGGCTGGTCATATTTTCTCTGGAATCTGTCCCCACTTCTGTTTGTCTGAGGCTGGTCATGTTTCCTCTGGAATCGGTCCCCACTTCTGTTTGTCTCAGACTGGTCATGTTTCCTCTGGAATCTGTCCCCACTTCTGTTTGTCTGAGGCTGGTCATGTTTCCTCTGGAATCGGTCCCCACTTCTGTTTGTCTGAGGCTGGTCATGTTTCCTCTGGAATCTGTCCCCACTTCTGTTTGTCTCAGACTGGTCATGTTTCCTCTGGAATTGGTCCCCACTTCTGTTTTCTTCCCCCCTACATGTAATAACAAGCCTCTCAGTACTGGAGACAGGCTGTTTGACAGTTTAGATGACTGACAGAGAACTTTTATTTATCATCCTACAACAAACAGATTATCTCTAGGTCATAAATTCTGTTAGCCCATGTTTAAGTGGCCAGCTCTGAGGGTTCCTATTGAGGATCTGTTAGATGGATTTGAAAACAAAATCCTCCCAGAGGTTTGACATTGAATAAATGTATGTTTGGACCTTATAAGAAGGGTATTGTTGGTGGCACAATTGCGTTGCAATTCTTTTCTGGTCAATATGTCATTGTGAAGTATTACTTAACCAGCTAGAATTCATACATTATATACAGTGATGTGCAGTACGTGCTATGCAGGATTTAAGAGTTCTTGTTAATAATCCTACCAATTTTAGGAATCTCTTGATAATTTTTATATGCAATTAATCTGATATGCAAAAAACAAACTATTTAATATGCTGGCGAGCAATAAGGTGTGAACCATCATGCCAGAGTTTTTACAAAATTTGGTGAAAAGTTTGACAATTGAGGTACAAGATATAGATCTTTTTTTGTGCGACAATTTGAGAGTCAAACTGTGTGGACCACTTTAGCTTTAAGATCATTATAAATCAGTTTAACTGTGAATAACATAGGTGTGTAAAGTGCTGGGATTTCCCAGGCAGTATATCTACAGGTATGGTGTATTTACCCAGGCAGTCAATGGAATGTACCTGTTCTCTGTTTCTCAATGGTGACTAATACAAGCATTTCTGGTCTCAATGAGCTCACTGTCTAACCTAGGTAACCTCACGCAAGCTTCCCACATTCAATATCCCACTATGCTAAGTGATTGTTGAAAGTCACAACTTCATTTTATTTCTAAAAAAACCTTTTTTTGCCAAGTAATCAAGTAAAACATAAATTTTGAAGCAGGCATATTAGGTTACAAAATGTTGTCAAGTGTACAGGACCCATTCATGTTATGTTGTCAGATTTAAATATTTGCCTACTTGTACACTGGTAGACGTTGTCATATATGGAGCAAGTCATACAAAGATTACATAATAGGATTCGATCTTCTCAGTAATTGATAAAAATATATTTATTTTACATTACAGATGCATGAATTATGTATAATTTTATATGCTAGGTATTGTTGAAGTATTTTGTATGTGTGAGAGTTTTCCCTTGGTACCAGTAACAAGTAATGAATTCCCATGAAAGACATTTTCTAAAGGACAAGTAGAGGTCAGAAGGGAAGGGGGGTGGAGGGATTAAGTTCCATATGGACCTACACTTATCTAGACATGTGTAGTAAGGAAATAATTTGACAACCATTGGGTTTAAGTGACACCTTTTTGTGTAAAATATTAACAGGAACTCATCAATAGGACCAAGAAATGGAAAGCCTAGGTCTGCTTTGTAACATCTGTGGTCATCTAGCAAATCCTATCATATAAATTATCATTAATGCTTAAATCTCTCTAGTAATAAAGCCCGTTAACTGTAAAATCAATAAAATATTTATTCTAGAAATTACTGTAATGTGCAACTTAATCATTTCACCAATATGTCATATGTCAGCATCTCTAGATCATTAGTCTATATGACATTAGTCTATATGAAAACATCAGAAGTGATCTGATCACCCCCTATAACTAATCAATATCAAATAATCGGCTAGCTCTTCTGTTTTTAAGACAGACTTTTAACAGAATTAGTCCATTGTGGTATAACCATGCAGACAGAACAGGATGCACCTTGACAGATCATTCTGTTTTAGACAGACATCTGGATTTGCATAGAAATGGTTCTGAATCATTGTCTCACTTCTCTCGGATGTTCTATATCCCGTCTGTAAGGGTCTGACAGCTCTCAGAAGAGCTCTCCTGTATCACAGATGCCAATACAAACTTCATATTCTGAGACTCTACAAAACATGATCCTCTGTTTATTGACTCATATTAAAAACAGAGGGAAGCATGTATGATGATAGAGAAAGGATTTTACATCATTCATTAAGCTCTCTGAAATTAATGCAAATTTGTGCTTCATTATTAAAATATCAATGACACATAAGGTCACCATGCATCATCATGCAAGTACAGCTACATTAAACAGATGTGCCATTGTAACCTTCTAGCTTTTATGTTCATGCTGTGATCCTTTTCAAGAAAGACTTGCATAATTTATTTCATTTAAAAAAATAATATATATATATATTTAGTTACACCTTAATTTTAGCATCTTCATTTTTGATGATGTCATTTTCATTAGCAAATAATTTGATAATACAGTGTATAGGAGAAAGCGTTGTTAATTCAGACAGGTGTAAGATTTTGAACACTAATAAAAACACTTTTTTGTCTTCTGTTTTTGTTCTGTGTTTAAGTGGTAATGGATAGTCTACAATATTGGAATCTTGAAAAAACCTAAGTTTATGCCTATGCATTACTTTGTTGTGACTGCAAGGCACTCACAATTAGATGACCTTCACCTCTCAGTAACACTCAAAGACCACCCTTCACTGTGTCTTGTTCTTCAGAAATTGTGTCGAATTTAGGTTATGCATTTTTCTCATAGAACAGTTAAGTGTGTGGGAGAAAGTTAATCAATTGATATATGTACTTACCACAAGGCCAAATGATGCAGGTAACCTTGATGCAGTATTTAAAGTCCGAAATATCAATAATTTCTCCGAACTGACCTTTTACAATTTTTGGATCAAAAACTTCATTTAATGAATTATGAACATGACTTAAATATTTTTGTTTTGTAGCTTTCAAGCACTGGGGTTGTACAGATGTGGATATCAATGAAGAGCTCTCTGGTATTGCCAACCGAGCAGCGATCGGAGAGGAAGGCCCAAATGGTATTGTCATGTCATTTGTTATTTCCTAACAATTTCTGTAGGCAGTGGGTAGAAATCAAATATATATAGGACTTTTAGAAAATATTAAATAATATAAGGATATTTTGTAATTGAAATTTGTCTTTTGATTCATTTTTGTATGATTATTTGTAATTCAGAAATAATACTTTGGAAAAGGGGACTTAAAAATCATGAAAGAGACATACAATATCAAACACATGTTCCTCTGAGAGTGTTGTCATTTACACACAACTATACCTGCCAGTTGAATGTGTAGATTGTAGAACTATAGAAGATAATGAAGATTGTAAATTGTAGAGTATTTTCTCAGATTGTTGCATCTGCTAACAAGATATATCAAATCATTTGTAGCTTTATATCCCCTTGGACCGCACCAAGATGGTGCTAGTAAGTAATTCTGCTAGCTTGGTAAATTTTCTATTCTCCATCTACATGCAGATATCACTGCTGGAATTTCTACAGGTGGTTAATTAAAACAGGATTCAAATTCCACAAAGCAAAGTTTTCACTTAATTAGATCAAGTAGTGATTAAACAAGTGGGAAAATTGAAAACTTTGGCAGAAAAGTAGGAAGTTGTGTCAGAGTTTCTGTGTAACATGTGTTGACTTGCTGCACTAGGATTTCTCAAGAGTTCCTAAGAATTTAGCAGTAATTTGGATTATTGCCCTGACATAACTTAATTCAAAGAAACTTCACCGCAGTTTGTCATATTCTCAAAATAATATTATTATACATTTTTTAAATTGACAAAAACCTTTTGAAATATATCTGTGGTATTTGAAGAACTTCCTGCAGTGATATTTGACCTTGATGACTAAAGGAAGTCGGCTTGGCACAATTTTTAATTTTTTTCGTTGTTCCCTTTTGCAGGAAATAAATATTTTTGTCAGTATTATAGGTTTCTATTTCCCTTGGCTTTGGTGGTTGTAATTTTGTACAATAAGTAGTCAGTGATATTATTATGAGACTGCTTTATTACTCTATGATTATCTACAATAGTTGCATGGTTGTTGTAAACTCAAATGAAGCAGAAAATATAGTATCAGTGACTGTTTAGCTCTTTTGAGCCAAGAGTTTCTCCATTTAGAATAGGACTGCCATCTTTGTTACTGTCTGTCTGGCTTAAATTTCCCGTATCTTACACTTTTTCTTCAGAACTATTGTGACAGTGTCAACCAAAGTTTATCATAATTGTTTATGTGAAATTCAATAACCACATCCTCATCAGAAGGGTAGATTTTGTAGATTCTGAATCAGTTATTCACAAGTAATTAATATTCAAGTGCCTCTGGTATACTGTGGTTCCAACGGAGACATGACAAATTTCTTATTAGGAATATATACTTAACTAGTGTAGAAAAATATCTTGAAATTTTTCTAGGATAAGGGGGCTGAATTACCCTCTTGTGTTAATTTCTGAAAGTTCCCATTAGGGACAAGGGGAATTTTACATGGAACTACTGGCATTTAAAGAGAGACAACATAGCAGACCCATGTAGTACAGAATTAAGTATCTTCAGGGATAGTTGCTTATAATCTTATATCCCTTGCTTTGGTAAATTTTCAGCCTTACCAACTTTTACATACTTGAAGGTTTTTTTAAAATTTTGAAATCTTAAGCTTTCTGCTTTCACAACAATATAGAACAGAGATGCATGTTAGAATAGAAGCAAATTTCACGTAAACAGGAGAATTTATAATACAGACTAAGTAGACTTGCTTTGATCTACATTAGAGCTTAGCCACATTTCACAGTAACAGTGAAACATAACAGGCAACAGATGCTTTAAACACTGATTCTACATCAGCTGGTTAATCGTTCAAACACTCCAGCATCTGTAAGAGCTTTCACTCACATAATTCTCCTCCACTTCCTGTAGAGTTCATTATAAATGACCAATATCCATTGTGTTTTTTTCCCCCTCCTTGTGTTGGTTTATAATTGTCAATATTGATTTAGGTCCTTGTAAGTTTTTAAATGTCGAGAACTCTGTATCTTCCATTACAAAGCGACACTTAATGACATCGATTGACTATTTAAAGTAACTATGTTTTCCTGAGTGTGGACATATGGAATCACTAAGTTAATTTACATCTCTTAGAGCATACTTGTATGGATGTAAGTGTTTTGCATGTGACTTGTGTGTATGCAAAACAGCAGACCAAATTCACATGTAGGCCATATGGTGGTATAAATAATACAAAAGAAGAATATACACAGAGTAGTTAAATAATGTACATAGCATAGCTTATGGAAATCAAAACTGCTGAAAGATGAAATTAAAGCATATTTTAAAAACTTTTAGATGATTGAAATTTCACATGAAAATTTCAGTCAAATATTTATCAAGGTAAAAAGAAAATAGTAAACTTCGACATCACTTGACATTGAAAAAAGTATGAAGGTCATCTAGTCTCTCTGATTCTGCTTCAGCTTTTCATATTAGTTTCAAAAGTGTTGTAGATACAGCAATATATGCAATATTTTTCACATTTTTAAAAAATGTTTTTGATTTTACAATACTAAGATTTCTATTTTCAGGAGAGAGGGTCATTCGTCACAGATCTGAGAATTTTGCATCGGAAATATTGGTAAGCCCACATTTGCAGACCCTGACAGCAGCAGTGAAGAACTTCTTGGGAATTGACATGTCCTATAAACACCTGATCTTTGCAGGACATTTCTTGGAGGGAAGTGGAGCGTGGATTCTTCAAGATGATGTCTTCACAATCTCAAAGCTCGTCAACATTCTGAACGATCCCACTACCAGCATCAAGAGTGAGAAAATTTGTGTTCATAGTCACCAAGAGGGAGAATGGAAGCAACCTAATCTACTGAAAATCAATAAATTAAAAGACAATGGATTTGCTGTTACAACTACTGAAACGCAGACAAACCATCATGGAATTATCCAGTTTGCTGCCTACGTGTCAAATTTTGTCAAAACCATGACCATTACAGACCTGATGAAATCCACAGACTTGGTAGGAAGTCTGAAGTTTACTAAACCTACCCTGTATATATTCCCAGGTTGTGAAGGAGATTCAGCTTTGTTTGCCATGAGGGAATTTAATCTCCTCGTCAATGGGGGCTTCCGAAAAAAATCGTGTTTTTGGGACTTTGCTCGACATCTTGAGAAAATAGATGCAATGTTGATCACACACCTTGGTATAGACAATTTATTTGGTTTGTCCTCTTTACTTCAGAGGAAAGCATTAGGCCAAGTCCATTCTGACATAGGTTATGTGTACATGAATGCAGCAGATAGACTGTCTTCTGTTAATGGCATGAAACACTCTAGCCTGAAAATCAACATAGCTGAAGAGGGCTTAGAAATGGTGGAAGCCTGCAAAAAGGTTGGTCTGACCCCTCACGTGTGTACCAGAGTGAATTCCAGCCATCCCCTGGCACCTGTCAATCTTTATCATAAGGTGGGCCATGGAACATTGGATATGTATGTTCTTAATCCTTTGGCAGATAGTAAGGAGCTAAAAGAATTCTTACAACAGTGGCAGAAAAATGGCACAGAGTTTGGACACTCTCAAGGCATACCACTGCCAAATCTTGTCTCCATCTGTGCTCTCTTGGTCTGGAAACCAGCTGATCCAAATGAGAAAATCAACAGAATTCTGTTTCCTGGAAATGCACCTCAGCATAAGATTGCAGAGGGCTTAGAAAAACTTAAACATTTGGACTTTTTGAAACATCCTACTTGTAGTGCAAAAGATTTAATTTCTAAAGGAGCTGTGAAGAAGCCAGCATCTGCAAGACCTCCCTCTGGTAAACCTGCTGTAGGTAGACCTTCTCTTGAGACTGGAAAACCTCCATCCAAACCTCAGAATAACACTAAAACTGCACCACCTAAATCTTTAAATGACAGCAGAACAGCCAAACCAGGCAGTGAACGTAAAACACCTCCCAAGTCTGCCAGTGATACAAAGGTTTCCAGTAAGGCTGAACCAGCTAAAGCTGATAAAAAAGATACACATGCCCAGCGCTCAAAGTCAGACCTCAATAAATCTGTGGACAAGCCTAAAACTAAGACTGTAGGATCAGAGGCTAAAGAATCTCCTAAACATGCTGCTTCTAAAACATCCAAAGTAGACCCCAAGAAAACTTCCAAGCCTACAGAAGAGAAGCCAGCTACCAAAGGAACACCTTCAAAATCTACCCCCAAAAAGGATGCTAAACCCATTGCAGAATCAACACCAAAGAAGGCTTCCCCAGTGAAAGAAGCCAAGCAGAAGGTAGACAATAAACCAGAGGCAGTTTCTACTGCACCTGAAATACCTACAGAGGCAGATGTTGCACCAGAGCCCCAGTTCAGGGCTGAACCTGAAATTGCACCAGAACAAATGAAACAAGACTCAGAACAAGATCTGTTACCCCAAGTCCCAAAAGAACCAGAAGAGCAAGTTAGCACAGGAAGTTTGTTAGACTTTGATCCATTTGCCAGTATTCCACAACAAAATTTTCAAAAAGAAGTTCCAGTACAGCAGAATTTGATGGATGATCCATTTGCCATGGATCAGAGTAAAGAAGACAATTTTCAAGATGATCAAGATTTAATTCAGCCAGCTTCACTGCCAGATCCAGTTGCATACTCCCCACAAGAGCCAGATGTAATACCAGACTCATTTCCTAAAGATATGATTAGTTCTTTCATTCAACCAGAACCAGACTTGATAGGAGAGCCAGATGTTGTTCCATCCAGCCAAGCTGACAAGTCTGCAGTTTCTAGTCCAGATACTGACTCCAAGGAAAGTGCTGTGCCTGTTGAAGAAAGCCCTGTAGAGGAGCCTGTTGTTGAAGAAAGCCCTGTAGAGGAGCCTGTTGTTGAAGAAAGCCATGCAGAGGAGCCTCTTGCTGAAGAATCTCTGAAGGAAGGTAAAGAAATTCAGTCACCAACCAACTTGTCAGATGATGTGAGTGTATCAGAAACAGAAAGACTGTCAGATAGAGAACTTGTGTCCCCAGTAGAGCCAGCAGCTACTACAATGGATGCTTTGGACGAAGAGGTTGCTGAGGTGGAAGATGGAGAGGAGTCCCCAGATGAGGTGGATAGTCAGGGTGATTCTGCAGAAATCACTGCTGATCCTGACAGCCAGGGAAGCCAAGAGGATTCCAAAGTCCTGGACAAAGAGGAGGATGTCTCTCCTTTTGCATTTGAAAATAAAGGCTTCACAGATCTCTCACAAAACCAAGATGAGGGAGTTGAGGAAATGTCAGAACAAACAAATACACCTGAGGAGGAGAAGTTTGAGGTTCAAGAAGCTGCCGAGCAGATGGAAGACAAAGAAACTGAACAGGAGGGAGAATCTCATGCTGATCCCCAAGAGCTTGCAGGAGAGAATCAGTCCATCACAGATCCAGCTGGTATTATATTTGATGATGGATTTCATGAGAGTGAGAATAACATACAGAGGGAAATTAATTATCAAGCCAATGGTGCACCACTAGATAGCATCCGTGAAGAAGAGGACTTGGGGCATGGAAAAACTGCTGAACATAGGGAAGGAGGTCTTAATCCATTTAATGGTTTAGATCAGGCTCAGATAAATCAAGCACCGAGAGACCAGAGTCCATTTGATTCAGATGATCCGTTTCATGGACAGCTTAGTATGGGATACCAGCCAGCAAAGGATCCAGTTAATCTAAGGCAGATTCCTTGCCAGGAAGGGTATGAATTTGATCCAGATGGAGGAGAAGAGGATACCAGACCTGACAGTGATGAGGAAGATATGCAAAATCAAGAACAGGAATTTAATCCAGATACAGAGTGGGGGAAACCAATGGGTCTACCTTCTCCACCACCTCCAGAGGAGAAGAAAGACAGTGGTGAATCCAAGAATGAAAAAGTTGCCAATGGTAAAGGCCATGTCAATGGAAAACAACCCAAACCAGCCCACTCTAGCAAAGAACCATCCAAGAGCACTAGCACAGTCGCAACAAACAAAGAAAAGTCATCTGTAAGTAAATCAAAGACAGTGACGGAAAAGAAAGGGGGGCTTAACACCACAAGAACAGAGACATCTCGTTCAGAGAAGCTCAACACCTCCCGTACAGAGGTATCTTCCATGACCACTTCCAGAACTCGGCCAGCTAGTGCTGCAGTAGGAGAACCAAAAAGTAAACCTACTCCCAGGAGACCTGCCACTGCCACTGGAGGAACCCGAGTCTCACCAACTGCCACTAAGATGCCACCCATGCCAGCAATGCATGCCTATTACATGGATCTGGCCTACATCCCCAACCATGGCAATCCTGCCACTTGTGATGTGGAATTTTTCAAGAGAGTCCGAGCAAAGTATTATGTGTACAGTTCCATGAATCCTAACACTCATACCCTAAATGCCCTGTTAGATGCCAAGGCAACTTGGCAGGAGCCCGAATTACAAGTTACACTGATACCAACGTATGACACAGATGTCCTCAGACAGTGGATGGTGGAAAAACAAGAAAAGCTAACAGAACTGAAAGTGGAGGTGGCACCGTCTGCCAGTCGGTGTACTGTACAGCTCCAGGAACATGAGACTTGCTGTCTGGCCTACAGACTGGAACTGAGCAGCCAAGCATGAAAACGGCTACATCCACAGATGTGTATCAAATGAAAAAAGTGCAAGCTTTGTTAGTTGACTATGTGCCTCAATTCTCTTTGTGATTGTGGAGTTTCAATTGAACATAAAATGTTCTTTGTCGATACAAGTTAGTTGATGTGTTTGTTCCTTGTGCTTGCTTTGTTGGCCTATCATATCTTTTGCACCATAAAAGTGAAGCTGTGTGTAGTTCAGATAAAGAACAAATTACCTGGTATGGATTTTCCTTGTGTAAAATTGTGTATGTTGGTGATTTTTGTGTTGTGATGACAACTTTTACTTTATAAAGGTATGGGTCCATGTCATTAGTTTGATATTCTATAACAGATGCATCATGAGTTGTATTTTTTCCCTTAAGCAATAGTCATCAGATCTTGATTCCAACTTTGTTCACTAATGAAAGTACTTTTGAAGGAAAGAATAGTCAGTCTTTTTTTTTCCCATAAAATAGAGGGATTTTTTTTAAAAATTATTATCATTTACAATTAGTATATAAAACGTTTTGTCAGATTCAAAAATGTAGAAAGCTATCTCTGGCTTGTTTACCATTATGTATATCAATTTATGTTTCTTTTGTGTAAATGAAACATGCACATTCTGTATGTATTAGAAGTGAATGTGACTAAATATTCTTAATGATGGTTTCTCTGCATTTGCTGAAAACGTTCTACACAGATGAACACGTGATTTCTGGTAATTGAAAATTATAGCATCTGAATGTTGTATATGTCATGCAGCATGTATCAAATGAAGTGTAAAGCTCATCTTCACCTTACCTGCTGGCTTTATTATGTATTTGTTGTAATGTGAAGAGAGAGGTGTAAAAGCCATTATTTGTTGATTTACTTAAAAATTGTGTAAATAATGGAATTTAAAAAAGCAAGGAAGTGAGTACTTATTAATCTAGTCAAGGAAGTATTTAAAGTAATCGGAGTTGGTGGTGCTTGTACTGCGAAGTTTCAGTTTTTAGGCATTTATTATAGAACTTGGAATTTTCCATACAATGACTCGTGGAGAATGGTAGATTTCAATTGGAATTCAGATTTGTGACCAAGTTGTATTATTTCAGGGCATGATTATATGAAATCTGCCCTTGAGGAATTTATGAGACAGTGCTCGAGTTTAAATTTCATAGTTTAAAGCATTTAATTAAACAGTACTTGGAACATTAAACAGAGGTGGAAAATACACCGCAGTTCTGTCGGAAAACTTTATACATGTATCATAAAATTCATTTTTGCAAATGTTGTGAGTGCTAACATCATTTTTTTAAATATATTTTATAACTTTTTTGTACGCATATAAATATTAATTATATTTGTCAATTATTTTCATTCCTTAACCATTTTTTGTGCCAACATGTCACTGTTAGTGTGCATTAATTGATAAAAAGCAAATAAATCTGGCCTATAAATCTTTGTTATTAGTTTTAAAGGTGAAAGTGGTTTTGGCCATATGGGCAGTGGATATCAGCCTAGATAGCTTTAGGGGTTAGGGCACCTGACTAGTAATGCAGAAGACCCTTGTCCAGTTTTAAGTTTTCTTTCCTGTTACATTTGGTACCTTTAACCACCCGGGGACTTGCAGAGGTGAGTCTTGTAGGGGCAAAAGTTTTTTATTGGGGACATCAATCTCAAAATACAAAATAAGCTTGAAATATTTGTCTGAAATGGACAAGATGATGAATTTACAACCTTTGAGATAAGTCAAAGTCAAAATTACTGTTGTATGAAGTACTTAACTGTGTTGTTCATAATTTTGCAAATGACCTACTTAGATCTGCCATCAGTGCCATGGGAGATAACTCTAACATTGATAAAAGTTTTCCATTCCTTGGCCCTTTTTAAAAGTCCATGGCTTGTTAAATGTTTGGAAACCACTGGCTACAAATTTTACTCAAGAGGTTCATTATACTTGATGAGTTCATTCTAATGCTAAAATCCCAACTCTTGTGGCAAAGGCACTCCGCAAGAATGTAATGATGCAAAACTGTGATTGCTACTCACAAACTGATTGCTACTCACAAACTGTATTGTTCTAAGTAATATAAAGAATATGCATAAAAGGAGAGCTACTCACCTACAGCAAGCAGACATAGAATGTAAATCTGTGACAGCAAAGGAGAGCTACTGACCTACAGAAAGCAGACACAGAATGTAAATCTGTGACAGCAAAGGAGAGCTACTGACCTACTGAAAGCAGACATGGAATGTAAATCTGTGACAGCAAAGAGTTGATTAGTACAGGGACATATATATATATATATATATACTATATAAATCCCTGATTTGTAGCAATGTATTCATTTTTATTGCCATACTAATTAACCGACATACTACTTTTTACAGTGACAGCATTCTGCATACCAAAAACAAATTTTCTTATCTCCAACACATTGACTATTTCCTTCAATGGAAATTTAATTAGGAAATTTTATTTGTGTAAAATAAGACTCTTTGAAAATGTTCCAAGAAACTAAACAGTAGCAAAACTTCATAATATTCATGATATTGAATTGAAAGTTATCGGTACATTTTCCTACTTTTAATCAAATTATGTGGCTTGCATAATATAAAGTTGTTTAACTACACAGGTATACATTCTTTACTGAGAGAGGCACCTATTTTATAAGTAAAGATGTTTGAATTGTGTTATTTATCCTTACAAATGGTGACTATATACGCCAGGGAGATGTTAGACTATATCTAAAGAGAGATAACTCCAACTCATCAAGAAGTAACAACTAAAAAAAGGAACTATTTTTACAGAAATTTATTCAATATATAAAACAGGGTTCACTGAGCCCCTGATACTAGACTGCAACTTGCAGCTTTTTTTGTAATAAAATCTATCAACACAGTCTGTACAAGCTAAAGATTACACATATAAAAATTCTCACTCGTTCCACAGTCCCTTGGAAAGCATATCCTGTATATAATGTATACATACATTCACAAATTGTCTCAGTCTTCACTAAACTCATGTGCAGTGAATTTGCTACAATTACATATATATATACTTTTTTTTATATCACCTCACTGTGAAAAACAGAAAAAAGAAGGATACAAGTAAATAGACAGATGCAATAAAGAGATTGAAAAACACAATGTACAAGTAAACATTTAAAAGAATAACAATATAGTCAGCTATTTTGGAGAGATGAATTATTTACTTGATTATCTGAATTAACATCTGACAATGAATTAATACTGTCATTTAGCATATAATTATGTGTATATTAGTTAAAACCCCTCTTTTACAAATGTACCTTCATCAAGAGGAAAACTAACTAGAACCTGCCCATTTTTGAAAACTTTCAAAGGAGAAAAAAAAATTGAGAAAATGTCTAATACTTTTTCTATCAAAATATACAAGTATGTTTTATATACACATGCCTAACAGCTTTGAAGAACTGGACTTTGATTCACAGAAGGATTCATAATGATCAAAAGTATTTTGAAACCTGTAAATATACTCAAGTAGCATACTCTCTGAAACATCACTGTATACATACTTGCAAGAACAAGGTGCATGTATTAAATAATGCAAATTGGATTAAAAAAAGACCAGTTTATATTTCTTCATTTCAACAACATATTTTTTTGTCAGAATCACAAAGATTCAGTTAACATGCCCTGCATAGACAGTGAGTAATGAAGATAACTTGCAGATCTGTTGTGGAATTTTTCCGTTCATCTCCAAGAGAAGATAACTGTACCTGTCGGAGAGGTTGTTGACTAGCTGAACTATTTATAGTAATGTGACTAGCTGGAGTAGACCAGGAACAGGCAGGCTATTTGGAGGGAGGATAGGGTGCATGATTTAAACTGGACGATGGGGAAGATGACTGGCTGCCAGGGAGGATACCTGCTGCTTAAATAAAAAACATTCATGTCAGAAAAATTTATAAAAATTCAATAGGACTGAAAAAAAAGCACATCTTTATTATTACTTCATCAGCATAAAGGCTTTACAATTTTATTTATGTTGCTAGAAATGTAAGTTTGATATCGGTGCAAAAATTTTCTTTACTTTGCATTTTGGACGTGAGGTTGATAGTTTGATGCATTCATAAGTGCTAATAGACAGGATCCCTCCCTTTTTTTCTTAAATTGTACTTCTTGCACACATTCACAATGTGTGCAATATGAAAGTCCGAAAAATGAACACAGAATAAATGTTACAATAAAAATCATGTTCACTTTGCAGTTAGTGTTGTTACGATAGTCGCCGACCATAAAAAAATCATCGCTGAAAGCAGCGCATCAGCAACAATCGATAGAAAAGTTTAAGTTCAATAGTTGCTATATTTTTACAAAATATATTTTTTAAACAAACTGGTTTATATTTTAACATTATCAAAGGACGTTCCTCTATTTCCCTTGCAAATGGTGGACAAATTTTCCAACAAAGCATATATTGAAGTTGGTCTTGCAGATTTGTTTTTGAAATATTGTTTTCATTTACGATGATATCAAACTATTATCTGGTTTACTTTATTAAATGTAACCTTTACATTTAAGTTCAAACTATATATATATATCGATCATATAATCGATTGTAAGATACTGATTCAATTTGATAATTACATGTAATAGTAAATTTGGTCTGATTTTGCAATACTATGTGCAGAATTATAAAATTGAGAAGTTTTAAATTTTTAATACTGCAAATGTAAATACATGTACATGTACCACTATGTGCTAAAAGAAACAATTTTTGAAAGAAATAAAAAATCCACAGGGTGTATACATTAGAAAAGGGGAAGGGGTTCTCATCCAAAAGCACTTATGCATACATTTTAATCATCATTTTCTCTGACTTTACCTGAATATGGATACATGGGATATGCTGCCTCAACCACATGTGTGTGATGATGTGTGTGAACATGTCTCTGTGTGGGAGGGGACTTGCTAAATTCCCGGCCTTTATCTACACTTCCTGAGAGGGATCCAGAGGGGCCTGGAACAGCACTGTCAGTCTTTCCCAGTCCTGGAGATGCTCTGAGTGGACTCCTCCTACTCTTCTCCTGAAGTTCGTGTATTTTATGGCTACTTCCTGAATGATACAAAGCATTATGGGCAGTTTCTGATGGGACTTTGATATCTGTTTCTATTGGCACTTTGGGAGGTTTTACTGGGTCCTTTTCCAGTGTGTCTTCACCCAATCTGTATCCTAGTTGGGAGGGATGATGAATGTATCCTCCTGCTGGATACATAATGCTAGGGTTAATGCCCCTCTGGTACATTGGATGTGAGGGATCAAACTGAACATGTCCATATGGCTGAGACTGCATGAACTGGCTGTGGTACATATTATAGGGAGAATACCCTGCCGAGGGAGATTGAGCTACGGAGCTTGGCAAGGAAGATGATGGAGTGTGGGGCCCCGAATCCTTGCTCAAAATTCCTACTTTTGATTTAGGTGTATCTGTAACTCTTGATTTATCTATTGCTGATTGTCCCCTGTTTTTGTCATCAAATCCTCGAGAACTATCTAGTTTTGATTTTGAATCGCTTTCCCTTTTAGAAGTTTCATCTCGTTTTGAGTCCATCTTCTCAGATTTGACCTCTGACCGTCTCTGTTCTTCACGTTTCTGCTGTTCAATATGCTTCTGTTGTTGAAACATATATTGTCTTCGCTGTTGTTCCTCGGTCAGCCGTGAATGACTCCTGTCCCGATCACTTCCTGAAGGTTGTTCACCTCTGATACGATCCATTTGTGTCTTGAGATCATGGTTTTCTCTCATTATCTGATGATTCTCGTTCTGTTTGTCTCGTCCTAATCTGTCATCAGCATTGTCCTCTCTGCTGTCTCCCACTGCCTTGTGGCCTTCAGAGCTAGAGGGTCCTGCAGAAGATGATCTCGGACCTCCATCATCCGATTTTGGTTTGTAATCAGCACTAGTCATGTATTCTGCCATTCTACGAGGGTCATCCATCATCTTCTCAAAATTCTGCCTGTACATTGGATCAGTCTGCATCATATGCATATGGTATCCTGGATCCACCATAGGTCCATAGTTAGGCATGTATTGATACTGCTGATGATGGGGTAAATTTTGTAGGTAATACATCTGCATCCATTTCTGTTGCTGAAGATGGTAGTCAGATTGAGAGAAGGGACGGACAGCCTCCATTTTTCCAGTCTCACTTCCATCCCTCTTTTCATCTTTAGCCTCTGCCTTTATTTTCCTTGGTGCATCAGAACTAGAGGACTGTATAGGATCCGATGGATGATCCTTAGTCACTCCAGAACCAGATGGCTTTTGAGAGTTTGATGGACTGTGAGCTGATGGGGAAAGATTTTGTAACATATAGTTTGATTGAGGGTAATACTGCCCATACATGCCATAGCCAGAATTTCCTTCTGTTGACAAGTCTTTAGGCTTGCTGATTGGCACTTGTTCCTCGATTCTGATTTGTGGACTTTCACTAACAGGGGGAGGGTCTGGTGAGCCACCATCATTTGCATCAGAGATGTCCGAGTATGCCGGACTTTGCACATTGTCTGACATATTCTTATTGCTATCTGGCACATGCAGTGATGGTGTCACTTTTAAAACACTAGGGGAGGATTCATTGCATCTAGAGGACAAGTCAATCCCCTTCATTGGATGAACCTGGGCTTGAATCACCCCTACATTAGCACCAAGGGGTCGAATGGGTTCAGGTTCTATTTTTTCTTGTTTTGTCTCTATGGGTTTAGCTACAATTGGAGCTACTTTTATAACACCCTGTGGTTCATGTTTACCTCCATCCAGTTTTACAAGAGACTTTTTGTGGCTTGAACCAAAAGGTGATGATGAGGTAGAAGTAGTTGTAGATGATAATGTTGATGTGCAGGATATTGGCAGTGACACAGAGTCCTTTGCTTTCTTCTTTGGTTTTTGTTTTCTTTCTTTATTAAGTCCCAGAAGAACATTGTTAACAAGGGGTGTTTCCCCCATGACAGTTGGCTTTGGTTGGATAGGCTTCAGCTGTGTTGTGCTTGGGACATGTGTAGTCACTGGTGTCAAATTACTGTGAGCTGCATTTGTTGTCAAGGCAATGAAATTTGAAGGCATGATTGGACGGGGGTGACCAGTTCCTGTTTTTGGCCTTATTGGAGGCTTTGCTAATTGGTCATTCAAAGGCAGGGAAGTCTGTATGGGAGTGGCTGTCACTATGGTTGCAGTTATTGGGGTTACTAATCCAGTGGACACAGATTTTGATTGTGAGAGTGTGTTCCCAAAACTTGGTGACACTTGTTGTGTAGATACGACATGGAATGGAGTTGCAGTGGCCACTGCCACTGACGGAGTAGGATGTATATGTGGAGCGACACTTATAATGTCCTTTTTGATTGGTTTAATGGGAACTTGACTCACTTGAGACACTGTAGCACTATCAGTTTCTCTACTTTCAGCCTTGATTGCAGCCCCATCCCGAGAGAAGTCTTCGTCTGATCTCTTTACACTGAAGTTACTTTCCTCCTCAATTTCCAGTTGATTGAGGTCATTATTTATAGCACTAGAATTCACATCACAGTTATTATCACCAAGGTTACTCTCCAGCTCATCTAAAATAGAATCTTCATTATCCATCATATCTCGTGATTCATCATCCATGTCTACCCCACTACCAGCAGATGTGTGTGCATGAGACTGGTGGTATCGAAGACCATTTGGATTTCGGTATTTCTTATTACATGATGGCTCAGGACACTCAAGTAATCCTGACAAGGGGCTCTCAACCTCTCCAGAATTTCCACGAGAACAAGATCTACTCCTCTTTTTTGACTTCTCCCCTGATAAATCTATATCAGTTGGGCGCCCCTTACGTTTCAGGCCAGAACTAGTAGAGAGAGTAGAGATGTCTGATTTAGCGGGACTAGGAGGTGCCGTGAAGGTGCTGCCCCGTCTACCCTTGCGCAGTTTTCTCCCTTCCATTAGTTTTTCATTAACAGGTGTTCCTGTAGAACTGCCCCGCCCCCTTTTTGCACCTCTTCCTTTGGGGGTTCTTGTCTCAAAATCACTCACAGGAGATTCACAGTTAGGTCTGAAAAAGTCAAAAGATACAAAATGATTCATCAACATTGATTTTACAGGTACAGTTGAACTCCGGTATCTTGAACAGGAATATCTCGAATACCATGGATATGTCAAAGTGATTTTGATGTCCCAACCCCTTATTCCTTAATTATTTTACCCTAGATATCACGAATCCTTGGATATCTCTGAGCTTTTTCTCAGTCTCATTGAGTTTGAGATAACGAGGTTTGACTGTATGTTTACCGGTAAATGATGTACATGAGATAAAATAAATGTTGTACCTTGGTGGTGCCCAGTCATGCTTGGTGGCATCCAGCAGAGTTCCAACATAGGTTTTTCCTCTCCATGTAACATTGACAACTAACACACCTGTAAAAAAAGTATATCATATACTAACACACCTGTAGAAAATGTAAATCATACACATAAGAATTATAATGTACTTATGTCAATAATGAAGGTATGTTGATTTAGATAATATGCATTTTTATATGTATTAAACTACAAGCATAAGTTCTAAAGATAAAGTTTCATAAATTTTTTTTTTTTATTATTTTTTTTATATACATATACTAACAGTCAGTATTTATCATTAGTGTACCCTGTCAAGAAATCCTTCTATGGAATTACAGATTACGGACAGATGCTAGAACATGATGCTACACTTTTTTTTTATTATGAAACTGTGCAGCACTTGTTTTTAAATAAGGAAATCTTCTTTTATTAATTTTCAGACACTGTATATCATGTACATCTTTAGGTACATGAGAATTATGATAACTTATAAATTTTTAATTACAAAAAATATTCTTTTATCAGTGAAAATTTTGTAAAGTTAAGATCTACCTTGGATAAAGGATAGATATATTATTTGTCTCAAGTGCTCCAATCATGGGAGATTATTAAACTAGAGACTCAGACATTTTTTAAAACATTATAGAGGCATTTAAATAATCGCAAATGCATGTGATTAAAAATATTGTAAGATAACTAATGCATCAATACTGAGGAAAATAAAATTATTAAAAAATATAAAATAATTTCACTGAAACTTGGAAGGATTATCGTTGTCATCATTTTGCTAGAATTCAAGTATGATTTTGACATCGCATGTCGAAATGTTTTGACGTCATAGTTACATTGCTAATAACATTACATCACAGACTCAGGATTCCTTGAACTGTTCATTTTAATTGGTTAAAATTATTAATAAATATTCATGAGGGAGTAGTCCCAGGGAGTAGCTCTGATTTTTCAGGGAGTAGTCCTCAGATGAGGGAAATAGTATCTTCTCAGGAATATAGACAGTTTTATGGTATTAATTTTATATAGAGTAATAACAGTAGAGGAATAATAATCATTTTTAACAAATTTTCTTGACAAATCAGATTCTACTAATTTACATGAAAGTATATGTATTTGTCAAGGTAATATACAGTATGATACATATTTTGTCAGACTAAGGTATTCTTTCACTACTTGTACGAACCGTTTTCAGTCTCCTGCCATACAATGCCATCTAAATTCACATGTGTGCCTGGCTCACATGGACCCAGACAATCTGGTTCTGTTTCCGTGGCAACAGAACATGTATCCGTGCCCACACATTGATCTGAGACTCCATCACTATTGGCCTCACCCTGTAAGTGACCAATAGCAGGATTTCATGTCTAGAACTGCTGATCGATATTTAACTTTGTTCCTTGACATTTACTGTGTAAATTCATGATAATTAATACAAATTGAAACTAGATACTTTAAGTACAAATTAAAATTAATGAAGATCAAACACTATTAATAACTGCTTATATAAATATTTAATAGTTCTAATGTATTTATTGAATGATAAAAATTTATCCACCAATCTCAACTATAAATATGTTTTGATTTACCTCAATTATAACCTGGCACCAGCATGTGCCATTACTCACCTTTTCTTTATCTCCTTTCCCCTTGCTTTTAACAGGTATACTAATGCCATCTTCAACCTTTGCATTAAATTCGTATGGGTCTGCTGTTTCTCCAAGTTTGGGTTCCAAAGACACCTGAGAAAAAGCATTATCTAGTGATGCACTGACAGAGGCCAGACCTGTAGTTCCTCCATCGCCAGATTTACCTCCCTTTGTTTCTTTCCCTCTGTCCTTCTTATGAACACCTTTGACCTTAGGGGACTTCTCCCCTGCAGTGTTTGGTTTGTTCATTCCTCCATTAGCTGCACCCCCACTTGATCCTCCATCTTTCTCATTTTGAGAATTTTTCTGATCACCGTTTTTTGGGGATTCATTTTTACTTTCATTCTTCATGGCTGCTGTATTTTTGTTAGTGCGTTTGGTAATTTTCATTCTCAAGCCTTTGTCCACTGTGGCCTGGTGCTCTGAGCTCATTTTTCTCTTCGGGAGTTAATGTCCCAATGAGACTGGGGTAGATTTCTGGTCACCAAGTTCCTCATCCATCTACAATCTGCATCTAGACTTCACTGCATGAGTCAAACCTGTGATGAAAAAAAATAAGGATTCTCTGATAATAACACTTGCGTCATTTGATGTGACAAATATATTTTACATTAATGTCACTTCATATAAGGCAAGAAAAGCTTTATCTGGTGTAAATTGGGGGGAATGATTAGACTTTATGCAGACACACAGCTAGGTGAAAAACACAGCATTTTACTTTATAAATATGTTCAATCTTCATTTCCAAAGTATTTATAAAAGTACAATTACATGCACACACACACACACACAGTCACATACACATAAATATGATCTTTAAACATGGTCTAACTATTCGTCATAAAATGATGATGTTTCCTACATGGATGTATGTTTTTATTAAGTATTCACTCAATTTAAAATTACATACAAATCAATTTCAAGAACTCTAACTTCATTTTTACATTTAAATTAGCTGCAAAACTGTAGCTCTCTGCCCCGGCCAGGTTGAGAAAATTTGGACAGACAAACCACAGAGCTAAGATCCAAGCATTGTAAAAATTTATTGCTCTGTTTTTTTTTGTCACTTGCATCTGACTTTTTTTTTTGTATTAATATATGCATTTCCCTGCTCAGAGTAAAGCATCCATTGATTAACTGTATATTTTACTCCTAATCTTGAATCTTGTAACTTTTTTTTTTTTTAAATCTGACATCCATGTGTTGGGATCATGATAAAATAAGCTTGGTGAAGAAAACACACAAGCAAATCTGTAGCTCTCTGTTTGAGAAAATTCGGACAGACAAATCAGAGAGCATACAGATCCTAGCATTGTAAAATCCTTCGATTCATGGTCCGCTTTTGTTGCACGCTTTGGGTATTTTCTCTTGTACCGGTATTATATGCTTTCCTCTGCTCAAAGCATGCATGGTTACACATTAATTAATTACCAGTATATATAACCATATATTTTTGCTCCTAATCTTAATTGTTACTTTATTTAATACATATAAACATGATAAATGGGTCCAAATTAACAGCCTTATAGATGTAGCTTTGGAATGTTTGTTATAAAATTTTGCATTCCCTGTCCATGATATATTTATATATTTTAAATTTCTATTTTTATATACATATTGTCTTCTTTTATAAAAAATATATATGATATTTGACCTCCACAACTTTTACATAGTTCTGCAGCTATAACTTTTGAATATCCAAAATATTAAAAAAATTTCAGGGATATTTTAATATGCAAGTTATTATTTGTACATGCGTAAAAATTAATGTACAGTATACACATATATATTCCATACTAAAAGTTATTTTAATTGTCACTTAAATTGTTAAAATTATTTTACAATATGAAATGTCATTGTTGTCCAGTGCATTTCAAACAATTACTTCATATTTTGTAGAGAGTTGTAATATCCAGTCATCTAATGAAAAAAATTACAATTGAAACTTTGATTTTTAACATGTGTGCTACACATAAGAATTATGGTTACAACACATGTGCAACACATAACTGAGTTATGGTAACAACATGTGTGCTACACATGAGAATTATGATTACAACATGTGTGCTACATGTGCAAACAGACCCAACTGACATATCAGCTAGTGCACATAGAAAAGACAATGAGACACACTGTATACATGTATACACAGACCTAAAATGTCCCCTGTGGACTGACACCATTACCCAACACCATAGTGTGTACATGGACACAGTGTATAATTATCTCACATGACCCCTAGCTTTGTTGACCCATCGACTCTCTTTGTGAAAGACTGATAACATCACTTTTTATAATTCTAAGGCTATTAAGACATAACCTCCCTTGGATATTTAATTTTTCGGTGTGGGTAAAATACTCGTACAGCAGCCAATTAACCTGTGTCTTAACAACCTAAATAAAGTCACGTCCGCCTATATATAATGTTCCTACAGTGGCAGCTGCAAGCTTATTATATATATATGGTACTTAATTGGCGTGCATTTCCATTGATTTTAGAATCACACAAAATCAAAAATCAATGTCCACTGAACTCTGACTGATACAGGTACATCACGTCAAAAGATATATTCCTTGACTGAATTAGTCTCCCATTCATGTTACCAATGTTCCAACATTCCGTCTCAAATAAATAAAAAAAAAAAGTCTATTAATTCACGTCATATTTTTCATCCTGAAATATGATGCTCCCTAAGTTGTTTATATATAGAGACAGGAGCTGCACGACTAAAGCAAGATTGCTCAATCAAGGGGGAGGAACTTACACCCTATGGCCCCTCTACCAGAGCCCCCAGAATCTCATCTTACTGCCAGCTATCACAATTAGCAACACCTTTCATAACAAATTAGAACTTGCTTGGTAATTCTATACAAGTGATACAAGATATTTCACTGACCAGAAGCAAGGGCCCAAGAAGGCATTTTAACATAAAAAAGTATATATAATTATGTAATATTTAGATCCACAACCCTTAAAAAACAAACAAAATAAAAGATATATACAGACTGTATGTACAAGTACTTCCAGATTGTACAATGTTTACTGTTTAAACTCGCTGTGGAGAAAATAGATTTAAATTGTTTCAAGCAAAACGTAAACAAAATTTTAATACAAATAGCATGGTACGTACTACACAGGTGACATAAAAAAAAATTGCACTTTTATGTCTCGATAAAACTAGATCAAAGGTCAGAAAACTGATATCAAACAGGTAAACAGATAAAAATAGTCAAGTGTAAACGTTACCAAGATGATAATGAGCCACAAAAAAAAAAAAAAAAAAAAACGATCAAGAATTTTTATATGTCACTGACATCATTTTTTTTTCTTTCCTGATTCATTGATTAAATTTCTTGCTATAATTTAACTGTCTTTATGACACTGAACATGACATTATATTGATTATAAGGTCATGAACATTACATAATAAAGGATGTACAACTGTACAGTCAGGACATACATATACTGACCAATTACTGTACACATAGACTAGAAAGCCCAGTCAAACTGAAATCCTGCCAGGGTAATAGTTACATGTATCATAAAAGACAATGACATTTAATATTAATTGTTTATAATATTTATATCTATACATGTATCTCTTACATATGGCAGATATATATACTTTTTTGTAATCATTTAATAAAAATTTTGGCAAAAATGTTTAAACTCTCCCCGGAACTATAAAAATTCAATACTTTTCATGCAATATAGACATGTGCAACTTAAAATATATAAACACCCTAGCTGTCACATAATGTGAATTCTTGTTCAAAATAGGCATATGAGATATTCCCTTCTTCTTCTAACTCATGCTAATTATAAAATAACATATGTATGCAAACTGTCAAAAAAACCTCTCTCAGACTGATGAATGTGTTTATCAAAGGGAAACCCATAATCATATTAAGTCAGAGACAGAATGCTAGAATCAGTGTCTAATTACAAGGAAATTCATGTACTGTTGGGTTTTTCAAAGTCTGACACAAGTGTTTTATACTCTGTCTTCTAATAAATAAGTTACTTTTGCCTATTAATGGCTCAATCTGTTCTGTAAATGGAATCACTATATACACATTTCATTTCATTCGTATTTCTCCTCCACACGCACAACTACCATTCAATTTCCTTCATCACTAATAAACCTTCATATTTCTTTTAATTTCTCAAATGATACCATTATCAAAATTTAAAAACAAATTATTACATAACCAAGATTTTTTCTCAAAATATATTTCTTCAGTAAATGAGTTTCAGCTACAATGTATCTTGCATGTATCATTAAAATTATCATAATTATAAGATTCTATTTATAAATACTGTCATCGGTAATTTCTTGATAATTCCATTCAGAAAATAATTGATCATTAAAATTATCTTTTACACAATTCATTAATAATTCATGGCTTAATGGTCAAAAAGTAATGACTAATATGTATTTTTCCAAATGACATAAAAAAATAACAAAAAATGACCATCTTGATATAAAAATTAAGATACAATAAATTCACACAGTTAAAGAATAGTTTCTTTCTCCTTTTTGGCCACTTTAAGAGCATAACACCTGCAGTGAAATGTGAAATACTGCCAACAGTGTACGCCTGGCTGCCAAACACACAAATAATGATCTGGAATATATATAAATCGCTGCGCTGTCTTAAATGCCAGTTGTTCACAGTGTAAACTATAGCGTAACTTTTTAAAGATTAAATACAACTTTTAAAAAAGCCGAGTATTTCAGGCTTTTGTATTGTACTTGGTCATGGTTTGACGGCCCTGGCATGCAATACATTCTTAGGTGAAGGATGATTAATTCACTATTTAAACATGATAGTGTACACGGTAGAGCTTATATTTATACTTAAATGAACACCCTCCTTCAATTTTTACATGAAAACATTCATTAATTAAAGTAAAATACACTGAATTTTGTAGCTGTTTTACATAACTGTTAACAGTGTAACTTAACTTGAATGACTCCCTGCGCACCTTTTGACCTAACAAATTCCCCAAAACCTTACATTTGCTTGGCCTAATACAAAAACACTTGATCGGCTAATTTTATGCCGATTGGTATTGCTCGAGCAGTCTTTTTATATTCAGCAGTTTCCTAACCTCCAGTGAGTTTGTAAACTCTTGTGGGTTCACACATTTCTGTGTTGTGAACTTGTACAACCATCGGACGTGCAATATCAGCAATGCACTACTCCACACTTCACACACTGTGATATGGCCGGGAAACACTCGACCATTCCGGATTCCTTACCCGAATTACACACCAATACAGTCAATTTTCATTTTAAACTTACCGTATATTGCAAGATTAAGGATATTCCTCTTTATAAATGACCTGTTTTTAATCCAAATTTCATCTACATTTCGACAGATGAAGATTTTTGATCGGGTCTTCTTTGTTCGTCTCTGCTCCTACTGTCTAAACTAGAGTGTACGGTTTAGCGATCTGAATGGCTGAGAGAAATTTCCCTCAGCCAATCAAATAACGAGTTTTGTGTTCTGAGCGATTAAGGCGATTGTATATTTATTCCTCGTTGTAAGCTTCTGGACAGAAAACAAGACGATGTGCATTTTAATATAAAACATTGAGGAAATAATTTATCGAAAGTTGTTTCATAAGATTTACAGGATGTAAATGTTATCTCTTTTATGTCTTTTATGTTTAGATTCCTTAAACATAAGAATTTTGGGGTTGCGTTAAAAAACATATAATAGAGTAGACCAAAACTATGAATATTTTGATATCTATTTATGGAATGCGTGATGTAAAATGAGTAATAATCACATTAGGTAATATCCTAAATTTGTTGAAACTCATTTTTAAAAAATGAATTTGTATCAAAATTATTTATGTTAGATCCGCTCCTTGATATACCTGCATGAGGTGGTTGATAACAGAAACCCTAAAATAAACAGGAAATATTTAGGTAACTTGACATTAAATCTGCTGACTGAATTCGAAAGCGTGGTGTACAAAACATGCTCGATCTAGGAAACACGTACTGGATTTAATTCGATTATTTTCCTATCATTATCAAGAATGAAAAACAAAATTTTGACAGTATATATTTGGCTTTATGTTTTGTGTCCCGCCTATTCAGATGATAACGCCTGTAGATAGGGCTGTGCCCGGTAGGCTGATTGCGTATGTTGTACTAATTATCACTCACTGAAAGATAATCCGATTACTTACCGGTTATAGGAACGCCGTGTGTTAAATGACAATTTTATCTCACCAATGCACACCTGCTGATTAGCAATATAGAAAACGATTATCTTTTTTGACATTATTTACAAAAGTATTATATAAATAAACTGCAAGATTTTATACTCATATTATGTCTGATATCAATGTATAATTTAATGACGATTTTCAGTTAAATGTACAATAAAAATGACCTTTTTTAATGAATTTTTGTTACACAATTTCAGAAATGTTTCCTAAGTTAATCACGTAATTTTTGTCCAATATTAGTGTCCATTTATATCATTTAAGATCACCACTGCTGACTGAACAGGTCCGTTCCCGTCAAAAATAAGGGGAAAAAAAACAAAATAGGGGAAGTTGGCATAACCCATATAAAAGCCAATGAAAGGTAATAAATTATGATGGGGGAAAGCTAGAACAGTGGGAACTAACTGTGTGGGTTTTTTGTGGAGGGGGGGGGGGTCGAAATCGACAGGACCGAGATGTTATTGGGGTGGAGGTGGGGGGTTGACACCCGATCCAGACGGTGATTACGGTAAAAAATATGAATTTGGTGAATCTTTGCCCCCTCCCCTTTCTCCTAAATAAAAAAAAGACATGGAAGGAGCACAAAACACATAAGTAAGGCGTTATATAAGCTAAGTAAGTATAACAGATAAGCCCCAGCTTCATTACAGCAGCTGCAAGTGTTACATAATCCTTAGCTAGTTTACTTCATCTGTCTGCTTCGACAAGGGAGATGATGGCTAGGGCTTAACAATATCCTTGTGGATCATACAGAACATAAGAAAGACTCACAGAGGTTATATATATATATATATATATATATATATATATATATATATATATATATATATATATATATATATATATATATATATATATATATATATATATATATATACCAGTATTACCTACATATACAGTGTTACATGTATACTTTCTCAACTTCAATATATACAAAAACATGTACTGTGGATTATTTTGGATGCACAAAATTTGTCTGTGCTGTTTTGTAATTGTATAATCATGCTTGTTATTTGTGATGCTTGAAAGGGCCCTGATTTGGAAATAAAGAATCTATCTATCTAAATATATAGTAAAACCTCTACAGGATTTTAAAGTTGAAGCAATAAGCGAGATGATCAGAATAATGAATAACGATCGTCTTGACAAAAATGAGCTCAACTCCTTCGCTAGAACTCACGTGCTTACTGGACAGGTAGTAGAACTCACGTGCTTACTGGACAGGTAGAAGAACTCGCGTGCTGACTGGACATTTAGTAGTCTACGATACAAAATAGTGTCAGAAGTATTGGCAGCTTGCGGTTGCAGTTGACCATGCGATTTGGGTGATTTCTCTGATACTCTTCTGTTAAACCTTATTTCTTCTTTTTATTTATATTCACATTTTCTCTTCCTATCTAAGTTGAAATGGAAAAAAATATACATGTACAATTCTTTGTAAAGGAATAATAGCTGAAAATAAAAGAACCGGCATCTTCACAACTTTGCAAAACTTCTATATCAAAGGAAGACGGTTTCTTTAATTCTTCCTCTAAATGTTTGTTGTTTTTTGTTTTATTTTTAATATCTATAAATCTTACTGTAAATTAATTAATAGTGAGAATCATAAGATCCTTTACTCAGCTGCTGAGGCTATTATAAATTATGGTTATTTGAATGTATGGTAAGAACTCCACCAGCGATTTTATTACTGTAACCGACCCCCATATCATAACCAGGGAAAAACAAATTTTAGATTTTTTTCCTTGTACAACTGATATTTTTCGAGTTATGCTGTTGTATTTCATTGATTTTTTTTTTAATCATATGTTTTCCATTTCTTACTAGTATACACAAGAAAATTGTTCGTTCGATCTATCGATGGAGAGAGAGAGAGAGAGAGCAATTAAAAACGAAAATTCTAGAGTTATTCCCTGTGTGTGAACATGAGTCATCCTGATACACCGGTATATAGGGAGCGAGAGGGGTACACGCCCCACTAAAATTACAGAGTTTAGATCACGTGTGTATCGAGAGCTATACTTATTTACAAATACACTATAAAAGAAAGAATAAAGGGGAAAAACTGCCATGATATTACAATATGCATATCAAAAACACTTTGAAATAGATATTTTAACAAAATATGAGATTTAGTACAAGATAGAATCAGTGTTAAGTAATCATGCTTGATTTCAAGCAATAAAAGGAAATGGTTTCTGTAAGGTCTGACGGTCCATTTAACACTTAACAATTCAAATTTCTAAAATGATCTAGAGTTTTAGAATTTAAAAATCTCAAACTGAATTTAATATTTTAGTTAAAATATCTCAAAATTTCCAAACGGGTTTAAAATACATGTATAATTTAAAAAAAAAAAAGATATTTACCTTAAGTATTCAAAATTCAAATTTCCAGAGACGAATTTTGTATTTTAAACTTTTGAGTTTCTATATCTATCGTTTGTTTTAAAGTTTACGCTTAAAAAATCTAAAATTCCGTATCATTTTTCGTCTTTTGATATTTCAAAATTTACTTCAAACTCCTTAATTTCAACTTTCAAAACGTTTAAGATTTTTAGAAATTTAGAATTTTGATTGAAACATTCAAATTTAAATAACCAAAACACTTTTTACATTTTGAGTTTTTAGAATTTTACGTCAAATATCATAAATATACAATTTCCAACCCGATTGATTTGATTTTTGAAACACAGTTGATAATTCAGCTAATAACTAATAATAATAATGGTTCCACTAATGGTGCTCAAGCACTATTCTATGCCCCCGCTTGAAAAGCGGGGAGTGTATCCGTGCGTCAATCCGTCTGTCTGTAGGTCCGTCCGTTACGCTTTGGGGTACCCACCTGTTATCTGCAACTCCTCTTAAACCACTGAATGAAATTTAATGACTTTCACAGAATCTTTGTTATATAGTACCATTATGAACCCATATTTAACTTTTTGATCGGACACATATTTTGGGTTTCCATAAGCAAAACATAAAGACTCTGCCATTTTATATATAATATTGAGGGGAGCCCATTTCTTATCCAAAACTCCTCCTATACCATTGAAAAAAAATTTAATGATACTTTCACAGAATCTTTATTACATAGTGCCATTGTGACCGCCTACAGCTGTATTTTACTTTTTGATCTCACGCTTATTTCAGGTCTCCCATAGCAAAACATGGACTTTGCCATCATAATCATATGGGAGGCAAGGGGTATCATTTTGTGAGCTCACAGTACTTCTAGTTTTGTTTTGTTTACATAATAATAGTAAAAAAGGGGGAAGATTCACACAATTAAATAAAACTTTAAGGTTTGTTACAGAGTACTAATTATTTTTTTTTTTATCCCTGATCATCCTATTTCTCTTGTTGTGGGCATCATATCTTCATCTATCAGTTTATTTGTTTTACTTTATATTTTCATTCGATATTTCTACGGATCCTTTATAGTTTTGCATTATACTAAGGTGACCCTTAAGACCCTTGGGCCTCTTGTTATATAAATTTTGATTTCATAATATGCACAACAGTCTCTAATTCATGAACGTGTAGGGCAAAGCCCTGGTGGGGGTCAAGGGTGAAGCCCACAGAAAATCCTGAATTTTAGGGGAAAAAGATTTTTAAAGATTTTTCCTATGTATTTCTATATAAATCTTTGATCCGCCATTGTGGCACCACCTGACCCCAGGGGATTATGATTTATATACACTACCTTTAGATGCTTCCATATAAATATGAACAATCATGGCTTTGCTGTTCTTAAGATTTGTAAAGATTTTTCCTCTTTATAACCATGTTAAACTTTGATTGCCCACAGCAGCCTCACCCTACTAGCCACCGGAGTCATGATTTGTAAAAATTTTAATCTGCACTATGTCAGGAAACTTTCACATGAAGTTTATTCTTTTCGGTTTCAGTGGTTCTTGAGAAGAAGATTTTAAAATGACCCCATGCACCCAATTTTTACTATTTCTTAATTACTTCCCCTCATAAAAAGGAGTGGCCCTTCATTTGAACAAACTTGAATCCCCTTTACCCAAGGATACTCTGTGCCAAGTTTGGTTGAAATTGGCCCAGTGGTTCTGGAGAAGATGATGAAATAGTAAAAAGTTTACGATGCCAACAACAAGTATGACAAACAACAGCAGTGTTTGAAACTTACTGTAAAATTATCTAGACATGCAGGGCTGACTACTACTGAAAGTTGTCAGTCCTGCCAAAAATCTACTATCCCGAGAAAATAAGTCTTTTATAACTTTGTTTTTAGCGATAACGTGAATGAGGCCAGATCTCTATAACTTTGATCCTGATTCTGTTGAATGATGAATTCTACCCCCTTTGCTTCTTACACTTTACAACCGATAATATTGGTTGATTTGAGAGAGACTTATTAAATATATGAATTTTGATTTATGGAATATTTTAACACGTCCAGCAGGGCGTCCATACGTGCAGATCTGTTCGCCATGGCAAAATTTGTGCGTCTCGGGCGGTTTCAAACACTGACAACAGACAAATTTTGTTAAGAAAAGCTCACTTGAGCCTTTGCTTCATGTAAGCTAGAAGACCAATTAAAAATCTCATCTTTAAGAGTGGAGTGTATTACAAGCAGTAAACAAGCAAAACTGTACTGTATTTGTTATTTTAATTCATTGAGAAATAATGAAAAATTATCAATTGGAGGAATTGGATACATGTATTTTAATTCATTGAAAAATACTCTGAAGAGGCTAATCCCCCCCCCCCCCCCCAAAAAAAAAGTACATGTATTACTTTCCATACAGTAAAATTAGATTAATCATACACATAACTCACCAAGTGATATTATACATAATAAATTCAATTAAAAATAAACATTTTACTGTGATACTCTGTACCTTGATTGACAAAGATAGAGAATGTTTCATACAAATCTATACATGTACAAATCAGAATTTAATACTCTCTCATTTGAAACAAACAAAATTATAACTTTTATGTGCCAATGACCATGTATTCGTCACTAGCATACAAAAATATGTTACCATCACACAACAACTATCAATACTCAAATAGTATAGTGTTGTATTCTTGTTTTAACTAATCAAGTCTTTCAACGATGAAAAACAATAGGCCCATGGGCCACAATGCTCAGTTGCTTTAACACTGTTGTTCTTCATAAGATTTCGAAACAGACTTCTATATTCCCATGACCCATGAAAAAATTGTGACCCCATACTATAGCCCCACTCTTACTCAAAAAGTCTCTGTATTCACACAACATGGGGATGCTTCAAAATTATTAAGACTATCATGGCCTTGCAATAATGGAGAAGCAAATACTTTTCCTGTATATATGCATTATGTGAAATTTGATCCCTTTTTAGCTAACTCTAACCCACAGTGCTTAATTTGAATAAGAAATGAATCTACTCAGCTTTGGAATGTTTGCATATGAATGGTGTGATTGTAGTTCCTGAGATGATTTTCAAAATTTATTTCCTATATCGTCCCATGTAAAATTCTGATCCCTGTTGTGATCGCACCCTACCCCATGAGGCCATGATTTATTTCAGTATCTAAACTACCACATGAAGCTTTCATATAAGTTTCATCACTTCTGGACCAGTGGTTTCTTGAGAAAAAGATTTTTCAAGAATTTTTTTTTTCCATATATTACAAAGTAAAGCTTTGATACATCTATTGTGAACCCACCCTACCGCCGGTAGTCATGATTTGAACAATTTAGAATCTACACTATTCCAGGAAGCTTTCGAATAAGTTTTATCTCTTCTTAAAGGAAGATTTTTAAAGAATTTTTTTCTATATATTTCAATGTAAAAATATGATTTTCTATTGTAGCCCCACTCTACCCCGGGGCCAAGATGTGTATTATTTAGAATTTATAGTACCTCAGGAAGCTTGCATTTAAGTTTCACCTTTTCTGGTCCAGTGGTTCTTGAGAAGATTTTTGACGATTTTTCCTACATATATCAATGTAAAACTTTAATCCCCTATTGTGCCCCCACTCAATACCAGGGGGCCATGATTTGAACAATTTAGAATCTACACTACCTCATGAAGCTTTCAAAAAAGGTTCATCTCTTCTGGCCCAGTGGTTCATAAAAAGAAGATTTTTAAAGAATTTTTGCTACATATTTCAATGTAAAACTTTTATCCCTTATTGTGCCCCCACCCAATTCCAAGGGGCCATGATTTGAACAATATAGAATCTACACTACCTCGTGAAGCTTTCAAACAAGTTTCATCTCTTCTGGCCCAGTGGTTCATGAGAAAAAGATTTTTTAATGACCCCACCCTATTTTTGGTTTTTCTTGATTATCTCCCATTGGAATAAAACTTTGCCCTTCATTTGAACAATTTAGAATCCCCTTCACTCAAGGATGTTGTGTGCCAACTTTAATTAAAATTGGCCCGAGGTTTTTGAGAAGAAGTCAAAAATGTGAAAAGTTTACAGATGGACACACAGACAGATAGACAGACAGATGGATGCTGGACGATGGGTGATCAGAAAAGCTCATTTGAGCTTTTAGCTCAGGTGAGCTTAAAACAATTAATTAAATAATACAATCAATCAACAAATTTTTTAATTCATTACTAGTATTAGATTATTAGAATATAAAACATGTTCTTAATTGAATAAAGCTATATTCTTGTTCTTGTAGCAATAGATTTCAAAAGAGGGTTTACTTAGTTTTCACTTATCTTCATCTTTTTAAATGTAAACCTAATTACAATCAAAGCTTGTTCTCTCACACTCAATGGAGCAGAGGGGAAAAAAATTGAGATATACATAAATTTGAGATATCAAGGGTGAAATTCATAAAGAAAAAGTCATTGGGACTTCCAACTGGCTTCAACATATCCATGGTATTCAAGATATTGATGTTTGAGATACCAAAGTTCAATTGTATAAATAAATGTAAACATGAAATGTTTATTCTGAACACAATTATTTCTTAACAAAAAGAAAAAAACAAAATAAATTATTAAGATTGCAAAATCTTCATGATATAATATCCTTACATCATCTTCATATCACAGATATCAACTACACATGGCATAAAAAACAGTCTCTAAAACTACCTCAGCCATAAATTAACAAGCACCAGTATACACACAACATCACAATTACAAATAATCTAACAGGGAATCAGAGTCATCAGGATGTTTTCTTGCCAAACAAGCGCATGAATACAATCATAAAGAGGAATGTGAGAGTGACAAACACTAACATGATCCAGATCCACCATGAGCAAGTCTTGGTATGCTGCTCAAGTCGATCACTCTCCACTTTGAGTTTTTTGGTGTTTGAGTCTGCCAACTTCATACTCATTTCTAAAGTCTGAAAAGCAGGAATATTAAAATTGGATTTTTTTTTACATACCTGGTAATAGAATGCCCATTTTCCCTTGAAACACAAAAATCTTAAGATTACTCAGGAAAGGAAGAATAAAACCTAGCGGATTGAAGAACTACTTCTGCTTTTTCTATTTTTCCACTTCTGATTGAGCTGTTGTCTATAATGTCACACATACAATATCTGTAGTTTTACTCTAACTGTCTATTAAAACATATCAACCAACACCTACAACTGAATGTAATATCTACTCTTGACAATATGTAATAATACTATTCTAATTGCTCTATCAAAACACATTGTAAATGACATGGCAGTATGGAGTATCAAAATGTATCTTGCCAAATAACCCACCTCAAAATGTCTTCCCTAACAATCTTTTACCTTTTTTTATGTGTTGGGACATATTCTAGTTTATGTGACATAAAAAAACGTAATATTTGTTGAAAAATAAATGATTTTAAATCTAACTTTTGACTAAATGGCCTCAGAATACATTGGTCTTCCTCTTAATTCTCTTTGCCTGTGTGTTTAAAAAAATAAAGACTATCACAGTCAAAAATCTTTACCTTAGAACTTGATCAATTCAATGTGATCACAAAATCTGAAGATGACTTTGTCTAACTGTTTACACTGATGTAGTAAATATGAACTCTTTGAATTGAGAGGTGTGTAAGTTATCAGGTCACTTAAAAGTTTTGATGAAATGAACAAAGATGTAACCTTTTGGGCACTTACATCTGATGTACAGGCATTATCAATGTACCATAAAAAAATGATAAAACTGCAATACATGTACTTCTTACAACAGTGTATCTACCTTATTGTCTCTCTGGACAATTTTCCCAGAATCCCTCACATTCTCCTTAAGACTGCGAGTCAAATGCAGCATTTGCTCTGTCAGCTTTTCATGTTTTCCTCTCTGATGCTGAATAAGAGTCTCCGCGTCATCATTTTCTGCCACCTTACGATGTCGTAATTCTGAATCTGTGAATTTAAAAACATTCAATAAGTAAATCATATCAATTCAACAACTTCTCAAAACTTCCAGTTATAAAACATTACCATTGTATAGCGGTAAATTAAAGCAAATGTGTTCTGTACATGTAGGAACAGAATGCTTAGCATAATTGTGCATTTTTTAAAATGGCTAAAGGTAGTACATGTAGTGTAAAGCAAGAAAACATTTCAAATACTAAAATCAGTACACAATGTAATAATTTACTGCTTCCTAACCTTTGAGCAATGAACATGATGAAAGATGCCTTTTTTGTAAAGTAATCCCAGTTAAGGTAGAGTAGGGTACTTGCAGCATAACAAACTCTATTTGACTTGCTCAGTGTGGGCTTAATTTGCACACCAATACAAAAACAAGAATTGCAGAAGTTCAAAGGTTCAAAAGAATTTAATGACGTAAATTTTTAAGATTCCTGACCTACAAAATCTAAATAGTACAAGTTATATCTTTATAAGCCAGTATCATTTAGACCCATTTAGGGTTTATTAGCCCTGTATAGGAGAGTACAGAATACACTTATCTACTGGCTGTGAGTGTTATAGCTCTTTTACGAAACCCACAACAGGAACTATTCCCATGGACTTCTCCGAAGGGTGGGTAGAACAAACTATGTCCACTAGGATAGCTTTGCTACACGTGAAATTTTTCAGACTATGAACCTTATTTAACCTTCTTAACTTCAGAAAAATCTAACAGAAGTATAATAAATATCATTACCCACGGTAAGCTATCTCTGTAAGATACCCCTATGTATAGGAGAGTACAGTTATCATTACCCACTGTTTTCCTCCCCAGAAGTTCTTCCCTTTCTTCCTGTTCATATCGTGCCTGATCCTGGAATTGTGACAGTCTAGAGTTGCTCAGTCTTTCCTCTGGTGATTTTCTATCTTTGGCTGCAGACTAAAAAAAATATTGCTATAAAACATATGTAAATGCAAAGTATATTATTTTTAAGTGTATTAAATGATAAGCACCATTAACCATTTAAAACAGTGAGTTGAGGGTAAAATATACTCTCTATAACTATGTAAAAGGTTACACCACTTCTTTTCAGGCTCATACCATTACCTAAGGCTTGCTGAGATGTCCCTGTGACTATAACACATATGGCCTTAGAAAAAAATATGTTTGTTTACTATTACATGCTGATAAAAAATAGGGTTGGTATGCATGATTTTGTTTTTCTTTATTCCCTTTTTCAAATAAAGGCACAACTTTAAAATACATTTTTTATGACAGTTTGAAGCTCTCTTCTTCTAGCATAATTTATTTTTCTTACAATTTACCTGCTCCTATAATGTGACTTTATGACCTATAAACCAACAATTTTTTTTATCATGTGTCAGTTTCTTCTAAGTTTCCATGCATATAGCATACAATGTTTAGGAGGGATATTACCCAAATTTTTCAAATTCATTCAAAATTTACCCTTTTGTCCGATTCTACCAGCTCTTTCAGGTATATCAACTTTTCAGTGTACTCATCCAGGTTTTCTTGAGGAGGGCGGCTAAAATTCAAAAAAGGAAATATATGTGTAATGACTTTTAAATATTTGTCACTGCAAAAAATGGTAACCTCTTCCCCTCATGATTCAAGACTAGGATAAGGCTGTCCGATAAATATCACAATGTACCAGCCGTTGTTACTTCTCTGAACTACCAAGATATGACGTCATAATAGAATATAACGTCAAGTCACTGCAAATTTGAGCAGTCATGATCGGGAAAGTGTCATAACTTTTACATTCCTTCTCAAGGCATGTAGATTTTATTTTGACTTTGATATTTACATCAGGTGTCTGAATTGTTGGTTAAAGTTTCTATGTGCTGTTATAATGGTGATTATTGCAATACAATATCGTTATGCCTTTCTCTTTCTGATAATGTACGTATTCAAACAATAACAAACAATGAATATGAAACGCTCCTTAGACGTCCGTAGACAGAGTTAGAATTTATAAATCATGCATATATTAGACTGGCACAAGTGATTAATAAAGATAGTTGAAGATGTTCTATGCAAATCTACTAAAGAAGTATGTGTTCTAACTGAATTTTGCTGGGGGATCGTATGTAATTTATCCTATTTTGTATAAATTGCGATGTAGAGTGGGAAATTCGCCCTTGTATATGGGTAAGTTGAATTTCTCGTGAAAATATTTTCTTAAGAAGTTAAACTCAGACTTGCCCCCAGCACTTTATATATATACCCAAGAATACGTTTAATTGACTTATATAACAAATTGTCCTCAATAATTTTGTTTTTTACTTGTGCCGATGGGGCTTTTGTGCAACAATTAGGAAAAATTATAAGTGTCCGTCATGTGATCAACACGGTCATGTGATATCACAAATTTCCTTTTTCACAATACCTTATTAAGGTTTTGCCAAAAGTCAACATGTCGAAAAATTTATTTTTACAATAGCTACAAAACTATGTGGTTCATAAAGTTAAAACTTTTACAGTTTATAAATATATCTTTGATAAACAGATAGAAAACATCACTTGATAACAAATACTTTAAAAAAATATTTATCAAGAAAAATTCTTTTAAAAAAATGCATATATTTTAAAAAAAAAAATACACCTAATTAATTCCATACTTTTAGTGAAAGCCATCATTGCAGAAACAATATATGTTTGTCAATGAAGGGCAAGTTGGACTTCGATAGCCTCTGGAAAGTTGTTTTCCCTGTTTATTTTGTCCAAATGTTAAGATTTGAAACCGAAAGTACATTGCAAATGGCGGATTTTATAGGGGTCTTTGTCTTTATACATGTCATGCTTTCAATAACAGCCTTTCAGAGATCATTCACGTCCAACTTGCCCTTCATTGATAAACATATATTATTTCTGCAATGATGGTTTTCACTAAAAGTACAGAATTAAGCAGGTGCATCTATTTTAAAATATGCACATTTTTGAAATTTTTTTCTCAAAAAAATTTTTTTTTTAAATATTTGTTTTCAATTGATACTTTCTATCCGTTAATCAACGATATATTTATAAACTGTAAAAGTTTTAACCTTATACCTCACATAGTTTTGGAGCTACTGTAAAAATAAATTTTTGGATATCTTGACCTTTGGCAAAACCTTAAACTCTCTTCACAAATCTACTGCACATGTATACATAGATTATAAATTGAAATCAAAATCTAGCTCAAAACATAATAGCATATTTCTAATGCATATTAAGCCTTCGGACAGCCTTAACATAGCCACGTTGTGATTCATTTACCAAAATAATTATTTTAGCTACATTGTATATGTTGACTATATGCTTTATTAAAAACACAGAGATTTCAATAAAAGATTTAATCAGTACCGCACCTGACTTGAGACCTCTTCATTTCACTCAGTAAATCTTGTAGAGTTTCTACATACTGAAAAAAAATAAAACATTAATGTTTGAAAACCCTTTGTTGTACAATGAAAGTTATACATTGTTATGTTAAGTTTAAAAGTCAAAATTTTCAAACAAAATTTGAAATCACAGTATTATTTAGTGGTATATAAGAAGAAAGATATCTGTATTTAACAAATACAGGTTTTTATTTCATTGTTCAATCAGGAATGTGGACTGTCTTGGTACTGTTTTTTAAATAAAGCACATGTAGTCCTTTGAGATTATTAATGTTAATTTTTCTTGTAAGATGCTTATTATTTTGGGGTTTTATTTATGATTGATCAACGGTTTCACGTTTTTAAAACTAACGAAAGCACAGAGCACAAGCCTGCCTATCTACCAAATTTATATATTTCATGCACTAGTATTAGATGCATCTTGTGCATAAAAATCTCAGATAGGCAAGCTTGTGTTATGATTTTACATCAAATAAGGGGCCAAATTTGGCCATCACCATACCATCTCCTTTATTTATAAGCTTAAGTCTTTTATTAATTATACATTGTTTTGCATGACATGCATTCATAATATCTAAGGAGAGTAATGTTCATATTCCTATTGATTATTTGTTAATAAAATATACATGATTAAAACATACAAAACATACTCTATAAATAATTACAAAATGTACTTTATCAATAATTTGACACCTAATGACTAATGTAAGAGGGGGTACAAGCTGCAAATAGGACAAAAACTTTTGAGGCAAAACCACTGAAAGTGAACATGCAATTGGAGCAAACCCACCCATTATCTTATTTTCAGAGTTGAATGCTGTTGGGGTCTGGAAAATTGAAAGTTGACTATATGTATTCAAGATTCGCTTATATTCTTTCCTGTTTTATGGTCTTATAGATTCGGTATATCTGGAGTGTAAACTGCTAAGTATCCTACCACTCATACATGTATGCATTGATCAGTAAACATGATAAAGATTTGTTAGGATCAATATACCCTACATGAAATACATTGCTCCATCAATAGTTGAATCCACACTTTTTCAAAAGTTATGTCCCTTGGCCATCATCTTTGGGGAAAAACTCATAGAATCCCCACAGTAATCTTTGTAGTTTTCTGGTTGGTAACTTTGTCATTTGATTTGAAAAAATCTGTGCATCTTGTATATTGACTGCCACAGGTTTGGGCTACCCATACATCCAAAGAAAAAAAAATTAAAACACAATTTATTGGAGCATGCCTAAATGTTTGGTAGCATAAAGAGGAGAAATGTAATTTCTAGGGATGTGCGATTTTATTGGTTTAACAGTATATCATGATTTTTTTACTGCACGATACATTTTGTGACATGGAGACTAAAATACCGGTATTAAGTATGCAATTAAAAATTCTGGAAATAATTTTTTTTGTTCAAACTCTTGAATTACAATTACAAGAATTGTAAAAAATATTGTAAAACAGTAAAACAATGGCATCCTAGCATCCAAACATGTTTTATTAATATATTGATAAAAATGAAAAGTAAACTTAATGATATGTTTTCATAGGGACCTATATACTAACAGGAAAGGCAACTCTCGCAAGTCTCATGATAATTCATAAGTTGCGGGATTTTGTAAGTCAATTTTAATTAAATATGTCTCTTTTGCTATCGAATATTTCAGAATAAAACCTTAATTTATTTATCAAAAAATTATTCAAGATTTGTTGTTAGCACTGTTTTTACTCCTTATCTTAGTAGTGATTATGTTAATTTAAAAATCAGTGCATGTCCCTGATAGGCCGTATTTCTGAGAATTCACTGATTTTGGTGGTTGTTTACTTACATATCTAAATTATTTTATAATATGTGCTTTAAAATATATTAAAAATCCATTCCCGATACACAAAAAGAACAGATTACATTAATCAGAAAACAAGCTTTTTACTGAAAAAAATGTAGTTTAAAAAACTTGCAGTGTTGTGTGTGACATTTTAGGTTAATAAACATGGCGCTGAAGGAGTTGCCTATCCCATTAGTATATAGGTCCCTGGTTTTCACACTAGATATTTTAAGAAAGTTATGGAAATTCATTGAAAATCATAGTAAAAATTATGTGTGAAAATATCATTATATTATCATGATATTATTGGAAAAAATTGTGATATACTGTGATACAAAATTTTTGGCGATGCCCATCCCCAATCATTTCTCTCCCTTTTGACCTTTTGGTTGTCCCCGCAAAGGGACACACTTTTGCAAAGTGCAAATTGGACTATTAAAACTTTTTGAGTGCTTGTTTAAATGTTTTACCTGGTGTGAGAAAAAAAAGAAAGAAACGTCACTAGAGTTGGAAATAAAAACACTTAAAAGAGACTACCAAAGTTTAGCAAAAGTTGTGACAGCAAAGTGATTTTATCAGTGGAGAATCCTGATCATCCTATCAAAAAGTGACCCTGTATAAACACAACTATATTCAAAGTAATGGTGGCACCAAGACCATCAGACATATCACATGGCATTACAGAAACTGATGCAATCTTCTTGTGCATCATTTATTCTGAACTTTGGTAAACTGGACTTTTTGAAAGAAGAGGAAAAGTGAAAAAGATCTAGAATTCGTTAAATGTGTATTATAATTAGGGAATTCTTTAAAAAAAAAAAAGAAAGAAAAATGAATCCTACTTTCGTTTTAACCACACTGTGTAAAAGGGCAAGTAGTGCAACATATGGCAGGTCTAAATAATAATTGAGGAATTTTCCGGAATTATCTTACAGAAAAAAACATGAACAAAATTTTTGCAATGAAATTATTACATTTTACCTTCTCAAATCTCCATTCCCCGGAATTTCTGTCTTTTGCCATCGTTTCGCATCTACTTAATAATTTCTTGAAATTTAATTCTGTTCTTGACGCCATGTTGGAAAATTTAAAGTGCTTTTGTGGTTTTCAAAAGCAAAAGAGCGCCACGCTGGTTTTCTGTAGTAATCTGTACGTAGACTATTTCTAGACAATTTTTAAGCACTCTCTTTTCATTGTTATTTTGTTCTTATTTTTTCCTTAATCAAACTATAAATTATGATGACTTGTTTTATTTTATTCTAAATTGATTATTGATTCTTGCAAAGCAACTTTGAAAGCCCTATCCAAAACCAACAATCCGGAAGTAACATGTAGCTATGGAAATTATATACAAAAACTTCCACTTGCCTTGGATCAATGTTTATTGTTAAAGAGATTTAAACTCAAAGGTAAATTTGAACAATTAAAAAATATAAACGTCCAACAGTGTATGTGGTCAACATTACTTAGATATACCTTATGTTTTTAGAAATTCATTGCGTAACAAATTAATAGACGTTTAAAAAGTGGTAAGATATCAAGATATAACATATGAAGCATCACAATCTTTTTAGAAACGCTTTGACTATGCTGCAACAAAACGTGGGAGAAGGGGGGAGGGCCCTTTCAATGAACATTTTCTGCAGTAAAAAGGTTACCTTTGGAAAAAAGGGGCTCCCCTGTAAAAAAAGGCTGTTATTACGTGCCTGCAATATGAAAGGGGAGGGGGGGGGTTACATGCTATAGTTTGTACAATGAGCGCTCCACGGGGTTACGTTTTTACATTTTATTATATCAATCAATAATAAGGAGAGGTACTAGTAAATTGTAAGCATTTTTTTTAATCCTTTGATTTATTCAATTAAATATGATCATGCTTAAAACAAAACAACTAATAAAAAGAGCTGGACATCGAGTCTAACAAAATCCTGTTTCTACACTTAAGAAATGAAACTGTGTGTACTCGTATTGTGTACCAAATAGAATGCATGCTACATGCACTTAGAATTAAATATGAGGTTGGCATCAGTTGATGCATTTCTGTAAAAAGAAGGACTTTTTATAGCATTAATAATATCTATTAAATTTATAATAATTTTTAAAAACTACAAACGATCTACTGAATGGTGCTCAAAATATTGCCAAGAAATGCTCTAACAAGTTATATGACTTCAATATGCCTTAGCAGCCTACAAAGGTTTCTTTTATATTGTTACATCCTTTTAAATATAACCACTCTACATATACTACCGATCAGATAAAAATCAGATGCCTTCTGTTTTGGGCAATGTTTTTGTCTTCAGGTCCAACAAATCATATATGTAGCCCCCATACATTCAGTCAATAAATACATGATACATCATTTTGACTGTTGCATTTAAACCGCACTTCTAAAACTTGATGTATTTCAGAATTATGTCACAGACTGTGGCAGTCCCCTTGACAAATCCCAAAACGGGGGCAGATTTCCTGGCCTCCACCAATTTTAAGGTGGCCCAGGACATGTCTGTCCTTGAGGGGTCGATGCAGAGTATCTTTAAGAAAGACTATCCGCCCTATCAACACTATGGCAGGGAAAAGGAGTCCGAGAGACCAAAACTGGCCGAAGTCATGACGAGGGATGACAAGTTCTTCAAGGATAAAGCATCAGAAACCGTCCGAGCGTTTGAATATCGTTATCTACCAAAACCAGTTGCTTTAGATGACATTCACCAAAAGCTCCGGTCAACTAACTTCAAGATGGATACTGATGTAAGTAAAGTAGACGTTTTTGAGACCATGCATACGTCGTATTTTAAGCCCAAGATCACACCTGCGTACCAACGTGTCGAACCCGCCACAAGCACCTCTGTCAGTCATATTCCTCAAGGAGATCCCGAGAAAGCAGCCGAACCCTGCTCGGACTATCGCGAAAGGTTTATGGGTCATGATACATCAGTGCACGTCACTCACAGAGCACCATCTATGCATGAAGGTAATTTTTTTTTATTGAATCTTTTATAGAAATAAAAAAGAAAAGAAATATTTCCAAACATCTTGAAAGAATGCTAGGTGCTAGTTGAACTTGAAGATATTTATTATATTAAAGGTGGGCCGCCCACAGTAAAGGGAGACGATCGCTTAACAAACTTTAACACCTCTCATAATGACCAGTTCCAAGGCAAGTGGGAGAAGCCTGTGCAGACTTTACCGGCAGTATGTTTCTTTTGTATTTAATATTGATATCTTATGAATCCATTTGTCCGTTTTTATTGTGTTTTCTAGAACACAAGCCAAGTCTGATTGCTTTATACACACAGACTTCCTAATCTATGATATTCAACATATATATACTGAACTAAAAATGAAATATCGCTTTAAATATATTTTACAATTATTGAAAGAGATGGATTTTGATTGGCTGATAAACGAGAGATATTTTGATTAACTGTTAAATCTCTATATAAAATACTCAATATTTTCAATTTTCATATTGAGATCTGTGGTAAAATCTGTAATTTTCTGGACAATCAATAATCTGTATTAGAGTAAAGAAAATCATATCACACCGTTTCAAATGTTAAGATTTTGAATTGGGAAAACACCTCTTGGAAATATTATATTGCTTTCATCATGTAAAGAAAACTTCTATATGATATTTATTTTAGTGTAATTTGATAAGTATATGCCTAGGCGTGCCATTTATTTGAAACACCCACAATGTCTACTCTGAATTGTCAAGGTTCTGATTTTTTTTAGCCGTATGGCTACAACATTCCAGTGGGGGATCCAGACAAGGTCACCATTAATGATACCACGATGCAGGCGACCTTCCCCTACATCAGTGACAAGAGCGAAACCAAGCCGTACTGCAAATCAGCAGTCAGCGCTTACCTCGGCAAAACAAACTTCAAGGAGAAGGACGGCCATGGCAAATATAACGATTATCTGAGTACAGCCAGTGTTTCCTTCCAGCCAGCATCCACCACGTGTGAGCACTCTCAGTACAGTGATGATTTTGTTACAATTCATTGAATTCAATTTTCATATGAAGACACTAACATCATATCAAAATCGTAAATCCTGCCTTATTAAACTGAAAGCAGTGTAGGCTATTCGAATTATGTAACTTTTAAATATCCTTTTTCACAATTATTTTATTCAATCAATCCAGTTGAGAGATATCGTCCTGGAAAACATCGAAATCACAGTGATTTCCCAGAGGGTGACCTCGAGGAATCCAGGGTCACTGAAAGGGTCAACATGACGACGTCACGATTTTACCATGGCAACGTAAGTACAAATAACAGACTCCAAGTAAATTTGCTTTATTTGAAGTGAGCAAAGCAAATGCTGTGGAATGCAATGATTTTTTTTTTATTTCAGCAGAAATTTTTATAAGTTCTGGCAATGTTTACATCTTTTATATAAAGTTTAAATGTTAATGTGAAAAGCTGCTTTTTCTATATATCTGTATAATCTTGCAGTTAAGCTCTTTTAAGATTCAGGTAATGTATACCAAGAATTGCCTATATTTATCCAAAATTTCCTTTGTTTAAAAAATAATTTCTAATAATTTATTATGTCTAAACGTTATTGAATTAACAAACATCAAATTCACAGAGCGTTATGTAGAAAGAGCTAATTACCGAGTCTCAAAGAATTACATGTAAAATTCCTTACATGGTTTTTTCCTATACAAAACTATAATTCTCTTATATTTGTACGTGATTTAAATCATTGTTTAAATATCATCATGTAACATGGATCCTCATTTCCCAGTACACGTCCATTTAAACTTCTAAGTCAATGACTTTTAAACATTTCAATTGTTTCAACTAGTGATGGCTTATTTATCGCTTGGCCCGACTATGGGGTTATCATTTTTCAGGTCTTCAAAATGTTTAAATTCAAGATACGTATACAGTTAAAGTACTGAGTATATCATTGAGTGAGTTAGAAAGATTCCAGTTCCCCAAGGCCAGGGCTATTTCCCGAGGCGAAGCCGAGGGAAATAGTCCTGGTCGAGGGGAACTGGAATCTTTTTAACTCCCGCAATGATATACTTTAACTGTTTTATCATACTGATACAAACGTAAAATTTAGAGGATTCAGATAGCGTGACTTCAAAGCAGGGAAAAGCTCACTGAACTAACACACGGGGATTAGTCCATTCATATATCATACCAATGTAATTTAAGTAAAATCTAGAGGATTACGGATAACCGGGAATTAGCTTTCGAAGCAGGGATTAGCTCACTTGACTAACGTAAGGGGATAAGTCCATTCATAACGATTTCTAGGGAATTACAAGGCCGTAGGAACCGGGGGGCACGGGGGGGGGCGTGCCCCCAATAATTTTGCCGATATATAGATTACTGTAGAAAACATAGCTAGTATATGTTTGGGTTGTGCCCCTCAATAAAAACGTCTGATGACCTTTTTTTTTTTTTGCTTGTCAAGGAATTTTTGGTTGATAGTGCCCCTCAACTGAAAATGTATGGCTGTGCCCCCCCCCCCCAACTGAAATTGCTTCGTACGGGCCTGAATTAGTCATATCTAACGATATAATTTTATATAGGGATAAAATCAGTAGAGGTATAATAAAGTATTTTATCCCTAGAGATATGTATGGAATGATACTAGTATACACACACCAATGTTGTATGTCCAATATATACTCAATCAAACGTATAACGTTTTACTAATTTAAATTGACAGTATTTTTATGTGTTCACATTTTGTACCTACCCATAACATTTATGTACGTTCATTTTATTGAGCCATTATGTCCACTATCTTCACATTTATATTCTGTTGTGATTCTAGTGTCCAGAGATTTTGTGTTAATTAGTAATTGTTTTACAGCGTACTACTTGTCTGTAAGTATTTCCAACACAAAGAAACCTAAATCTCTCTTGTACAGTAGTTCACTATTAACCGACCTTAGCCTTAGGTACGGAATGTCTCATTCAGGCAATGCTATATATGTAGACTGTATAACTTATGGACCAGGAAAGGACAAAGAGTCATTATTAGAAATCCAAGAGCAATATCTATTATATACCTGCTTTCAGCGCAAGAGGAATTTACTCTGTTTGAGTATTTACATGGTACATGTAATTGTTTAGTTCATTTTAGCTAGTATGTTAATTTATTCCAGAATCAAGAAATCGCTCAATATCACAGTCGGTGAGCAAAGTTTTTGATATTTCGGTATCCACTCCAAACATTTTCAAGAGAATTTTTATATTTATTATCTCATATCTTTGAATAATAATAATAAAACAATACAAAAAAGTAAACCAAAAGTGTATCTTTACGTGTTTGGTCTTTAATGTAATTTCATGTAACGCAGGAAAACTGACCAATAATAATTGAAGGTACAAGTATACTATACTATAGGCTATAAATAGTTGAAGAAGAAAAAAAATATACGAAGTAAAGGGATGATGTGCCCCGATATCGATTGAGTGATTCCGACTACTTCCTCTGCTACAACACGTTCAAAACTACTAACTCTATAGTTTTTGTATTTAAATTTTTAATGGTTTTTAAATCAGTTCAATTTTCTTTGTATATTTTTTTCTTCACACACTGCACATTTACAGTGGTTAAGGGTAATTGATAATAGATAGTAAAATTGTAGAGTAGAAATTTTTTGTAACACAGTTTGATAGAAATAACATTTCATAAAAAAAAAAAATAGCCTAGTATGTGAATCATCATTTATCTATACCCATCACCAAGACTCATTGTATTCGCGATTTTTTTTTCATCATTAAGATATAATTCACTGTTGTTACATGTGCATTCGTAACGGTTATGGAACTCGTATTATGATATTTACTAATCTCTTCATCGTGATAGGCATTGTGAATCTTTTTCATCTTTACAGCCACCCCTAGGTTTACACAATCGGATCATCTCGGGAGCAAACCTAAGGACAAAGAGTAACGTTCAGTTTGAGGAGCCCCCTTTGACGAAGACGTTCTATGATACTACCACTCGGACCACCTTTAGGCCCGCCGATGTTCCGTACACTTATGATCGTACAAAGTTCCATACAGAGACCAACATACCTATGGATTATTACGACAGTGAGTAATGACATGTAAATCAAATGTGCTTCTTTGTCGCCGTTGTTCCCAGATTCTGAACTATAATTCCTTCGTTTCGTTTCAGAGAATGAGGCCAAACACACCTCGTCCTTTATAAACTACAAAGATCCCAGGACTGGAAGAATGAATATGCATAAACCCGCCCTGGAAAATGTAAGAGACAGCATTTTATTACACAATTCATTTTTTAAAATCAAACTTTAAAATCAAACTTTAAATCAAATCAAATAATATCCCGATAGTCAGTGTGTTTGTCATGTAAATGATGTCTGTAAAGGAATGGAGTTTATAAATAGAAACTTGGAATGAATGATATAGGGGTGTGATAGAAATAAAGACGATATCTCCGTGTGTCTATGATAAAAACTATTATCTCATGCACTCCCTCAGATGTGTTATGGTTATTCGGTAAGGGGTGTTTTCTTTTATAAGTGTTTGAGGACAGGACTCGATTCCCTTCTGGATAGACCATGGACTTCTTTTGCTTTTTTCTTTTATAACTTAATCTTTTAGTAACATATTTGTGGTCTAATACATACCATCAGTTAAAATAAATTACATAACACAAGTGTTACATTAAAAGGTTTAATCTTAATTTTAAAGTTTTAAGCTTATATATACTAGTAGCTATCAATCTGAGACTCCGAGAAGTTTGGCTTTTCTTTTCATTTTCAAAAAATAAACGTTGATGTTTATGTCAAATTATAAGAGTTTTCAATATAGCATTAATACAAACATTACGATGGTAATCATACTGTAGATTATTTATTTGGACGTCGCTCAGTAACTAAAAATTTACAGCGGGACATTTTAAGTTTATGAATATCTGATAACTTTTCTATTGCAATGCACTTGTTTAATAAATTATATCTAAGTAAAAACTCTGTCCTTTAAGATGTCGAGATGCTATTAAAGATAGAAAATATCAACTTTTAGGTTCAAGTTTTCAAATGGCGATTCATATTTGATGATGGGGAGATACAGATTTGTTTGAAGAATTCTCTCTGTGATCTTTGTAATGTCACAACTTTTATTCTAATTTTAGTTGAAGATGTCACACATTCTGCCTCCACTGGGAGGCCCTCAACTCCATAATACGACCCACCAGGTGATGTTTACCCCCAAATCGTCAGAAAAATACGTTTACGACTCTCAAAGACTACAGAAGAGTTCCGTTCCTCTTGGTACCCTGAAAATCGTTTAAGGCTAAATCGTCTAAGAGTTATCTTTCTTTGTGTATCGTACGCCAGAGTCTTTAAATCAAGGTTAAAGGAGAAGAATGCAATTAAATTCACCTCCTTACATTTATTTTATGAACACTTATACATTATTGGTCTTATTTAAAGTAGAAAAAACAGATACCTATCAGGAGAGCACACCTTGATCTCAATAGAAAATTATTATAACATAACCTTAATTTATAAAATTCTTATCTAATTGAAATCAATGACAGGAAGGAATGAGCAATTTGTATACTTTATAAGCTTTCTTTGATATTTTTTTAGAAGTGTTTATAGATGAGATTATATCGTGAAACATTAAGTGTTCGTTTGATTTGTATCGCTGTAAAAGACCACCACTAAATTTAATGGTAACATTATAGTCAGTATGACTCAACTGTTCCTATATTGTTGTTCAGTTTAAATGACTTTTAAATGCTCAATTAAGTATTCAAATCTGCACATCTTGCCAGATTTTTAATTTTTTTTGAATATAGTAAATTTTTGCAAATATCAGTATTAACATCGGTTTTTCAAATACACACGTTTACTTTGTGATATGAGATTTTATTAATACTAGTATTATTTATAAGCATAATATAAACCCTAGCAGTATTATGGAAGGTTGTTAGTTTTTGTGCATAAATATGCTGTGTCTAATTGTTATATACATGCCATTTTTAATGTTTTTTTGAACTGTTATGATTGTGGTACAACTTTTTTAGTGCTTTATCTCCTTTTGAATTAAAAAAAAAATTATCAATGATTGAGACCTCCACTTTTTAAAACAAGTTGCTTGTTTTTTATTTATCTTTTTTTTTTTTGTTTGTTTTTGTTTTTGTTTTTTTAGTGCTGTCATTTGTTCTTTGTAATATGAGTGTTACGTTTTTAAGTGTCCATTCTTAAATTGAATAAAGAATACAATTTAAAAAGAAAAAAACTTTTTGATTTATGTTTTGTAAAGATTTTTCAAGAAAATTTCCTCTGTACGATATACTGGTAAAGTCGAGTTCCTAATAAGGAAAATGGCATAATAGTCTTTGGTTTGAACTTAAAAATCAAAGAACATTGTGTAAAGAAAGTCTCACTGATATTATAACGTATATATATTCTTATAAAATAAATAGTAGTTATGGGTGATGGACCTACTTGACGATTCTCAGACACGTCTTAAGAAAAATCTGTAATGTGACCAAAGTTAGTGAATTAAAATTAGATCACATCATAGACGACAAAATGATGTATAAAAACAAATCGACAGCTATATGCATGATAACATAACAAAAGGTGTATGGATTTCTAAAACTGCACAACAAACCCGCTCAGCAGGGTGCTAAGATGATCTCTGACAACGTCACACATAGAAAGGTTGCTAGTCTGAATACCCCCAAAGGAGACGTGACACTTGTTAAATTTGTCAAGGTGTAATGATGCACCGGTACTCTAAGTGACTGACATAAATAAATATCTATTTTATCGTCTAATTTGTGGTCTCGTGCCATTTTATATGCTATCTTTCCGTCAGATAGAAAGAGTATATAAATAAAAGGTACACAATCCACAGGAAAAAATGTGCACTAGTTCAAATAAAATCGACCGTGCTAGACTGAAACCCAAACACAGACAATACAGACATCTCAAAGTTTTAAATGTTGAATATTTAATCGTAGTAGATGTACACCCATATGGTACACCATTCAGCTTTCAAACTCTGAATCTGATCAATATTAAAATCATAGTCTATGAAGGCACTAATTCATTTACATTTCACGATTGGACTTCTGTGTTGTGACGTAAAAGATTATAACTCGTGTATTAATATCAGAATGATAAAATCTTTCATTTTGGTGAAAATGAACGACAAGAGTAATTGTTAGTAGTGTTCCAAAATCACTTTTGCCATGGAGCTAAACACAGTCTGCGATCTTCACAGGTCGAGTGTTTTTTGTCGTTTCTAATGCAAAATAGTAGAAATGACATTTATGTGATTGTCTGCTGTCGATGTTTGAATCCAATCAGAAATTGACACGAGAAAAGAAAGATGACGGAGGAGATTCGGAGAATATTTACTCTAGCAGTGTTATAAAAATGTCAGAATACAGATTGTTGATAGAAAAAGAAATTCTGATGGACTTACATACCTCTATAAAATCTATTAAAGTTAAAAGAGTAAGATAAACTCCGAATATCTGTATACTTATAAAACATTTCGTTCAACAAATATACTAAGAAAGCTAAACAAGCTGTTCCCGTAGTAATATTTTTGTTTTCTTTTGATATTGCATGTTTTCTGTATATTCTCTTTAGAGAAGTGGACAGGCTTTCGCTTACATCCGTGGCGCAAGCCTGTCCACTTCTCTAAAGAGAATAGTTTAAAATTCTGTACAGTATATGCAGACTGGGTACAGTCCACTAACACATTTCCCAAATTAATGTTACAATATTAACAATGTTAACGTTTTCTTATAGATCTATAGCTTCTTCCCTAATTTTCGTTGAAGGATATGGGTCATCCTGGATAGATTCTAGCTATCGTTAAAATGATATTCAATTGTCCTACGGACCCGTGAGGGTTTGTCCCGAGACACAGTTAGATTATTCTTTAAACTTGGGACATCCCTCAAATGAAAGCGCATTAATTTCTCTCTCGATGTGCATGTCCTATTCGTTTTCCACCAAAATGCAAACATCTGAAAATGAAAGTATCCAAAAGTCAGGGTATATGCACACGTACATCAAACAATCCAATTCCTTTCCTTTTAAAGATAACCTAAAACTGAAAATGGTTTTGAACGTGGAATTTTATACATATATATTAGTCTGATTAAAATCAAACCTTCATAAGTTCCTTTTTATTTTGATTGTCGTGCATGTGAAGGTTCGTGCAGGCTACTGACAAATAAAAGTTAATGTTACAGAGCTTTCAACAATCTCATTTAAATTCAGAATTTCGCAAATTCTATGGTCAACAACATTGCAAATACAATGCAGCTTATCGTTGGAGCGTATTTTTACAAATATGTTTCAAACCAATTGTTAGCCCATTATTTTACACTAATATTGATCACGGATTACTCCGTTTATCTGATTGTACAGAGGGTTCATGGTGGGTGTGCATTCAGAGGATGCTTTTTCCTCTTAGGCACCTGATCCCACCTCTGGTCTTTCCTGGGGTCCTTGTTGGGCCCTGTTCGTGATTCGTATTGTTAACAGGATATCTGAGCTAGGTTGATCACTGATCGTTTTCTTTATCTTTTCATTAAGTCTAAAGGGGGCGGCGATACTGGTATAATGAAGATAAAGAATCAGAGGAATCCATGCTAAGATTTTACAAATTCTGAAAAAAATTATAATATTTCATCTATAGTTTAATTGTCTCAAGTAAATATGAAGAAAAACAAAAAATCTTTATTTTCATAGGTTGAAGTTATTCTAAATTGAAAGTAAGCTATGGTTAGTCTGCAATATCCGTCAACGATTAAGAATCTTTTTACGCTTTATTCCGACGCAATTAGAGGAGGAATGAATTTGCTTTTGCCAAGAAGGGTCGGACAGGCTTGCACGACTGAACGAACTTCAAAATCGTCTACATATCCTATTACAAAAACATAAAGCTATAAACTGAAATCAAAGATAATTTAGTGCTTGCCTTCATAAAAAGTTCTAATTTCTCGGATTTGTTTTCAAGACTGCAACACTTTAGATGGTTACAAGAATGAGTGGTAGCAAAGAGGTTATCATGTTGTTGATAAATGTGGAAGCACAAAAATGTAACAATTAAAAGGAGAAATTAATATGCTTTTCAAGGATGACGTCAAAATTCTCTTGGAGGAATTCTTTGTGGCAAAATAATAAAATTCAACACGCTTTTACATGTATAATGTACTCTCGAATAAACGAATTGTATCAAAATAAAATTCGCTTTCCCAGAAAATTGCCGATACCCAATTTTTATCTCTTTTTTGGCATAGATTGGTTTGATGTAATATTTTGATTAGGTAAATGTAATTGTAAACAAAAATTAAGATACCCAGCTTTGAAGCACTGTTGATTGTGACTTTGAATGTTGCAAAGAAATAACAACCAATCCTTCGAGGACTACGAACTCAGTTTTGTTATAAGTTTTTAATTTAAACATTTCGGTATTCTTTAAAGGAAATAGGGCCTTTTATGTAATGTGGTTTTCAAGGAAAACAGATGATCAGTTTAAGTGACAGCGAATGGTCAGAGTAGATCGTGTCTGTTAAAAAAATATGACAAGACCAAGAATAGGGAGCAGGAATGGCAATAAACGGCAATAATTTTCCATTGATTAGACAGAAATAGTTTCTCTTAAAATTAATTAAAGACCAATTTATCTTAAAAGCAATCATGGACCAATGGATGCCCTAGGTCACGATTACGCTTAATTCTATCGGCGTGTCCATGTAGATTTAAAGTTTGACTTTAACAAAGAGTATCAAGGAGCGATAATACAAAGGCTATGTGTCAATATTTACACGTCAGTTGTGTTCAATTTTATTGGTTAAAAGAAATTTGTTATTGGAATGATTGTGGAGAATTTAATAATATTGTTCCGGTGCGATTTGATCATATGACCACGCTTTAAAGAATCTCAAAGAAACTGAACTCTTTCAAGACAGTCACATGCCAGGAATAAATACATCCCCTAAATGCTGAATAAATGGGTTTGGTTAAAAAAAAACGTGGTCATCGAGGTGTGCACATATTTACTCTTTAGGCATTGAATTGTAATTTTTGACGTTCATCGTGTCATAACCTGGACGGCTGTGCTGACAAATTGAATACTAGTACCGCGAATTACTGCGTTATGTAAATGCCTGCACAGCAGTGACGTCCCTGTTATATATAATAAATGTCAAAAAATTTACAATTCAGTATTCAATCTTATTGATCAACTTCATGGTAAAATATCGCTACTTTGAATAGATTACGTCTGTTTGAATAATAATATATACACCGTACGTGTAGAATAGAGAGGGCAACGGTTACTGTTCAATGTGACCTTTGACGTTGCACTTGTGCGGCGTTCAATGTTTGTTACACCATGTAATAAAACATTCATTTAACCTTTTGACCTCCCCGTGTTTGTTATATATTGTATTTACATTTGATATATTTCGGTACTTATAATACTATATCACATATGGGGAGGTCAAAAGGTTAAATAATATATACACATTCCAGTGCAATATCATAAAGAAAGGTCAAAGTTTACATGGTGTGTATGATTAAAGCAGGCCTAATATATTCAAAGAAGCTATATTTTTATCAATTTATCATGAAATTATTTTCTAAATTTTACATTAATTATTAGATTACATCCCGTTAGGCAATGCAGAAAAAGTTGACCATATTGTTATCGGGCGGCTCAATCAGAGAAAGAAAACTCAGATGCTAGAGTCAATATCAGTATTTATTTGCATGCATGAAATAATCGGTACAGGAATCGGTATCCAATATTTATTTTCATACACGATAGTATCGTTACAATATACAAGATATACACGATAGTATCGTTACAAGATACCAGTGCTGTTTTCAAGATCCACACTATCGATCTTCCAGACAATACGAGAATTATACAAGCATTTTACGCCTATTCAAGTCTAGCAGTTATCAAGAATAGATTATCCTGTCACTTTAATGCACATAGATCAAGTAAATTCCCTTAAACTTTAACATCAAAATAATAAAACTTATTTTCTGTTTCGGCACTTAACAAGTATATTGAAGGATTTTTGGCCCCGGATTAATCTTTGCGATAACAATTGGGAAAATCTATTTTTGACTTTAAGAGTTAGAAGACAGATGTTCCCAAACATGCCGAAATAACAAGTGCAACTTGTTGCGTCTGAATTCAACTCTAAAGACACGAGAAATTAAGCTGCTAAATGTACGTGCGTTGGCATAAGTAAAATAATGGTAGCACGTGCATTTTTTTCCGATTTGCATCATTTTTCATTCAGTTGCAGTTTGATAAAAACCTCGCTGTCTAGAGTTTCCTCCTAAATGACAGCATATCATGTGCAATGGTTCATGTTTGATTTGTTATTTTTTCATTTCTTTCGTTGACGCGAACACCATCTTATCTAGAAATTTGGAGATTCTCTTTATTTGTTCTGTGATTTTTTCCCGGGATAACTTTCTAAATACAATTAAAAGCTCTAATATCTCTCCGGATAATTCGACAAAGTATGCCACTCGAACAATGTAGACCTGCCTGCTGAATGAATGGCCATTTTACAGACAGAAGAAATAACAAACTATTCGTACCCTGAAGGTTAAAATTCAATTCTTTACGAGTCATTATGTATATTGAGGCTTAACTTGTAAACAAATGAAAAAGGGATAAAAAATTTTGGCTTGAAGGACTGACCATTGAAGCGAAAGAAAGGATTTGGAGGTGCTTTGAACAGTTTATAAATAATAAAACTGTTTTTGTAGAAATTCAGACAAAGATGTTCAGGAAACTCTATAAAATTGAGATTCTTCGCAATAATTCTTTTAGGCTCGTAAAAATAATATAAGCACATGTAAAGTTGAAATCAGAGATTTTGTAACAGCTTTAAGTGCTTGCTAATGATTGCCAAAGTGATGCTGTATAAAATGCCTGACATTTCTTTGATATTATTTTTGTGTACATCCTTTGCTTTGTTGAATATCTTCACTTTGATTCTATTCCAGAATTGTCTATGAATGTTTATAATTCAATCACCCACAACTGTTTTTTAAAAAAGCAGTCTCCTTTTTATAAAGCGCCACTGAATTCCAAGTAACATATTTTGAGGTATTGGATATCGCAGCATGTTTTGTTTTTCTTTATAATTGCTATGCACTTTAGCCCCAGAAGTTGAGTATTTTCTGATGTCGCAAATAATGTAATGTTTGTTCAAATATTGTTATTCAATATGAATCTTCATTAGCACTGACAAAATAGATCAGCAAAGATGATTTTGTTAATACTTCATTTAATAACGAAGCATTATATAGATAAATGTTATTTTATAAAACCACAAAAAATATAACAAAACAAATGCACACCACAGGAAACAGAATAGCGTATAAAAGACATATAATAAATATAGTTAGTACCCGTGGTCAAAATTCAGTTTTATAATGTCTCATGTGTGCATTGAGACATGTTGTGTCCAGTGCACGTCAAAGTTCTCCAATCCATTTCGTCTGCTCAGTCAGGTTTGTAGAGCCACATAGACTGATCAACCACTCAAATTTCTTTTTCAGATATATTTTCATGCCACTCTAAGCTTTCGTGGTTTGGTATTTTGAACTCTGCAAAAGCATTTTTTCACTTCTTTTATTTTTGCAAGTTTCAGTGAAAGGGCTCTGTATTGAGAATTCAAAACATAGTTCAATTTAATGTTTATCCTGTGAATTCTGGAAAAGAAACACACATTCTCAAGATCGCCCATCTGCCGCAGTGTTAATATATATAAAATACTGCTTTAGTAGAAATGGTTCATGTTTTCGATGAGTCTGGTAGAGCAATGTCTTAAGGTAGTCTCTCCTTCTTATTCTGCAGTCTCCATTAGATTCTGCTAGAGGAACTGTAAGTTTATTCAAAAAAGTATCAGAAACAAGATTTGTTGGGAATTTCTTATACATTTTCTCAGTTGCAGAAATGCTTTTCGACTTTATGTGTGCACGTCTTACAGTCTACACGACAACACCAAACAAATTTACAGTCACAATCTTCCCGAATGTCCTCGACAGTGGTATAGTAACCACGCCCACAACACATTAAATTACAACCATCCAATCCATAACCGTCTTTTATGCATTGTCTCCCTTTGGTTCCTAGGGACCCGGATTTAGGGTGAAAATCACAGAAATCGGGAGATTCCTCCAGATACACAAGGTCTTTTTTCGTTGGTTTTTTCATATTTTTGCTAATTCTTTTTAATTTATTTTTGGGTTTGTTATATTTAACCATGCTCGCACCGTCAAATTTCTCTTTCAAAAATGCTCCAATAGATCGGAATTCCTTCATTTTCTGCCAGCAGATTTTAATTGAACATGATCCAGATACTCCGTGACATTTACATACTAGGTCCATCTTCATCTTTACTGCCTGGAATAGAAAATTAGTTAAAAAAGAAATATACAAGTTATCTAGGACACATCCGATGTAAAGTGAAAACACAAATGACTTTGACAACATTTCTTTTAGTAATATTTAAATAAATTGTATGTATCATTAATAAGTAAAGACTGCCCGTGTGTGTGGGATGGGCCACAAATGGAATTGGTTGTTCCAATAAAACAATTATACGAAGGGGATATTTGGTCTAATTTAATTTAAAAAAAATGAAATGATATGAAAAATAACTGAAACTCGTTCCCTCTTACTGTAAGAAATTCGGCATCACAACGTCATCTTTAAAACAATAATTTCTATTATTAAAACAATAATAAATCAATGTCACCCTCTCATTATGCCCCTCAAAAGAAGTTCGGGAACATTTTGTTTTTACTTTTATTTTTAAAATTTCTCTGGTAATTTTTTGTTCTCAGAAACTACTTATCCGATTGAGATGAAACCTTTTTAAGGCTTAACATGCATTTTTTGCGAAACGAAGGTCTTTTTGCGAGGACGTGCATGCACTTGCGATGAGTGAAATGGCTTATATAATTGAAATACTTTGCAAATAAGTTTATAAACATATCTTAGTAGTGTAGACATGTAGATTAATTGGTATGAAAGCACGTATGCTCCGTTCTGATTGACTGTCACAAAAATATCAAACTTCCACACTTTTTGACAAAATATATTGAAATTTACAACAGGTATCTAAAATGAGTTTATACCATATGGTATATACGAAAACTCTTGAAAATGTACGTTAATATACGCTGCGATTTGATTAGCTTTAACTTGAATAGCTACGTATAACTCTCTTACATTTCAACAAAACAAGAAATTCAGAGTATAGATAAGTACAATTGTTTCTACATTATAGTACTATGATACATGTACTTGAATGCAAGGACACGCTTACAAATGTGCTGAATTCCAATCGGCTAATATACGTGTACTTAATGATTTTCCCTTCTTTGTCAATTAAATTCTTTTAAATTTAACACACAAAAATATAATGTGAGAAACTATAGATGTAAGTGACAAATTAAAAAAAATCTTAAAAATCCTTTATATTAATATTTCTATATCATATATAATTCACTATTGTGATCCTTTATATTATTTCTATAACAAACATAATTCACTAAATGTGATCCTTTATATTATATCTATATCATAATATGATTCACTTATTGTGATCCTTTATATTATAATAATTTCATTTTAAATTGCATGAGACCCATATTTATGTTAGAATGTTTGCTATGTTTAAGGAAGCGATTGCAAGGCGTCACGTGATCGACTCATGTGATGTTTAAAAAAAGAAGATTTACGGTAACCATTTCCGGAATAACAGCTGAATAAGGAGCGTGATTATGATTACGCCCATGACAAAATATCTTCGTGGCAATAATTTTAAAGCAGAGAAAGAATAATATTAAGATGTGATGTTGCAGAGTGTTGGTGAGCGTCGACGCAGACTTTTTTTTTAATTCCTGGGTTTTTTTTTTCTCGTTTCGACACGTCTACATTTTGTCGTAGTTCTGAACACTGAAATCTATTTCATGAATAAATTTAATTCATATCTGGATCTTTATGTCCTCTAGTTTTATTTAAAATATTAGAATTTTATTTGAGATCGGTTTCTTTCCTATAGGATCTACATCTATGAATCGATATTCATTTCCTAGAAGCTTCAGACGGCGTGATTTTCTCAGTGATTATAATGAATATAGGCCTATATGGATGGACAGATAAATGAATGCGTTTTTCATATATACGTGTATAGACCAGTTTGAGGCCGCATGCTGGACATGAACGTATTTTTAAAAATATCGCAGAGGAAATTGTTTTCCTCGGTAAGATCTTCTCTAGCATTTTCAACTCTTACATCGACCATGTAAACATTGAATCGTCGGCACATTATTGCGTAAACATTTATAATTGTTGTGGTAAAATGTTTTATTCGTCGTATTTGGTAAAAAATTGAAACTGTACACACTTCTTCTGACAGAAAAGAAAAGTTTCTTTTTGCAAGTTTTCACAAATCTAGCAAAAAATACGCGTGTAAGAATGACAGATGAAACTAAGAGAGGTTAATTCTGACAATCGAGGTACTACGGAGGTACCAGGTATACCAGAGAGGGAAAATTGTTTTGAGCATATTACATTTTTGAAAAAAAAATTTCAACTCATCCTGCTCACGGGAATATATTTGAAAAATGAATTTGATTTTTTAAAATTCACGAGGACATAAACAAAGACGTTTCACCTCAGCATATTTCATGAACCGCGTGAGCATGAAGCGCAAATTTATAAATGTCATTCAACGATTATTTTTGAAACAAAACAGTTTGCACTATAGTTTTGACGTCAAGTGTGGCATTATGACGTCACAATGGAGATATGTAGGCTTACCTAGTTCATGAAAAAATGAATTGTTTTCTAACTTGCAATGAATCTGAAGGGAAAATATTTGCAAAATGTAAATATTAAATAGCAAATCATGAAATTTGTCAAATAAGATAATAGTTAGGATTTTTATATACGGTATATATTGCAGGTACAAGTTCTCTGAAATAACCTATTCATTCAATGTGTTCAAGTGACTCACCCCCCCCCCCCCTTTCCGATTCCAAGTCACAGTGCAGAGAACTCGATGAGTGTTCAGAGCATGAACAATTTGGCCCTTAGACCACTGTGCACTGGTTTAGAATGTATATACATGTACTTATGTTGATATAATAACGGAATGAATATTTTGGAGATGGGGAAATAAAAAAAATATGCATATTGTTGTTTTTTGTGTACATTATTTTATATCATTCTGCTATCATTCTGCTCTACGCATAAAATGAGCAACCACTACAAGATTTTCAGGAAAAAATATTTATTAATCTATACGTATTTTCTATAGTTTTTAACAGATTATGCATATTTAAGGTTCAGCAACAAACCATAAGATTAAAATTTATGAAATCTTTTAATATTTTAGGAAAGGGGGGGGGGTATTGAAATGCATGTAGCTTAAAAAAGAATGTGATGACCCCACTTCATATTTTAAACATAAGTCACTTATAATAATTGTTACAAAATATATTAATTTTGGGAAAATTCATTGGGCAATTTTTTGTCAAGACGTTGAAAACTGCTCTTGGGGTGAAAATATTACTGCAAATTTACAATGACTACTCCCCAAAGCAACTGGGGCATTAGTACATCTATCAATAGTTTCCGATACAATTTTTATTTCCGATGAATATAAAGCATGTTATTTAATATCTGGTGAAAATTATTTAATTTGTTTCAATTTTGATACCTGTATGGCATAATTAAAAATTCACTACATAAATATCAAAATATTGAAAAACGGTGGTTACCATGGCAACCATATCTTCCTTATAACCCTGATGACCATGGTTGAAATTATACATATGATGATACCATTAACGTAAGGCAAATTATATGTAAAAATGAGAAAAATTCATTGAGCGGATTTTTTTCATGTACCCTTGCAATCTCTTCCTTAACATGTATGTACAGTTTTTGAACTTCATTTCTCTAACCCTTTTTTAGATTTAAAAAAAAAGCTGATTTTGGTACTATTACTGCTAATAAATGGTTTTGATACCATCATTGCTACTTGTAATAACTGACTTTGGTACTGTTTACTGTTTTGATATAACTATTATTGCTCATAAACGGTTTTAATACTACATGTACTACAAAGTATTACTGATTAGCAGAATATTACTGGTTTCGGTACTACTAGTTTTACTTTAAATAACAAGTTTTATACTTTTACTGCTAATACCGGTGTCTGATTTAATATTATTACTACTAATACTGAATTTGGTAATATCACTGCCAAAAACTGGTGTTTTTGGTACCTTTACTGCTAATAACTGGTGTTTTTGGTACCTTTACTGCTAATAACTGATTAAGGATTATAATTATTTATAACCGGTTTACTTTCTAGTGCCATTGACTGGATTTGGTAATAAAAGTGCTAATTACTTTTATAGGGGGTACTTTTACTGCTAATAACTGGAATTTGGTACTTTTTTGGCAAACAACTACTGGAAATTTTAGTATTGTCACTACTAATTTTTTTGTACTATGATGTTTTTTTTGTAGAACTGTTATTGTTAGTTACTGGATTTGATACTATAGCTGTTAATAACTAAGCTTCACATTACTACTGCAAATTACTTGTATGGTACAGGGACCTGTATGTATCTGCTTTGGTATGACTGATAATAACTCGTTTATCATACTGTAATGTTGTGAGGAACAAAAGCTTTTGTGGAGATGAGAATACTTTTGAGGCGGACTTAAATTAAGCATCAAAGTATCTGAATGACGATGGCATACCTTCCTTCCTGCTTCATTATTCCACAAGTTCATTAAGGAAGTTGCGGTTTTGGAGGATTCCTTTGTGTCCACGAATCTTCTGGAAAACTTGGCGCCATATTTAGTGTTTTCGGAGCATCCACCCCATTCAAATTGTCCTTGTGTATCTTTTCGCCTCACTTTCATGTCACAACCACAGTTGTCTAGCTCCCCTTTGGCACATGATCGTGTGATACTGTACATAATTCCCGCGGATGAAATAGCGTAAATATATGCTTTTTCTCGAATTTCTGAAAAAAAAAAGAAAATGATTTGGTTCTTCAACTCGCCCCAAGGGACATGTAAAAACAATAATATTTGTGTATCGATGATCAACGAAAGGGACTTCTCCTTTATTTTTCTAAATCAAATTATCTGTCAATCAAGACGGTCATCTAATAGAGCAAGTCGTCTCCAGAGAGAGGTCTTGTGAATACTTGTGTACAATATGGGTAATTTATCCCCGGATGACCAGATGACGAACCTCTGAATAATTTCCGGCAATTTATTGAAAAATGGTGTTCCCAGCCTATCACTTACGGAGTTCGACTATATCGTATTTGGTATCGTATTAGTTTCTTATACATATCAATTTGAAATATAAAATAATCAAAAGCGCGGGCAAAATTAATTTCTTCGATAACTCATTACCTCAAACCACAGCCCTCTAGATCGCTGTAATCAAACTTACACATGGGGTGTATCTTTTTTCACCCGAAATATTTTTGTAAGTCGGATTAAAGCGATCAAAAGGCCTGTGCATAAAACTAAGGACTTACTTTTTTTAAGAATCCCTCCAAAAACATCTGTAGAATTATATGTTGAACAGTTCCATCGGCGATTTCCAAACTGATGTTTACATTCACTGATTCCTAACGACGCTCCTTCACTGATAACTCTCGGTAGACGACGTTCTTGCGCACACAACTTCCGCTGTGCTTCCGAGAGAAAGTTCATATTAGCACAATTCGTCACTTCCGTATCTGACGTCAGAAGTTCTCTCATGGTTGGTCGAACCGATCCAATAATACCTAGGTACCTGTCAATTGCAATTACAAAGTAAAGTTATCTTGCTTTGCTCTTCGCTACCTAGATTTCCATTGACTAAATCAACACAATCAATACCAGCACTACAATATTACTTATTAGGTTTGTTAAAGACTGTCCACAGAAATATGTCGGGTTGTTCAAGTCTTCCATGGACTTGAAAAAACCAACACATTTCTGTGGACAATCGGTAACAAATCTAATATATATTTTGTTTTGTCAATAGCCAATACCTACTGGGATTTAATTACAATTAAAAAAAATTCTCCTTTTTGCAAATCTTCTTCGCTCGTTGTCTTGTTGGTTACTAATAACGACACTGTTTTTTGCTTAAGCCCGGTAACAACGTGAATATATTGATGCCTTTTAAAAACGAAAAATTACTAACATATTTTTTTCTGTAAATATGGATGATATTTTATTCGCCATGTTGCCGTCCAAGTATTTGCTACTCGACGTCCGAAGAAATATTGGCGGCAGGCACGTGACGTCCGTTATCCAATGAGAGACTGTCATTCTAGTCCGAGGCAAAATAATGTAACATCACTCGTATCATGTTCAGAAAGTCATAGCAATTCTCAATATGACAAAAGCTAATGAAAAGTCTATTAGGATTAACAAAAAAAAAGAAGAAGAAGAAGGTTTCCAATATTAGTACTATTTCTGCTAAATGAGGAAGTTTTGAGAACAGATTCTGATGTATGCTGTCGAAATTGATGGAAACTTCTACTTTACAGTGGGCAATGATTCTTTGATTTTTCCTGAGGATACGTTGATTGCACTTAAGGTGGGGAAAGCATTTAAACAGTATCAAAGTAAGAGCGAACCAATGCCTTCTAATATGACAAAATTTCTATTGAACGGTGAAATCAGTTTTTAAAAGGACAAAGTTTTCTTCTTTTCACGAAAATCGGCGACGGTGACCTAAGAAGACGCGAACTTTTAAGTTTGCTTGAAACTGAATATTTTTTAGGATAAAAAAATGAGAGAGGAAAAAAGAAGTATCCTTGTGAAGATTTTAAATATCTCAAAGAATAACTGGATGTAGAGAATAATTGACTGATTAAGTGTTTGGGGTTGAAGTGGCAGGAATTGGCTTCTAAACAAACAACTGTGTGTGGCCTCATCACATCCAATAATTCAGTTAAAGTGTTCATATAGCGATTCATAAGACAGGAAGGCCCAATCAAAGTTAAGTCCCGCTGGTACAAAGGACATCCCGGGTCTCTGAAGGATCTAGGAATTTTCCTCAATTTTACGAGCCTGCGTGGCTTCCATAATCACCCCGAATATAAATTATATCACCTTCTATTATTAAAAATTCTGACTGGAACATAACTCAAAATTTGGGAGGTTTATTAGCTGATGAAGGCAATTCTTTATCTATGAAGGAAATCATTCGTTATATGTTGATATTGATATCATGTAGGGCCGTAAAGATTAGGTCGTGTAATCACATTCCGTGATTTCTAATCGAACACGCTCGTAAACATTGCTCGGTGGTGGATGTCAGTCCAGAGGGGGAAATAAAAACAAGACGAAATTTATCCCAGATCTTCGAAGGAACCGTTTCTCCTCGTCATTGCTTCATAACTTCAACTGCATAGAGGACGGTAAATCAATTTATTTCAACAGAAAATTATGATACGATCTCGTAAATACAGCTTAAAAGACCCGGACTCATTGCAGCCGTAAAAACTCTATTGAAGCGCTCGTAAAACTGGCTCATAAAATATGTTCTAATTGAAACTCACCCAGTGCGACTCCCCACGTTTATTACAGATGGTGATCTATGTTTGTACCCCCTTTATAGGAGCTTGTGAGTTTTTTTTTTTATAGAAGTTGATAAAATCTTACAAATTTATGCCTGAATCCAATACTTTGTTATTTGACTTTACACCTGAGTATCTGGTACATAGATGGTTGTGATAGAGCACATTTTATCTGACTATAAAGTCTTCGAGGCGATCTGCTCTTTGATCATATATTCTATCTAATCCCCTGTTTTTAATTCATTCTTTAAAAAATTGTGCACGATTGAAAATATACATATAAAACAGAACTTAAAAATTCCCTTCCGAGACAAAATGTATTCTACCGTTCTTATTTGAATGTTATAAAAACATGTTGAACCAATTAATAAAAAAAAAGAGTAGTAATGATGGATAATTTCTTTCTTCCTCAATTAGTACATATCACCGTTAAAGTCGACACCAAGAAAGTAAATATTTTAAGATAACGCCGTCTTTAAAATCGGAACAGATGCTATAGGAATTCTGTAATCCCGTCGAAGCGATTCTTTTATTGCTTCATGCAAATAACAAGAAAGAATGTCATGCATTGAAAAATTTCTTTATAAATCAATGAAAGCAAATCATAAACTTACTTCTATTTCAGTTAATTAATGCAATCTGCCATGTTACGTGATAAAAATAAAAACAATCGACTACTTCATTTTCGATTTGACATAGGCTAAATAAAGTTGAAATGAATGCGTTATCCAGCTAATTCGAAATTTAAAAAAAATCAGATTATGTAATAATACACATATATTAAAACAGAACTTTCTTTTTTGGTGACAGAAATTTTTGATAGCACTACTTAGTCCTAGTTATTAGGCATCGTACACTTTCGCCCTAGTCTACTGTCACATTTACATATCGATAAACAGAGCTGACTTGTAGGCTGTTTTCAACTGATTTAAAAAAAAAAGTCCTTAGAATGTTTGTAATATGATATTTTGACAAAATTTCTTTTAATGAGATTTTATAGCATTCCGATTGATTTTTCATAATGTAAAATAAATCTTTACATAATGGCGTCGTCTCGTATTGTCTCGCTAACGAGATCACATACTTCTTATGAAGTCGATGACACCTATCTCTGTGTTGGTAAATATTGACACGTTGAACCCGATACTAAATTTCTCTGTCATGTCACTGTTTAATGACTTAAAACTTCGTCTTGAAATGAAAAGATTGAGTGTTCAGTAAATAAGACGAAACACTTTCCTCAAAATATCAATTGCCACACATAACTTCAACGTGTCATTTAAGAAAAGGCAAAACTTAGATATTGCACGTAGAAGATGTGTAAAAATAGAATTTCATTTTGTACAGCAAGCTGTCATCTACGTTCAATGCTGAGAAAATTAAAAATAAAAGTTTTGATGAAAGATGCCTATTTAAATTGCTTTTTAGAAAATTGGAAGGTGTCTGTGTGATACCATGCCTATTAAATGCTGAATAGCGTGAAATCGATGTAAATTATGACTAGAATTCTAAACAGGAATGAAAATGGTGTTCCAATTTTATCAATGCACATCTGGAAAAATTATATCTGCTTAATTTTCTACAAAATAATGAATGATTTGCCGGTATTGTCCATGAATCTTTTGAAAAATTCTTGGCAGACATCATTTCGGAAGTGTTCTGTTATGTTTGGTGTCTATGAAATCTGAGAAAACACCGGTTTAAAAAAACTGATTGCAATGTGCATGTGAACAAGTTTGTCTGCGATTATGGTATCACCAACCACAAAAACACAGATCATAATGTTTTATATCTAAATCAAATCCATGTTGTAGACGAAATGAATCTTGGATGTTTGGTTTTCAAGTGCTGTCCAACAAAAAACAAAGAGCTCGTGCGGAAAAAGAAAGTGAGCGAATTACTTAGCCAATCTTTAACCGACCTGCCTTCAAAGGGATCTTATCAGAATTATCACGACTGTTCCTCAATGTTATCGGTGGTCGATTGAATCAGGGATCCTAGCTATCAACCCTCCTTCAAAACTCTTCTCAGACCCTTGTCCTGGGGGAAAATTCTGCCTTTTCTACAGCTCATATTGATATACTCGGATTTAACTGTTTGCTAACAATGTCAGCCGCAACCATCCAGTTACATACTGTCAATGCAATAAGGAGTTTTAAAATTATAAATGTTTCTTCAATAATAACTTTACATCTTAAGGGAGGGTGATGTTGAGAAGAGGTTGATAGATGGCGCTGTGAAAAAAAAATGACGATTACCAGTGGCGGATCCAGGATTCTTGAAAAGGTGCCTAACCAGTTGGGGGTTGGGTTGGGGAAGCTTTCTTGTTTTAGGTTTTTTAAATCAGTTTTTGACTAATTTTAGCTATATCTAAGTTACAATTAATGCAATATCCCATACCAAAAAATCGACTTATTAATGTTATGTATATTTTTGATCACAAAAGGGGGGTCCGGGCTCCCTGCACCCTCTAAATCTGCCAGTGATAACGAACAGTGATCAATTTCATAAAATCTTTAAACAAAACGAATCGTGAACTTGGCAAATACACGGACCCAAGGAAACACCTGAGATGGGATCAGGTGCCTAGGAGGATTGAACATCCCAATATGACCGGTCACACCCACCTTGAACTCTTATTGATCAAGTAAACGGGGTAACTAGTGATTCCGGTACACTGGTACGTCTAACAATTGCAAATTCTCATGCCTCTCTGGTGAGCTCGGAAAATTGTTTTAAGCTCGTAGGGTAGTAACGAAGCGATGTGATTGAAGTAAATGATATCCTAAATCTGCAAATCAGTTAAAATCTCTCAGCCACTCAGTTTTTTCCTCGTCACAACATCAGGTGTGATGTTATATCAGATTGTAATAAAGATCTATGATAAATATCTGATAATTCATCCGACGGCAGAACTTCACATCTGAAGAGGTAGCCGATTTCAATTTGTCTCCTGTATTAAGGACCTCTAACATGAGAAGAAGGCAGTGATTCAATACAGAAAACTCGTCTTTGAAATTTAATCCCACAATTTTTTTTTTTCATTACAGAAAATCTTTGTTTGCGATTTTCAGTTTTCTGCTTCATTAACAAGAAATGATGATAATCAATAATGACATTCAATCGTGGCCCATTAAAAAACACATCGATACAGATAGTTAAATCGTCCCCTTGAAACTCGATATCCGGAATGTTCAATTACCCTGTGTACTAATTAGGTTACTATTATGCTTTGTGTTAATTTCACATCAATGACATATGATGTGGAAATTGAATTGAATAAAGCAGGGATTCATTCACATTTCAGATAGGTTTACAGCCCACAATCACAAGATTTGACAATGACAGTTGGACGATCATGATAACACCTAGCGCAGACCAGCGTGTAAATTGTTAGTAACAGATACAAGTATTACTTGTTATGATTTTTTGGGCTATGGTCCTTACTATTCTATACTATTTAAGTCACTAGAAAGGCTTTTAAGACATCACAGGAAAATTTTGAAATCCAGGAAACACGCAACAGGTTTTCTATACTCTGTTACAATGTTATACAAAGTTGATAAAAACTTGTTCTTAATACATGTAAGTAAATTTAAATTGAGGAACAATATACATGGAATTGATATTTGAAGCCGTTCTTCTTCATCAATTCATTTAAAGTGGTCAGTTCTGTCTTACTGAAGTTTCCATAAGTGTTCATGTTTTACTAAACTGTATCTCTGCATGATTCTTCATTTAAAAAGAAATTGTGGTTACATTATAACATAAACCTCAGGAAACGGATTAAAACATGTTCTAAAAGCAAAATATTGTACATAGAAAGATATAAACGATGTTTATGTTTATCCCTTTTTGTTATTGACATAACATATTTGACTTAAAATTTTTAATTAAATTGTAATTTTATTTGTTTGACAATTATTATAATCATTATATGCATAACAAAGAAGTAGAAAGAACTGCTTAGTCCAGTTCGTGTTTAAATAAAATATATTTTATTTTAATTAAGCATCTTTATACCATTTGAAATAGACTTTAAAAATCTTACTTCGAGGTTTATTATTGTTGCTGGAACTGCCATTTTGTTATATACATGTATTTTCAGAATGAGAAATTAAAATGGGAATTTTAAGAGTGTTTTGTTTCGCCAAATGAAATCACATATATATTGTCTGAACTGAACTCACGGCAGTATTATACGCTAAAAGATTCATTGATATTTTGTGATGTTGCTTTTTTATTAAAGTTTTTAAAATCGTATATTTTTTTCATGCTGAAACAGGATTTTCTTTTCGCTTTTGCACAAAAAATATTATCCAAGATTGTAGAAATAATTGATCATTTATCTAGTGTAAAAAAAAAAAAAAGAAGACAGAACTTGGAATGACATTTTTTTTCTTCAAAATTATTATCTAGTATCCTGCATTACTTTATTGTTAAAATAGAGATCCATGCATAAAATATAAAGATAATTATACATAAAAATATTTGCTAAAGTTAACATGTAGAAAAAGGGCTTACAAACTTTTTTTTTTAAATCTGCCCAATTCTATTTGTATAATTTACGTGCACAAAGTAGAAAAGTTCCAAACAAACTATATTTTTATACACAAGAGAAATTCTTCAATAAATTGTCCAGTATGAATTTAAGGTATCTTTTCCGATTTGCTTTTAATAACAATGACATTTTTGACGACATAATACTATTTTGTGTAAATATTGGTTGACTAACCAAACATTTAGCAGAATGCATTTTGTATTCATTTTCAGTTATTTTTTTTAAATCTAGTCAGAAGGAAGGCATGAAATTCAGAGAACTGGAGTCTGTTTTTCTACTTAAAAGTTCAGCTTTAAACAGCATTCGAATCAGCGCAACCGAGGAACTGCGATTAAACTTGTCTTTTGATAAAATAAATAAAACTTACAAGAGAACACGGCTGATTTGATAAATATTGCTGAACTTGTATCGGCTTTTGTAAGAGATTAATCCTCTAAATTCTAGAGTGTTTACCTAACGATTAGCGGGGTTTGGGTGTCACTTTCTCTTGATCTGTGGTGAAGAAGAAAATAGTGTCAGCTACATATCCAGTGATTTCTTCTTAATCTTCCTTAATCCGTTCATATTAATCCAATCACTAGACGACATTTCAAGACGTATCCAATTTATTAACAATAAATATTTGGATTTCAAAATAATATTTCTACCATGACTAAGACATAGTTAAATGAATCATATTTTAAAGTTTATTGAACAAAAATAAGAAAAATGAAGGGGAAAAAGTCGATTACTCGCTCTCGGAGTTAAAAATACAAATGTTTGAGAATGTTCCATATTTAATCAATTTCAAAATTCCTAAGATACCCAATCTAGTACTTTTCTCTTGTCCCTTATTCTAGTAAATTGTCTAAAACAAGCAAACACAAAAATTGTGAAATTGTTTGCCAACTTAAACGTTTTCTTAAAGAATTTGTTGAAATATGACGACGCTTATTTAGAAGGAGAAACTGTAATCCATCTGTTGAATGGGCGAACCACAGTAGATTTTACTACAAAGAAATCCAGATAGGCTGAAAACAGATTCACTTAATTGCATGCCATTATAAAGTGCAATAGATTTTTAATCTGGTTAATTAGCATGTAGGAATTCTCGCTCGATGTCTGGAGAGAGCAGATTACAAATGTGATGAACATCGCAAAAATACGGAACAGGCGTGCTAAAGTCTCGAATTAGCACACGTTTGATTGGGAAAGATTTTAGTTTTTTTTCTAATTTCAAGTGCAAGTCATTTAGAAAAAATATAATGTATATTTTTACATGGTTTCTTAAATTACTTGAAGTCTGAAGATTTACAAAAGTTTTTAAGTTGTTAATTTACTATACATCTATAACAAGTCACTTTCAAAAAATTTGAGCTTTGTGTGTACTTATCGGACAAGGTCAGTTTGAATTCAGCTACAACGCTTCTTTGTTACAAATTCCTTGTTTACTTTTAATTTCCTCGAGTTTTCATTTTCTGACAACTAACAATAATCATGTTAATCTTCAATATTTCAATTTGATCTCGCTGCTGTTAGTGGATAAATGAAAAGGTTTGGCTAAATTCGTTTTATAGCCACAAATAAAATATCATCTTGATATGAAATTCTTAAATGGTGATTTCAAAACATTAATTATTATTTTTTAAATTAAATGTTATACACATATAAATAAGAATCTTTGCACTGTTCCTTTGGGATTCTAATTTTAAAATGACTGCAAGGATAAAGTAATTTATTTAGAATAATAAAAAAAATATTAGTTCTGATTCATGCAGATTTTATAGAATATAATACCAGTTTTATTTTTTTACTTACCACCATGAGGCCTCAACAAGGTAAAATCCAGAGAAGAGGTAGATCAGTATACAGGAGACTTCGGGCTTCTTCATCTCCTTATGCAGAACGTCAAAGCACAAACAATAGTCCAGATAATAGCTTAATTCTTACACTTTTTATCTATTATCACACATTGCCACAAAATACACCGTTGTCTATAGGTGTTGAGACTGAAATAATTAAAAGTCAGTCCAGCAAGGCAAAGGATCACAATACAGAATCTTGTCGGTGATATTATTTATTGCGCCTAGGACATCATTTGCGATTTTTTCTTTTCACATTTTACCTCCAAAATAAAATTACATACACCATAAATTAAACAACATGGAATCAAATTATCTATCGAGGTGTCTTTTTGATTGTGATCACGTAGCCGGCAGATCAAAGCGGCCGCCCGATAATTAGCGTTTACGTGTAAAATTTGTATATCCTAAGGTAACGTATAAAAAAATTCCAAACTTTTCACATGTTTTTTTAAAGCCCGGGTGACGATAAATCTAGCAAATAGTAGAATTCGTCAGACGCGGTGCCGCGCTGGGAATATGAATGAAATCAATTTGACGAGCGTGGATTTTGATTGGTCGGTTTCCTTTGATAAATAAATGATCATGAACCGTCACAGATCCTTGGAAATATCGACAGAATATTAAGTAATGCTGATCATTTCACGTCGACATACCCGCCCATGAGACGGTCAGTTAATGAACTAGGGAAAACCTTATGACAGTTTACTCCTTGAAAAATTAAATTCACTTTTAATTTAATTTCAGAATCAAAATAAAAACATCACTGTGTTATCAGTGTGCTTGTTTAAGCTGTAGATAGATTTAAAATCACTTTGATAACAAAGGATTTTTTTCGTGGCAAAATGCAGAAGCGCCAGTTGTTTTTATAGCGATAAAATTCACCGAGATAGTCTGGGTTTTTCTCATGAAAAAATTAAATGTGTGTTTTGTTAAAACTGTCACGATCGCTTAATCTTAATTGGTTAATTGATATATCTACTTATTCTCCATTGTTTGAATATTTTGACGCTCTAACTGTCGACTTAGTGATAAAACGATCTCAAGAAAATTAGTATTTTTTGACACATGTAACGTAAACAAAGAATAGAAAGGATTTACACTGTTTGTATGTGTTTTTTCTTTTTGCATCATAAATATAATACAGCAAATAAAATGTATCTAAATAAAAAAAAAATAATTTGAGATACTTTCTTTTTTATTTGACAGTAGTCTTAAAGCCGTTTACGTAACTGCGACATAAGGAATTAAGTAAATACGACACACACAGGCCCGTAGCAATGGTTTAAAAATTGGGGGGAGGGGGGTGCAACATCCCAAAATAATTCTGACAAGCCAAAAAAAAAATGATTGATTAAAAGTGGGGGGGGGGGGCTTCCCAAAAATTATCTGGCATGCAAAAAAAGCTGATTTACTCTCCAAGTCCTGGAACTTGCCTGTGGGGGGCAAACCAGCATCTAAAGGAAAATTTACTACAGCAAAGTACTATACTCAGAAAAGTATAAGTCCCCCCCCCCCCCGCGTTCTACGGGCCTGACACATAAATCTATCTATAATATATGCATTATTAGTAATTTTATGTTTAATTAAATCCCACCTGTATCAACTTATTTATCTCCTTGATATATAAGATATTTATCTTATTTAATAAGATAAAATAATCATCTTTTTGTAATTAGAACATGATTATATAATAACATATATATACAGTGACATATATATAGTTCTTCATCATTCCAATATTGAGAGAGAGGGGGGGAGAGAGAGGGAGAGATTTTGCAGTTTTTTTTTCACTGTATTAAGTTTATGTATCAATTTTAAAATATCACTCAGTGTTTACCTGATGTTCGACTTCTTTGTTCTCTATTAAATATTGGAGAAAAGGGGAAATGTAAAGTTCTTGTGAGATGATGATTAATGATAGCACAACATCTTGTTAATCAAGAACTAGACGCAAAAAAAAACTCTTTTAGCATTACATGATATAATTATGTTGTCCTGTACAAAAAAAAAATAATTTATATACGTAATTTTATTTTCAAAAGACAATTTCTTTAAATTAATAATGTCATTTTTAGGAACGAGAGTGATAGTTTTACATATATATATATATATATATATATATATATATATATATATATATATATATATATATATATATATATATATATATATATATATATATATATATATTTAATTTTAAGTTATTTATGTTGTGGAGAAAATTAACTTATTGAGATTTCCTTTTTCTCTCTGTCCTACAGTAAGTTTAATTTTTGACTCAATCTCTAATGTTGATTTCGTATCTTAAATTTCTTTCTGCAAGATCAAAAAAAAAAATGAAGATCACCAAAGGCAATTATAATAATTGTTTCTGTAAAATAACAAATAATCCGTAATATTAGAACATGTTTAAACATATCCTGGGGAATCAAATTAAAAAAAAGATAATTATCTCATATCTTAGGAATTTGTGATTTATGACATATAAAATTTAATCAAACAAAATAATATTGAAGCTTGCTAATAAATAAAAAAAAAAATGAAATGTGATATTATATATGCAGAAAATCTTGCTAAAGCGGGGGGGGGGGGGGTGCTCTTTGGAAAATTTTATCTTCAATTCATAGTAATAAAGATTTCAGGTTTAGTGCTTATGAAAAACTATTTTACTGTGTAATAGCTGTTTTGGATTATGCATCCAGTGTCGAGAGTTTCAAAAAATTCCAACCAATAGATAATATACAAAACAGGGCTATTCGGTATTTTATTGGGGTACACCGCTTTGCATCCACGTTGGCTGTTTATGGAGACACTGGATGGATTCCCAGACGTTATATAAATGTCATCAGATATTGGAATAGAGTTTTATCCTTTGACAATGATCGAATTACAAGAAATGTATTTGAAGTTGATTATAATAGGTGTAGGAATAATTGGTGCAGTGATTTGAAAGAGATATCACATCATGTGGAGTTGGATTATTATTTTGAGTCAAAACTAATGGTAGATATAAATATGGTTCAATCAAAAATACACAATCATTACTCATACCTTAAGGTTTTTTCAGTATAATTTCCAAAGTGCGTACTTATGTTTATTTTAAATCAGTTTTCGGTAGGGAAAATTATGTAGTACTTGATATGCCTAAATATTTACTTTTAAAATTTTGCGCAATTTAGATGTGGAATTTTACCACTACGATTATAGAGACCGGTAGACCTGTTGAAGACCGAATTTGCACCGTTTGCTCTAGAAATAATGTAGAAGAAGAAATTCATTTTTTACTGCACTGTCCTTTGTACTCAGAATACCGATCAAAGTTTTTTGAAAACACTGGTTTTAATCAAATAATGATCAGATATACATGTACTACGTATACTAATTTCTCAAACTATCCTCGACAGGTTGCAAAGTATTTGTATTCTTCGTTTATGCGTAGACATTTAATTACTTTCAGAAAATAAGAATGGTAATTGTAAATGTATCTCAGTGTCATATGTATCTTCCAATATTTTTTATATAACAGACACTTCTAATCTTAGCACACAGGTGTATACTTACAAAATGCATGTATTTCAATATTCTGTATATTTTTTATGTACTTTTTTCTTTATCTCTTAACCAACATTGAGCAAACAAAGAATGATAATCAACAGGTACAAGACAGGGACTTCAACATCAATACAAGAGGAACAACTCCAAAAATACATATTTCAAAATATCGGAATATCTTACTTAACTTTTTAAATTAAATACTGATTGAGCATTGAAATATAATTTTAGTAATATATAGATTAATTGACAAACGAACAAACAAAAATAAAACAATAAATAATTTAAAAAACCGAATTAGCACCGTTGTAATTCATTTTGCTATTTTTTTTTAAAGTACATTGCTTTATGATCCATTTAACATCTAACACTTGTCTAATTCATTCGCTCCATCGGATGACATGACTACAGAGATCTTATTTTGCGTTCTAGTTCCTGCAGAATGTCTTCTAACGATTGCAAGATTTCTAAACTAACAGACTGCCTGGCCGTTGTCTCAATCATTTCTTGAAACCAGAAGTTGACGAAGCATCTATGCTTTGAAGAGTAAACAAAAAAGAGAATCTTTAGTACAAAAATTACCAATGCTGGCAAATTTTCCCGATTCCACATCTTGTGATCAATTAGTAAAAGCTTCATAGTAAACAGGATCATTTTGAAATAATATGTTTTAATGAGTGGTTTGGAGGTCCGATAACTTTGAGGTGGAATAAAATTAATAACTTCATCAGGAGAGACGGGGCTCTGCTTTACACCTTCACATCTCCTAACTTGCTTGGAGTTACAAGTATTTTTAGCTCCATCTGCAATATCATCTTCTTGATCCGATTCAGACAGCGAAGATGAGCGTTCGTACAGGATTTCGTAATTGTGCCCACTGGCACACAGCGAACCAGAGGAGTCTTCGTCTTCCGTATCGTCATCGGATTCTTCTTGCCAAACTCCAATCGGTTCAACACTGAAATCAGACAGAAATCCTACCGGTTCTACAGTAACGGAGGTCATTTTCGTGCTAGGTGGCTCTTCAAATTTCATTTCCGACGTTCCTGCTTTGGATTCCAAATGATGAGTTTTCTGAATGAATGATTCTTTTAATACCTTTAAAACTCTATAAAGCTGTTTTTCCACAGAATCATTGTCATGCATAGAAAACACAAATTTTTCAAGCGAGTTGAATGAAACTCTCCACGTTTCACTATATTCGTAGGACCATGCCTGTCCATGCGAGTTCATTGCTATTCTATCAAAGGTAAACGGAACCACCATTATTTTCAATTCATTCTGCAGCACCTCAAATAATTTTGACTGGAGTGGATTTTTCCCGTCAGACAGACGAGGCAAGTTTTGTAAGTTCAAGACAGGAGGTAAGTAAGCGGGATCCGGTAGATCAAAAGTTGGAGCGATGTCAATATCCAAGCTCATTTCTCCCAAAGAGACTGAATAATATGTTGCATACACCGTAGCACAGGGGCCGTGGTGGACTGAATGCCAAGTAAATCCTTTTTCCTTTTCAGCAGGAGCGAGCACTTGCGGGACATTAATACTACCAAGTGCTTTATCTACAAGTTCACTAAAATGTTTCTGAATTTTCTTTACAGATAGTATTTTTTCGCCACTCTTTAATATTTCGTCGTCCTCTGCATCAGTGAAAAAGTCTCTAAACTCTTCCACGGCTTTAGGTTCATTGATTACCACATAAACAAAGCCTTTTTTGCGTTGCGAAAACCGCGATTCCATTGCCCCTGTTGAACAGAGTTTCTCTATTTTTGCTGTAAAGTCGAATTCATCTGGCCTGCCTATCTTTACCCCATCATAGAAACTCCCCCCGTGAAGAAGGGATGAACAGAACCGCGGATCAATCTGTCCTACCCTCTGTAAGATCCGCTCCACAAAAGTTACCACAACAGCCGCAACCTCTGCTGTCGAGGGTACGCTGGGATCCACTCGATTTATTTTGTCCACGTCATCAAAAATATTAAGAAGCTTTGCAACATCCAGAGAATCCGCTCTTTGAAAAAAACTCAAAATTCTCTCAGAATTCTCTTGATCAACTATATCAGCGGGAAAAGCCACATGCGTTCTCTTTTCTGAGGATGATGTATCCTGACATGAAGGCAGAATATGACGTCGGAACTCCTCAAAAACTTCATTCGTCAGCAGGCCTGTTGACATAGTTGAGCACGAAGGAACTTCTGTATATGACAAAACAAAACCGTTATCACTGACGGATTTAGAGGGCACACTGACACCCTTAAAAATGAAGTACATGTAAATGTATATATAGAACAAGGAAATTCAGAGGATTGTGGTCCCCTGCTTTCGGGGTCTTATTTGTTAGGATGCATTGATTTATGACATACTGTAACTGTCTTATCTGTCTATCATACTAAAAATGTTATATATTTTTAAAGTAGCCGTCACCCATCCAAAGGTTATACAGGCTCGCAGTTGCTTAACTTGCCTGAAATAGAGGTAGACTACTGCATCCCGAAAAGCTGGCTCACTAGCGAAGCAGTATAAGTTCCTTATATACTGTCCACTACACTATGTTCGAGTGCAAATGTTACGGCCAAAATTAAAGTTTTCGATAGTCAAACTTCGGGGGCAAAGTCACGAGGCCAAAAGTCATAGTACATTCGGAAATCTTGTCAAAGGTACTGCAGACGGGAGAAGATTCGGAAAGGTCTTCTCATAGGTAATGCAAAAGTGAAATTTGAAAGCTCCATCTTCTCTCATTTAAAAGTTATTATCAAGGTTAAAGCGTGGAGACCGGTCCTTCGGATGAGACCGTATAAAACCGAGGTCCCGTGTATCAGTAGGTGTGGGCACGAAAAAGATCCCTCACTGCTCAATGGCCTTAAGTATAGATATAAATTTGAAGCCCTTCACCGGCAAGTGGTGGCGTCTCCATATGGGTAAAAATTCTCGAAAGGGACGTTAAACAACAAACAGACAAACACTCCAAGGTTAAAACCGATAGAGTGACAGATGGACGGATGGACGAATGAGATTTCATGTCCCCTTACTTATTTCCTTAATTCCTTAATTTTGATTGGGTCTTTTTGTTAACTAAATACACAATCAATACTTCTCTAAAGACAAATGGAACTCTTTTAAACCACGAACTCCTATTCTTGTATTATCCTTAACCCCCCCCCCCCCCCCTCGCTTTCATGCCTAAAGCCACATTTGTATAAACTACTGACTAGAAGGAATGATTTTTATCTATTGGCTATTTAGACATTTTTTGTTATCATCTTCAAATTCAATGTGTTAAATATACGAAACATTTTAAAAACTCCCTATCCCGCCTTTTTCCTTAAGAGACTTGCTTCTAGGCCTGAAATATACTCACGGGTCTCTCGGACATGTCACGATAGGCGTTGGCACGAAATGAACCATCAATGCTAAATGGCCCTAAGTGCCCAGTATAGGTCTATATTATTTTGAAACCTTTCTACGGTTTTTTGCTAATATGAGTGAATTTTTTTGATAGGGACGTAAAACGACAAACAAACAAATTTAATGATGGATAATTTCTACATATGAAAAAAAAACAAGTCAGAGCAGATCATGATCACTTCAGATTTTATCAGAATGCAAACATATAACTGCTGTGACGTAACATTCTTATTTTTGTAAAAAGCCTACGATGAAAACAGGCCCGTAGCAATGGTATCAAAAGTGGGGGGGGGGGGCTTCCCAAAAGAATCTGACAAGCAAAAATAAAATTAAAAAAATCTGTCAAAAAAGTGAGGAGGTCAAATTCCCAAAATAATGTGACAAGCAAAAAGAAAAAAAACCATAATTATATAATTAACTGTCCAAATCCTGGAATTTGCCACTGCTCGACAAAAAGGGGGGGGGGGGGTCAGCATATAAAGGAAAATTTACTATAGCAAAACACGGGGGGGGGGCGGCCTGGAGAAACCTGTATACAGAATATTTTTGAATTTTATGTCAATGTGATTTTAGGAGTCATTCTAGAACGAGTTGTCGAAAATTGACTACTTCAGGCCAAGATCAGCTGGATATCTGAGAAATGCCAATAAAAGCGATGATTTGGCAAACTGTTGCGGGTTATCGCTTACAAGTATTTTATTTTAATAAATTTGAGTACCCGATATTGATGACAATAAACCCTTAAAGAGAGGTTCCAGGCGAAATCCAACATGGCGGGTAGGTGTAAGCCTTGTAATGTTGATTTATATATAAAACGGTAGACCTAGATATGTATGTATACATATCATTTTGTCCATAAGTTAGTTGGGGAGGTCCTATTACTATAGTAAAAAGTCAGGGCTATGTTGACTAACCAGTCAACTATAATAAATATACACGTCTGAAAGGAATAAAGGGAATATTATTTTCAACAAACCAAACATGTCTATGTACATATATTTCTTAATGTATAGTTACTTATCCATTTTTCACTTTCTCGATTAATTTGATTGATCTCTCAGTAGTATTAATGCTTACTTATGGTCAACTCATTCCACACTTCGATCACTGTTCAAATCGAAAGTAGAAATTTCTGTGTTGATTGCTTATTTTATTACCAAAATATACATGTTAATGTTGTTATCAAAATATACAGTATATTTTACTTACCTACAAGATCCCTTCTTTATCACGCAATGTTCTGCTGACACAAAGACAATGCGTACAATCTGTATCCACTCATTGATAAAATAAAAAGATAAAGTGGCGGATCAAACATGTCTTGATAAATCATTTCCGACTTTTCATTATGTCTTTTTATGTCGACATTATTTTCTACATTTTTTTTTTTTTTTTTTTTTTTTGTAAACAAATCTAATAAATATAGTCATTTTATGAAAATGATAATTTCAGCTTCCAACCTAGCAGGGATTATTAAAAAGTTAATAACGAGGACCTTAAATCACTTATTTCAAAATTCAGGGAACTTCGATCTTTCAACTGACGTCATAACTTCATAAATATTATGAATTCTATGGAAGATTACGCCAGGTTTCAACCATGAAATGGGTCAACCATCAAAAAAGAAGACCTTGACATTTTGTCAGAATGGATTAATAGTATCAGATGGATGTTGAAATCTCGCATTAAGCGATTGAGGGGCAATATGAAGACCAGCTGCATGTATCCTTATGTCTTCAATAATTTAGAAGTGAAAAAATAATAAGACTGAGTACACGATCAGTATGTACTGATCCCAGCTGACAAAGCATGTAACTTCGTTTTTGTCTTTAAGGCTCATTATTTAATTGTATTTTAGAGGAATAGGGATTTAATTCTACAAGTGGTAATCCAACTTATACCCATAGCTCCCATGCTAAGGAGGAAATTCTTCAAAATCATGTCAGTTTAAAATATTTTTAATATTTCCAACAATCAAAATGAATTTGAATTACCATACCTATACTGGATTCCTAAACTTCATAAAAATCATTACAAAGATGCATAGCGGGTTCCAGTAAATGCTCTACCAAGCCTCTTTCTTTACTCCTCACTAAAATATTTACAGCAGTGAAGGAGAATCTTAAGGAGTATTGTACAACAATATATACAGGAAGTGGTGTAAATCAGATGTGGATACTTAAAAATTCCAAAGAACTTTTAGAAAAATTGAAATCACAAAATTTTACCAAAATCAATAACATTAAAACGTACCACTTTTCAACACTTAATACAACGATTCCCCACGACAAAGTAAAATCTAGGCTTTTTGACATCAGATATGGCTGCTTATTCAATAAAAATGGAACTAATAAATTTACTTACCTTGTCATTGATAATTTACAAAATTATTCTGTAAAAAAACATTTTGATTGTACATACAAGTACTCGGAAGCAGATACATTTATTCAAAAGATGCTTGAGTTTTTGATTTACAATATTTATGGAGTTTTTGGAGATCAGGTCTCTCAACAATCTTTCGGAATTTCCAAGGGTAACAATTGCGCCCCGTCTTTAGCAGACCTATTCATGTATTCATACAAAACAGAATTTATTCAAAAACTTGCATATGAGGAGAAGAAGACACTTGCTGTGGCCTTCAGCTCGACATTTATATATATCGACGACGTATTATCAATTAACAATAGTTACTTCCATTCATATGACCACTCAATATATCCCAATAAATTTGAAATAAAAAGATACCACAGAGTCTGACACATCTGTTTCATATTTGGATATTTTACTAGAAAAAGACGTTAATGGTAATCTAACAACAAACTTTATGATAAACGTGATGACTTTAACTTTTCTATCGTCAACTTCCCTTACTTATGTACATGTAGCAATATACCCTTATCACCTGCATATGGGGTTTATATCTCCCAGTTGATTCGACACGTAAGGACATGCTCAACGTCCGAACAATTTGTAAAAGGAGGCAAGCTATTGAAAAACAAGTTGAGGAAACAATGATATCAACAGTCTCGTTTAAAGTCATCAGTTCGCAAGTTCTATGGTCGATACAATGACCTTGTCAGCAAATACAATCTATCATTAAGTCGAATGCTGACTGGCGTTTTTCATGCTGATTGTTAGGCCATTATTTAAACAATAAATTGTCTACGGATTTTTCCGTTTGCTCGGTCATGACAATGAGCACGCGGTGGGTGTGAACGGTCGACAGGGGATGCTTACTCCTCCAAGGCACCTGATTCCACCTCTGATGCTTTTAGAGGTTCAATACTTGTATCTCTGACCATTAGAGCTAACAAAACAAACAAGATCAAAAGACAACATGTGACTGATGTAGCTATGGAACCTGTTTTTCTTTTACAAATGAACTTCTGTTGAATATTCTCCAGACAAATGAAAGAATCTCTAGGTTTCTAAGACCTATTAGAGAATCTAAAATATCTGGGAGTGATGACACAAAAGATGTTATTACGGAAAAAGAAATCAATATAAAAATAACACTTATTTTCTTCATTGAAAATTACCTGTAATTTATAGTACAAATTGAAGACACAGCTTATGACTAAACTTGACTTAATCCTCATTATTATTTGTGGAACATGCAGCTTTGACAGTTGTTCTAAATCTGACTCTCTTTTGAGCTGTTTTCTTCGCCTCATTCAAGCGTGATCTCACTTCTTCTGGTTCTGTTGTCCTTGTTCTCCAGCTGTGGACACCTCTTTAAGTTTTTTTCCCCTCATTTTCATGAAGATTCCCCTCTAGAAAT